TCGTGAATCAAGTTGGGGTAGTTGGGTCCTACTCGATCGGCTCCCCAAGCCATGTGACCCATCCTGCTAAGAAGCCGGAACACAATCCCAAACTCCAAACGGTTTAGGGTTTAGGGTTTAGGGTTTTCGGGTTTATTTGTTATTTGTTTGTTTAAGGGCCTTTTTGGCGTCTTCTCGTTGCATCCCCCAGCCCATTTGGGCAGGCACATGGCAGGCGCTTGATTTACGCAGCCGGCAAAAGCATGAGGGTTTAGTCTTTCGGGTTTATGGTTTACGGTTTTAGAATTTTAGTGTTTAGGGTTTATAATATGTCTGTGGGTCTTAGGGTTTTGGGTTTGAGGTTTGGGAAGTCCTATCATTGCAGAGCCCGTATGCAACCCTGTTTGGAAACCTTGTACAACCCTTCTGCAACCGACAACCCGTCCTGCACGAAAGTTCGCTGCAACTTGTCGAGCTTTGGTTGCACCTGGTGCCTTGTCTGCGTTTATTTGAAGTTTAGGGGGTGGGGGTGAGAGTTGTTCACAACCGTAAACCCTCAATCCTGTTTCACGATCAGGTTGCTCGACCTACTGACTTCGTTGGGGCAGGTTCATGGCTAAAACGACCTACAAAGCAAGCCGTAACCCAAAGTACGATCCTAAACCCTAAACCCCTAAAACCCTAAAACCCTAAACCCTAAACCCCTCAACCCTAAACCCCCTAAAACCCTAAACCCTATTGGTGGAGAGTTCGGCTCTGTGGGTAGGCTCAGATTCAAGGCCTTCTTCGCCTGGATTGCAAGTCTGTTACCCAGACGATCTACAAAGTAGATCCCCTATTTTGGGACCCGATACTACTACAGGGTCTTTATAAAAAAAACCCATTGAGGGATCTACTTTCTAGATCCTTTCGTGGGTCTGGGAAAGGGGTTTTGGTTGAGCATAAAAAAATAGTCGGCTGGCGGAAATGCCTATGCCTTTGAAGGGGGGTGAAGTTTAGGCAGGAATCCAAAACTCTACTCAGACCCCAACAGTAAGTAAAATAATCCCTTCCCTCTAATATTAAAGGCCCCCCCTCATATTGAAACTGGATTTCGGAGGTTTAGGTTTTTATATTAGGGGGGGTTCGGTTCGGTGCATCCACGTATGAGTGGGGTTGACAGGAATGAATTCGTGAGTACAGTCAGACAAGTCAACAGCGAGCAAACCCTAAAGCCCTGAGCCCTAAACTTTAAGCCCCAAAGCCCCAAGCCCTAAAGCTTTAGCCCTGAGCCCTAAACCCTTAAACCCTAAAGCTCTGCTGTCTTTAGTACTGCTGTAATCTTTGGCTCTTTCAAGCCCTGAGCACTGTTAGGGGGAAGGGATTTGGCCCAAAACTGATAAACAGGCCATTCTTCTACATACTTCTGGTGTCTAGGTATGCCCTAAACCCTATATACCCTAAATCCTCAGAGAGTTCGGCGGGGTGCTGCACGTGGCAATAGCCGCAGCTGTTCCCCTCTGCGCAGCGCCCTGCCGGTCCGGGTTGGGGTGCACCTACTTAAAGGATCACGGGACTTAGTACTCAGGGTTCCTTAAAGGGTCCTTACAAGGGGTCATTCGGAGTTCTATAAGAGGGGATTTAGGGTTACTAAAAGGATCATGGGCCTTAGCAAGTAGGGTTCCTTAAAGGGCTCCTTTACACGGGATCTATACGGGTTCTACAAAACAAGGGGGTCTCTAGGGTTGTATACCTATAGTCTCCATTGTAGTTCCTTTTAGTTTATTAGTTCCTGAGTAGCCCCTGAATCATAAGGGTAGCCCTTTTTTGCTACTAGTAAGGAAACCCCAAACTAAAACGGTCGAAAGGGTAACCTAGTTGCTGAGTTCATAAGCCCCCAAAAGTGTACACTTCCAGTTTTATAGTGAGTGATATGACCCCAAGAAGTGTAAAGTGTATCCTCTCAGCTACTAAGTACTACTCAGGAACCCATTCCAGAAGTTAACCCGAAACAGGACCTACGATGGAGACTATCCTTACATCCCCAGGGCTCCTGGGAGGGTCCAGGAGCCCGGGGGATGTAGTACCGTCTTGCTTTGGTTGCTTTCTCCGAAACCCCAAACATCCCTAAACCCTAAGCAAAACCTGAACCCCAAACCCCCAAACCTAAACCCTAAACCCCTAAAGCCCTAAAACCCTAAACCCCTAAAGCCCTAAACCCCTAAAACCTAAAACCCCACAAACCCTTAAAACCCTGAACACCCTAAACCCTAAAACCCTCCACCCTGAACCAAGGCCTACGGATGGTAAGACTAGTCGGGACTCCGGAGTTCATCCCATCCTCGGAAAAAACATCAAACACCAAATTAAGACACATACCATGGAATTTTTGGGGGTCCTGAGGGTTTAGAGTTTAGGGTCCTACTTGTCGGGTATCATGGGGAACTAAAGATTAACCTTTTTGGTTCTATAGGGGTTACGTACTAGGGGGCTGTACTACCCAAAACGGGTTAAAGGTTAAAGGTTACCTAGTCTTCTACTAGGAAACAGTGAAGAGCACATGCAGCGCTATGCTATGGGAGGTTCATAATCCCTTAGACTGTGGTCCTTTTTTTTGGGTTTAGGGTTTAGGGTTTAGGGTTTAGGGTTTAGGGATCCACGGCATGACTTTATGCCGAGGGTCCCAAAAGGCGGCTGGGCTAGGGTTTAGGGCACTCCCCTCAACGTCAAAGTTTACCCAGAGGGTCCAAGTACTCCCTATTATAGGACTTTAGGGCTGTTTTAGGTACCAAAAACCATAAATAGGAGCTACTTGGACCCTTAGGGTTAGGGTTTTGTAGGTTCGGGGCCATCCGTGAATCCCGGACGATTCGTACTCCAAGTACCTGGTATGTTAGATCCCGCAATTAAGGGGCCATGTCTGCAGGTTGCGGGTACCTGTAGTCTCCCTTGAAAACAGCCCAAAGGGTCCTATGTACTGCTACGGGGTTTAGGGTTTAGGGTTTAGGGGATACTTCCCCAAATCATAGTAGCAGTGCCGTATGTAGAAAACCTACTTTCTACTTTATAGGTACTTTGGACCCTTTGGGCAGGACTGGTTGATTGGAGGGGCAGGGGACTTAGTAAGTAGGGTTGTAAGTAGAGGTATAAATGGTACTTATACCTCTACTTATAACCCTACTTCCTAAGTCCCCTGCCCCTCCAAGTAATTAACCAATTTAAAGCGTATAGGGATCCGAATCCAAGACCTCCAAGTCCCTGTCGCGCCTGCGCCGAAGTGCACGCAAGGTCTGCAACATAGCTCTGGGTGGCCGACGCTGCCGCAGCTCGGCCAGTCCAAACTGAGCTGCAGGATTTCAGGGTGTAGAGTTTAGGGTGGGGTTCTTGCTTTTCTGATCTCCAGTTGTTTGTCTTCTTCGAAAAATGTGCGAGGTTCGATGTTCCGGGAATTCAGCGATAAGAGCTGCGAGCCTTGAACCCTGGAGCTTTGAGTCCGTAATCCCAAACCATGAACTCGCAAATCCTGAAAGCTCGAAACCCCAGAGCATGCACTTTCAGGGACTTAGTAAGCAGGGTTCTAAGGAGGGCTACAATTGGGGTAACTCCATTTAGGGTGCTTTTAACTCTACTTATAACCATACTTACTACGTCCCCTGCCCCTCCAAGTAGGGTTTTTAGAGTGCAGCATGCTGCTCCGTGGAATCTGGAAGCGAAACAAACACCCGCATCGGCACGACCCTGCACCCTTAACTTACCTCTGCTTAGTAGGGAATGGAGGAATGGGGTACGATTATAACTACAATTACTCCCATTCTTCCATTCCCTACTAACCAAAGGTAAGTTAACAGACAAACATGGACGCCTGTAACTTGAAGCCGCAAGCCCTGCACCGTAAACCCCACACTAACCCCTTGGCTCTCCATGATATCTTCTGCGTACTTGGAGGATCATGGGACTTATAGTAAGTATGGTCATAAGTACCTTAATTGGGGTTATAAGTAATTATAAATAGAGCTACCATAATTATAACCCTAGTTACTAAGTCCTAATTTTGATCCTTTAAGTAATTCTAAGATGCTCGACGCTGAACCTCCTCAAAGTCCCTCAAACAGATCGCTTGAACCCTTGTGGGTACTGAGGCCTGGAACCTCTAAAACCCCAAAACCCCGCAGCCGCGAAGCCCCAAAAACTGAACCCTAAGAGGCTAAACCCCGAACATCATAGCACCCCTATATAGAGCCCTGAAGGTCACCTTGAAGGTAAACCTTGAATCAACCTGAACGTCACCCTTAAAGCAGCCCTGAAGGATATCCGGATAGTAATTAATTACCCTCAATGGAGTTTAAGGGAACCTAAACCCTAAATGCTTAACGGAAACCCAACTCTCACCCTCAGAGTCACCGAAAGAAGACCTTACAGGAAAAGTCAGACATTAAGTCACCCTAATCTAGGTTCCGCAGAAGCCCCTGAATAATAATCAGGCTACCCTGGTTCCAGTCGGTTTTGAGTCTACTACAGGGGTTTAACAAAAGAAACTCTTAAACTAGGTATCGATTTCAACAGAAAATATATGTTCAGGGCTGTATATCCTATTTGCTGAGTTCATAAGCCCCCACAGGTGTAAACGTTCAGTTTTATAGTGGGTATAAAGTGTATCCACTCAGCTGCTAAGATATATTCAACAACAATGAACATTCAATTTAATCCAGAACCGATACCTAGATACATACATATATATATAGACATAATGTGCATTATATGCTATACCCTTTGCCTAGACGGTACTACCATAATGATATAGGGGCCTTAATAATTGGAATAGGGCTTTGGTAATTACTTATATAATCCTAAACCCTAAACCCTAAACCTTAAGCCCATACATTATAGTACCCTTTTTAGATCCCTTATAGTTACCCTTATAGACCTAATTATTTGAGTAAGCCCATATACCCTCTTAACCCTATAGCCCTACAGTACCTCCCTAAACCTTGAGCCCACATATCAGGGTCGCCCTCTTAGTGTCTTTGCTTCAAGCGATCTGCCTCGGCGGCGGGAAGCATTCTTCAGTTTCCTGACAGGCGGCGCTTCGAGACTAAGGCTTACTTACATTTTAGGATTCGGGGTTTAGGGATTTAGGGTTTAGCGATTTAGGGCTTAGGCGTCCGGGTTTAGAGATTTAGGGTTTAGAGTGTAGAGGTTTAGGGTCTAGGGTTTAGAGATTTAGAGTTTAGTGCTTCGAGATTTTGGGTTAAGGGTTTAGGGCTACAGCCCCAGGGGTCCCAAGTGCCTACATGGTAGAATCTTCGGTTTCTATATAAGGAATGACTATTATGATCTGAGGAAGTATCCCCCATAACAGTACCTGGGACCCTTTAGGTACATGCATACATACATACATACATACACACGCACATATAGGGGCATAACGTACATTACATGCTATACCTCGTGTCTGAGCGGTACTACCGCAGGGGGACCAGATATACTGCCAAGACGGCTGGCTCTCCACAGCCACAGTAAGGATGGTCTTTCGTCAGAAGTTCTTAGATGGCAGTTCACCAAGAGCCTCTTGCCAAAGACTCAGGCCTAATATAAGCCCAAAATAAAACCGCAGGCAGCACCAGTTCAAACCCTATTCCAGGATGTCAAGTTGCACACCCTACTAAGCAAAAAACGATAGCAAACCTTTTCTAAATGGGAGTTTTCGAACTTAGGGGACCCTAACATGGTACCCTACATAGTAGGATTATGAGGACACCAAAATAAGGTACCCCCCCCCCCAAATTGTCGGAAGCTCCCACATAAACAAACGATGGAACCCTTCAGTTCAAAATCTGACTAAACTAGGATGCCCGGTAACCTAGGAATCAAAAGGGCTCCCTTTTCGGTAGTATTGGGTAACTTTATAAGGAACCTAGGACTACAAAAAGGGAATAAGGGTAGTACTGGGCATCCTAGTAAAGGGTTGTTTTCATCAGTCGAGGATGGGCTGACCTGCTCATCTTCGACCTCGCCGTGTTGTGCGACGACGGACTCTGCAGGCGTCTGCACCTTGCAGGTTTAAGGGTTTGCTATGAACGGTTCAAACATTTTAGGTCAGCTTTTCTAGGCGTTTCAGATTTAGGCTTTAGGATGGGGGGGGTTAGGAGTTTCGATGTGAAGAAAACGCTCCAAAGCTGAATCTCCCCGTGTGAAGTCCTGTATGAACCCGGTTCTTCTTTTATACTGAGGAATGAAAACCCTGAGATCCCTTCACCCTAAACCCTCAACCCCAACCGCTAAACCCTGAACCCTAAACCCTCAACCCTAACCCCTAAACCCTGAACCCTAAACCCTCAACCCTAAACCGCCCTAAACCCTCAACCCTGACCCCTAAACCCTGAACCCTAAACCCGAAAACCTGAGATGAGGCAACATCGAAGTGAGGCCTCCCTTTGCCTGCGGACCCAGTAGGGGCCTTAAGAAAAAAAATAGGGTTCCTTTAAAGGGTTCCCTTTTACAGGGATCTATATATAGGGGGCCTAATTATAAGGGATCTTGAATATTAGGGGCCTGAATAATTCGCCTCGGCCCCGGCCAAAGCGGTTAGAGGTTTCTTTGCGGATTCCCTATTCCCCACCTCTTCCTCCCTTGAGTCACCCACCTCCAAAACGCGTGCCGCTGACCCCCACCCCTTCAATTTGCTGCCACGTCCTGCGGTGAAATCTCGCCTCATCCAATGGATTTGGGTTTGTGTAGGGCAGTCCCACCCACCCGCTTCCAACCCCTTCTCCCCCCCTCCCCTCTAGGGTTAGGGGTTTGAATCTAATTCCGCGCTTCTATGCTTGCTGGGTTTTAGCGCCTGCGAGATCTCGGCTCAAGAATTCTCTTCAGCAAGGCAACGTTTCACGGATTTTCACGGCCTGCATCGCATGCTTGCCTTAGACAAGCAGCTCCAACCAATTGGGCACATACGTGTGCAGCCGGGCCGAGGCGGGCGACGCGAAGCGTTTAAAACTAGAATGGGGTCTCGGCGTAAAGGCATCCTCAAAAGGGCTACTATAATGGATACTATAAGGCTCTATGTTTTGGGGGCCTTAATCGGTAGAATAGGTTTGGGGGATACATTATAGTGTATTCATGATAAGGAACCCTCCCAAAAAGTATTGGTAATCATTTAGGCCCCTATATCTCGGCAATCCGAGCTGGAGTTCGTGTGACCCAACGCAACCACTGTCCTTCGAACGCCTTTAATTCAGGAATAGACCTTCAATTATTGTAGGACCCCTATTGATTCAGGAATCTACGTTTAAATATTGTAGGATCTCTTAATTCCGGAATACAACTTCAATTAATGTGATTGTAGGATCAGGCAAATGCCTTAAACCCTAATCCGTAAGGATAGTACCCGGACCCTATATATATATATAAATGATATATAAGGATATCTACGGTCTGTTCCTGAATTAAGGCATTTTGGGAAGGTCTGGGATCCTCTTCCTAAACCTTCGAAGAAGACCCTTATGAGGGAACCCTTAAGGGTTTAGGGGTTAGAAGGGTTTACGAGTTTAGGGTTTAAGGTGGTTTAGGGTTTAGGGTTACGGGGTTAAGGGTGTTTGCCAGACCTTGCAGAATTACTGGGCCACAAAAGGCTGCCTGCAACCCCCAACCCACAAAAGAGTAGGTTATGACCCCTGCATCACGTCAGTAGGCATTAATGGATCCACAACCCAGGCTTACGAAGGAGCTTGCACGGTGCAGGCAAAAAGCCTCCAACCATCCCCAGTTGTATCTATTCCCCCTCCTGAAGAATTCTGCAACGTAGGGTTGTCCTGAACCCTACACCCTTATAGGAATCCCTGAAACAACCCATGAGGCAACTCCCCTGGGAACCCCTGGATAAAATCCTTCAAGGAAGCTTCTACTAAAGTTGAAGGCACCCAAACCCTAGTCCCGAGTCCCTAACCCCTAAAAGCCATACTCTAGGTACGTTGCTGGGCCGTGTTCAGAAGCAAAAAGACGCAAACAGTCAGTTTCATGCTGGTTACACTCTCCCACAGAATGTACCCAGTCATCTACGAAGTATTTCAGAGGCCTGAATAATTAGAATAGGGTTTCGGTGTATGTTATACTATAGTTCGTCACAACAAGGAACCCTAAGGAGTACTGTTGTTAGCAGTTACCCCGAGAGCCCAATGCCCCTTAATGAAGGACTATGGCTTATATCATAAGATGACGCCTTGTATAATATAAGCCATATTCCTTCATTAAGGGGTATTGGGCTCTCTGGGTATTTAAGCTCCTATATTACGAAGTAATCTGGAATTGAGGGCCTGCTCCTCCACCATCACGGGGCTATCGTCAGCTCTGTTCGCAGGGTGCGGCGCCGGAGCAGCCTTCGACAGTTCAGGGTTTAGGGGTAAGGCTTCGAAAAGGGACTGAGAGGTTCTTGGTTAAGGATTTCTGAAGCGGGAGTTGAAGGTTCTAGGGGCTTTTAGGGTTCAGGGTCGAGGATGTGAGGTTTACTTAAGTCTAGCTTTTGGTGTGACAGGAGGGTGGGAGTAGGGTTCTATGAGGCTTCGCAAGGATGCTTTGGCCGTTTAGAGTCATAAGGCGCTCGAAGTTAATAAGACTTCGGGTTTCGGGTTTAGGGTTTAGGGTTTAGGGTTTGGGGTTTGGGGTTTAGGGTTTAGGGTTTGGGGTTTAGGGTTTAGGGTTTAGGGTTTGGGGTTTAGGGTTTAGGGTTTCGGGTTTAGGGTTTGGGGTTTGGGGTTTAGGGTTTGGGGTTTGGGGTTTAGGGTTTAGGCTTTGGGGTTCAGGGTTTAGGGTTTGGGGGTTTAGGGGTTTACAGGGTTTGGCTTCAAAGGCTTGTCTGTGGTGCCAATGCCCTGCTGTTGCGACGAATACCTACGATTCAGGGGTGCAGAAGCCCCTGAAGGTACGGTTAGCTTCAAACTTGAAACCCTAGCCGGAAAGCATCTTTTTCGCCCGGTACTTGGGCTAATGTAGGGACCTTCACACTTAGAAAGGAGTTTTGGGGGTTGCATATTGGAATTCTAGTAGAACATACCCCCAAACCCTATTCTAATGATTAAGGCCCCTATAAGGAGAGAATGAAAGAGCAGGCCAGTCACCGTAGCTAGATCGGCAAACACTCTCCGTGACGTGTGGCTTCTGCGCCTCACTGCTGTTAGGGTGAAGAAGAGTGTACTGTAGGAGCCTTAATAGTTCGAACAGGGATTGGGGGGATGGGATGCTACAATTGCAATAGGAACCACCAAACCCTCAAATAATTAAGGCCCCTACAGTCAGTAGAGTTTCGGGGTCGGGGCCCAGGAAATTGGGGGCTAAAGGTTTTCGGCTTGGGTGAGGATTGTCAGGACCAGGGTGCCAACACAACTTCCCAAGGGTCCAAGTACCCCATAATCATATACTCTCCAAAATCCTAACCTACATAACTACTATCCCAAAACAGTACCTGATTATTGGGTCCTTTGGACCCTGAAAATTTCCTGTGAGCCTGATTTGGCAAGCTGTTGACATACTCACGCTGCTGCGTCTCGCTCACATGTGCCTGGCCGCGTGAGGTCTGACTTGAGATCTCAACGTAGGTGCTATTGTAAACTTGGACTGGGCTGTCATGGTCTTATTTTTTCGGATGCTCGTGCGTTCAGGGGCCAGTGTCTACAACATACTCCATACCCCAAGACCGCCGCTAAAGTAAGGAAACCTAAACCCCCCAGACCCTAAGCCCATCAACAGAAAAGGGCACAGTGTGAAGTGGAAGGGCCTCAAAATCCAAAATCCAGCGATCTTGTTCAGGCACATCGCTCACAGGTACCATATCAGGTTCAAAGATGGCTTTAAACAGAGTGGGGAACTTGGTATGAACAACCGTGATAAGGAAATCATGCTGTGTATACTCTTCCTGAAACGGTAGCTCAGTGTATGTTCCTTAACAACGAACCCCCTAACCTCCCTAATATGGTAGCTTAGCCGATGTTCTTAACGGTGCACGCCGTACATCACAAAACCGTATATTGAAGGAAACCTGACCCCGAGGACCCAATAAATTGATAATCCTGTAAGAAGGCCCTAACTTAATCCAGATGAGGGTTAACAGGTTTTGGGTGTAAGATAAGTCTGTAGGGGCAGGACAAAAGGCGTCTAGATTCTCAGCCGGAGCAGAGCCGCAGACTGGCCCGAAAGCCTTCACGTTCCATTTCTTCGAAATAGATCATGCCATCAAAATACGTGAGGATCCTTGGAGTGTGTCCCAGTCGAGCCGTTCGTTCTTGAAGTCTGGTTCCTGGTCCCTGCTCGGCTGTCTGTAAAAATCTGCTTCGATGGGAACTCGCATTTGAGGGCGCGTACGAAAGCTGCACCCCGGTCCGGAGCGGCGTATGTCCGCAACTTCCACGAGAGCTCCCTGATCCGTTGGGCAGCAGTAGCGCAACGGCGTCGACCAGCAGGAGATGCATCGAGGGAAGGCCCTCCAGCCAGATTTGTGTTCCCATGCCCACATGGCGGCAGTGAAAGCGAGCGCGTTGCTACAGAAGCCGGAATCTGAATGTACGAATTACCATACCACTCCTTCTTATGATAGGCGGTGCCATGCCCCTGCCTGAATAGATTCGTTTGCTATTCCTATAAGGCCCATTGATATGATTATATACTGTATCATACACCAAAACCCGGCTCTATCTTGTCGCTCCATTAAACTTTACAATGTCTGGGTAAAGGTAACCAAACCCAACAAGCTCCTATCCCGCTTAACCTTTAAGGTTCAGGGTAGTTCAGGAATTAGGATTTAGGTTTTAGGGCTCGGGGCTTAGGATTTAGGGAATTTAGGGTCGCAGACTCACCTGCGTGAAAGAACCTGTACCTAAACTCTAAACCCCTAAGCCCCTAAACCCTAAAACCCCCCACACCCTAAACCGTTACCTCACGGTCCCCTTCAGGGACCCCTCAAGGGTTCTAGCCAGCAGAGCTTTGGGCTTGGGGGCTCCGGGTTTAAATTTAGGGTTCAGGGTTTAGGGTTTAGGGCGGGCTCGGGGCACTAAACTCTAAATCCCCGATGCAAGCCTGCAAGGGTTTCCAATTCAGTGTAGATCTATTTGTGGATTGGCTCCTTTGTGGCTTGGACCCTATATTAACAAGTTAGAGTAACCAAGAAAGGGCACTACTAAGGACCTACGAAGGATAGGAAAGGTACTGTACGCCCTGAAACCCCCGCAAGCCGCAGGCACCTCTGTGACAACTCTTACTACAGGAAGCCTCACAAAGCTTCAGGGTTTAGGGTTAGGGATTATACTATAACCCCCAAACAACCCTCCACACAAAAGCATAAGCCCCAAACCCAAAACCCTCCCTAAACCCCGCAACCCCTGAATCTCTAAAGCCTGTTGTTATTTCTATTATAAAGGAACCCCTTAGCATCCCTGAACCCTAAACCATTGGCCCTGAACCACAAACCCTAACTCATAAACCCTAAAGCCCTAAACCCTAAAAACATAAACCCTCCAAACCCTACCTGGAGGGTCATACCCTACCCCTGTTTTAGGGTACCTGATTTTATGGCTATGATCTCCTATATAGAAAAGTAGGTACCTTAGATAAAGGGGGTAGGGTATGAGCCTATAAATAAAGCTCCGCGACCTCGATGTCAAGGTCGAAAGTGGTGGATAGCACGGGCATGCTCGCCGACTTTCGCAGGCCGGTGGCCTACGAACTTGGAAGTTTAGGGTTTAGGGGTTTAAAGGGTTTTAGGGTTTAGGGATTTAGGGGTTTGTTTAGGGGTTTAGGGCCTTAGGGGTGTATGGGGTTCAGGGGTTTGGTGTTTGTACAATATAATATATATATATATATACACACACACATGTACATAAACTGTGGAAGAACCGGTTTGGGGGTTAAAGGTTTAGCTAGACCCTTCAGTGCAGAACAGTTTTTGGCGTAACGTCTTTTGTTGTTAGGATCCCGTGTTAAGAGACTAAGGCAACCAACAGCAGCCAAAAAGAGGTACGACAATTTGGGGTCCAGCCCAGGCGGGTTGAAACTTGGAATGCACTTCTTTGAGCATCCAGCAGCTTGGATAGCCTGAAGTCTAGGTAAGTTTACAAAGTTCAGGTACTACATATACTGTCCCAACTTCTGCCGGCGTGCTACTCTTTATCCTTATCATCCTACAGCCAAAGCTGGGAATATCAACAAAACCCCAGACCATATCAAGGACATCAAGATGCAGGGATCACGGACATAAGGAAGACCTCTATATCGAACACCAGTTCAGAACGGAATCCGAGCCTTCAAATCAGGCGGGTGGTTGTCAACATTATGGTCCCTCTTTGGGGTCCTAATTATAATACGGCACCTAAACCCTAAACCCTAAACCCTAAACCCTTAGGGTACCCAAAAAGGGGCCATAATTTTGACCACCACCCTTTCGCTTGGGGAGTCGATTGGTCCTGCTGGGGCTTCTGGCCGGGCTTGCAGAAACCTATAAGGCTCACGGTTTAGGGTTTAGGGTTTAGGGTTTAGGGCACACACATTCAAAGGGTTTAGGGGTTTAGGTTTAGGGTTTAGGGGGGTTTAGGGGTTTAGGCTTTACAGTTTAGGGTTTAGGGGTCTAGGGGTTTAGGGTTTGGGGTTTAGGGTTTCGGGTAAGCCTACCTCCTCCTTGGGCTGATTTTGCAATCCCTATATTCAAAAAACAACAATAGCACGAGCAAAGGAACCCCTTTAAGGTGCAAAGACCCTTAGTTCCACAGGGCTTTGCGAATCGACACAGGACTTTGATATCATGAGGGAGCTAGGGTTTGGAATCGCTGGCCGAGGGTGTAGGTCGTATAAGGGTTTAGGGCAAATTTTTGGTTGGCTCACACCTTGAGTAGTCAACTCCCACCACAGCAGGTGCTGGGAAACCTCGTTTGGTACTCATGGTATTCAGAGTGCATTTGCGTTGAGTTAGTTGTTTAAGTACATTCAAACCCCCGAACCGGGGTTGCCATTAAAATACTACTTCATACTACTATCCAACCGCAAGTACTTCACTACCTCTTAGGTCTGGAAGAAACTCTCACGCGGAGCTTCAGGCTCCGTGAATGCAACTTAGGCTCTAGGTGGCCTCGATTCTTATTCTTCCACACCCGTAAACCCGAAACATCAAGCACTAAAGCGTCATCTCTGAATGCCCCTGAGCCCTAAGCCCCAATCCCCAAATCCGAAACTTCTAAGCCCTAAACCCCTAAACCCTGAACCCTGAAGCCAGCCTCGTCTTCGAGATCATCTACATCAATAAACGTGAAGCGGTAGATGAGGGCTTTGCTCATGGCGGCAAGGACGATGGGTCGAGCTCTTGCTCCGGGGTTGAATCAGCAAATCTGACTGCGGACGGACCGGCGATAACCCTGACTGCGGGGCTGTAGCAATGACTAAGGTGTAAGGGGTATATCCCCAAGGGTCCAAAGGACCCAATAATGAGGTACTCGGTTTTAGGATAGTAGTTATGTAGGTTAGGATTTGGGAGAGCATATGATTATTAGGTACTTGGACCCTTGGGTATTATCATTCATATATATATATATATATATGTATATATATATATACATATATATATATATATATATATATATGTATTTATTATTTGCAGCGGAACTATACTAAGGGTTAAACCTCAAGGCAAAACCCAACGACGGAAATCCCTACTCGATTCTGAAAGCTTAGATCCTAGGATCACCTCTCCAGTTCGAGATGTAATGTACCAGGGTCTACCCAGAGGCTCCATAGTAGTTCCTTTTGAGGGTTACCTCATAGGATTCTATATATGAACCCCCAAAAGGAACTACTATGGAGCCTTAGGGTAGTACTTGCAGGGGCCGGGGACTTAGTAGGTTATTAGTAGAGTTATAAGTACGCTGCACAACTGCTAGACAACAGCCCTGAACGTAGCCCTAAACTACTAGGATCTACTTCTGTGCAAGGTTTTAAGATAAACCCTTTGAAAACCAAGGGACAGGGAAACAACTACAACAAGGAGGTTATGCTAGGTTTAGAAACAAGCTCAGGGCTTAGGTTTTACGGAGCTCACAAACTTTTTACACCCCGTAAAACTATGCCCTGAACCCCAAACCCCTGCCAGGAAGCAAGAGCGGTGTGTAGCAGGACGACTCCTTTGCTTAGCTTCCCGTGAAATCGTTCTGGGGATGTGGGAGGGGGATGGAATACCCTGCAAAGGTCCAAGTGCCTGATATTCATACACGGGTCTGGGTTTTGTGTTTAGGGTTGAGCGTTTCAGGGATTAGGGTTGCCATTTAACGTGGGGTCTTGGAACCAGGGTTGCTTGATGCTTGTGTGGAGGGGGGTGGAGGGGGGTGAGGGGGAGGGGGGCGGGGGGGCGGGGAATATGAGGGTCGTCGTTGATTTCGAAAGCCCTTCCGAAGACATGAACCCTCCAGCCTCAACCACAAACATCGCGTGTCTTCGACTGCACCTGAAGCCTCGAGCCCCGAAACCTATTGAATCGCCTCCTTGAGTCTCTCTCCTTCTAGGATACCCAGTAACCTAAGAATAAAAAGGCCTCTCTTTTGGTATTGGGTAACTTTATAAGGAACCTAGGACTACAAAAAGGGAATAAGGGTACTACTGGGCATCCTAGCCTTGAATATCCGGGCCCCAAGAAAGTTTAAACTTTCGATTATTCTAAGATAGACCAAATACATAAGGCCAAAACGGTTAAAGTTGCCCCCAGTGGCTATCTAAGGATTTGTCCAAGGCACGTAAGCAAAAAATAGGATAGGGATGTCCCACATAAACCCCCTTATAATGAAGCCCAATAAGGTAAGGATATCCTCATAACATGCTTACGCTTATGTGCTTTTCCGGTCCCTAATCCAAGGCACCTCATAAATCGCTTCCAAGTCGAGCGGTGGCGGCTCCACAAACTTCTGGTCCAATTTCAAAGCCTCGGAGGCAAGACTTCCCTACTTGTCGGGTATCATGGGGAACTGAAGGTTAACCTGTTTGGTTATATGGGGATTATATAGGGACTATACTACCCCAAAAAGGTTAAAGGTTACCTACTCTACTACTAGCCCTACAGTTTAGAGCTTAGGACTCAAAGCCTGGCAGGTTTTAGGGTGCGGCGGGGGGAATGTTGAGGCTTCTAAATGGTCCAGGGGTCAGAAAAAGCAGGGGAAGCCTGCCTGAAAGGTCCCTAAAACCCTCGTAGCCCCAGACCCTCAATGCCCAAGACTCTTAGCCCCCTTTAAAAATAGGGATCCTTAGGGGTGTAGGGGGAGGGGGGGTAGGGGGCCTTAAGGCCCATAATAAGGACTAATAAGGCCTATTTACGGAAATATAGTCCCCTACACCCCTCCCCCCTACACCCCTAAGGATCCCTATGACTTTAGGTTTAGGGTTTAAGGTACACCCTACACTCACTGAAAGGATTTCGGGTTACACCGACAAGCCTCGCCAAGCTGCGACAAAGACCTGCACTGCCGGGAGGACACGGTCCGGACGGATGCAACGCACGATGATCAACTTCCTCGGAAATCCGAGAACTGTGGAGACGGCTTTAAGTAGAAGCCATCAGAAAAATGAAGTTCATAAACATCACCCTCGTAAACTTGGGACGGAGGAAAAGCGAACACCTGGAAGTCATCCTCGAACGATGGCTCTACTTGTCAGTGTCTATGATGCAAATGCTATATTTATACAGGGCCTACAAGGGTAGAAGGTTACTCATACCGTACCCTAAACCCTCACCCTTCAATCCCTAATCCCTAAATTCGGACCCCAATATTTGTATCAAATACCCAAAGGGTCCAACTACAGTGGGGTTCCCTTAAGGGTTCCTTTAAGGGTACCATGAGGTTTTAAGGTTTGGGGTTTAAGCATCCATGACCTTGTATAGTGTACTCTTTGGCCTAAAGAAAGTGCCTACATAGGTACTTTACTTGAAAGATCATGGACTTTAGAAAGTATGGTTATAAGTACCGTAATTCGGGTTACAGGTAGTTGTAAGTATAGTTACCCTAATAACAACCCTAGTTACTAAGTCCCATGATCCTCCAAGTAGGGCAAAGGTATATACTATTTCTTTGGGGATCATTCCCTTGAGGCTTCGGGACAAGGAGCCTTAGCTGACAGAATAGGGTTTAGGGCTTAGGGTTAGGGTTTAGGCTGAGGGTTTAAAGCTTAGGTTTAGGGTGTAGGTGGGCCGGGTATCCTCAGCTCCCCTTATGCAGGGCTTTGGTATAGGCTTGGGGGTTTCCTGGACTCTAGAAGGTAGCAGCTTCTTTTGGGTAACTTGGCTTATTGTTAGGATCCTATAAACAGAAACCATTAAGTAACCACACATGCTACATCTAGGGCCCAGGTGAGGGATTACCTGCAATCCGTAGGTAGAGGATAAATCCAATCCGCTGCTCCCGACCCAGTTCGGTGTGCACCAGCCGATCGACCCCCTTCCCTCAACCTCAAGAGCCTAATGTAGGGGCCTTAATAATTAGAATAAGGTTTGGGGGGTATCTTATACTATAATTATATCAGGAACCCCCAAAATAGTGTAGGTAATTATTTAGGCCCTATAGCAATACCCCTGAATGCACCTTCAAACAGCACCCACTGCCCTATCATTCATGGCTCGGTGGTTGTCTGGGAATCGCTTAGGGCAGCAGGTCGAAGGAAGACGGCTTTAGGCTGGAGTCAGGAACTTCGATATGGGTGGTTGTCAATACTAGGGTCCCTCTTCGCGTCCTTGTTATAATACGGCACCTAATGTTTAGGGTACTCAAAAAGGGACCATAATTTTGACAACCACCCATATGAATATAACTACGGTAGGGCCTCGGCGAACCTCTCAACAGCAGCCGCAAACCCCAAAGCCCTGACGCCCGAACTAAACCCTAACCCTATGCCTCCAGGGACCTTATTATGGGGTCCTTAAGGGGTCTGGGGCCCTAACTATGAGGTCCCTGGAGGGATAGAGTAAATCCTACATGCAAAAAAAAACTGTCAACTCAACAGCTTTTTGGTAGAATCGCCCATCAAGCCCTATGACAGGAGCCCTTAAAGTAATCCTTGGTTCTGGAGATGCGAAACTCAAGGGTTCAAGAGCCGAAATCATGGGTGTTAAGTTCCGAAAAACATCCGCAGTTCAGGGTTTCACGGTTTTGGAACTTCGAACCTTACTTCTTGAAATTCCGGTACATGGAACCTCAAAAATCCCTAAACCCTAAACCACTAAACCCAGAACTTTAAGCCCGAAGCCTCAAGGAAAGCCAAGACGAGCGAACCTCAAAAATCCCTAAACCCTAAACCCCAAAACCCGGAACTTTAAACCCGAAACCTCCAGGAAAGCCAAGACCAGCAGCTGAAGCGGATCCAAGCGCTCTTGCCACTCGCCGGGCAGGGCATCTCTCTCTGGCTCTGCCCCGGAGTACCACCTTCGGTTGGGGGTATAGTGAACCCCAGAAAGTTGGAACATGGATTTAGGACGATTAGTGCTGGGATTTCCTTTTCTTTACCTTAAGGGCATGAGGATAATGATGTTCCAACTTTCTGGCTTCTACTGTATAAGGCTTGCTTTGAGGGGTTTGGTTGGGGTTTATGGGTTCCTTTGAAGGGATCTATAAGGGTACTGTAAGAGTTTAGGGTTTAAGGGAATTTAAAACTAGGGTCTCGGGTCTGGGAATTAGAGGGCTTCGCGCTTTGGGCTGATTGTTGCCACTGTCACCAGCTATGGCTGGGCGATAACCAAGACTTAGGCTGTCCAAGACTGGTAACCTATAGCCTTATGACGCCAGTTGCCACCCCCTAAACCCTAAACCGTGCGTGAATTTGTATTCGTTAAAGAAATCACCAGACAGGTTTCAAGGGCTGCTTCGTTAGCGTCTTGAGCGGATAGGGCTCTAAGAGTACAGCGCTTCGGGTGCAGGGGGCAGGATGCCGCATTCTATTCCCCACACTCAGACCTAGAACAGCCCAAATGCAGAACCCGAGACAACAACTGGACCTAAAGTTGAAGCCCGAAGCCCTAACCCAAAGGGTCCAAAGGAGCCAATAATTAGGTACTCGGTTTTGGGATAGTAGTTATGTAGGTTAGGATTTGGGCGAGTATATGATTATTAGGTACTTGGATCCTCGGGGTAACTCTCAAGCCATGATCCCTAAACCCTAAACCCTAAACCCTACTAAACCCTACTAAACCCTAAACCCTAAACCCTAAACCCTACTAAACCCTAAACACTAAACCCTAAACCCTACTAAACCCTACTAAACCCTAAACCCTAAACCCTAAACCCTACTAAATACTAAACCCTAAACACTAAACCCTAAACACTAAACACTAAACCCTAAACCCTAAACCCTAAACCCTACTAAACCCTAAACCCTAAACCCTACTAAACCCTACTAAACCCTAAACCCTAAACCCTAAACCCTAAACCCTACTAAACCCTAAACACTAAACCCTAAACCCTACTAAACCCTACTAAACCCTAAACCCTAAACCCTACTAAACCCTAAACCCTAAACCCTAAACCCTACTAAACCCTACTAAACCCTAAACCCTAAACCCTAAACCCTACTAAACCCTAAACCCTAAACCCTAAACCCTAAACCCTAAACCCTAAACCCTAAACACTAAACACTAAACCCTAAACCGCGTGAGAGCGCGAAAGCCAAGGCACTTCTTCCAGTCACGCAGCGACTGTTCCAGCGACGTCTGGAAGCCTGGACTGGCATAGTGGGTTTAGGGTTTAGTCTTTAGGGTTTAGGGTTCAGGGTTGGCATAGGATGTTGGGGAGTGGATTATACTGTTGATGATATAAATCCTGCATTACCTGAAGGACCCGAAACTGTGGGAATTATGGTATATTCCCTCTTATGCAGGATTTATACCATCAACCGTAGTCTACATGGGGTTTACAGGGTTTATAGTAGAAGCCAGAAAGTTGGAACATCAGACTCCCCATGCCCTTAAGGTAAAGTATAAGGGATCCTAGCACTAATCCTCCTAAAGCCATGTTCCAACTTTCTGGCTTCTACTGTAGGGTACTTAGGGAGCCCTGTGGAGTTGGATTTCCCAGCGGGTGCATGCATACTACTCTATTGGAATTACGCCAAACCCTCCAAAATCTATTAATTCGTTTGAGGAATATACCTTAAATCATATTAGGGATCCTACTATAATTTTATCTTCCTGAATTAACTAAGGGATATTGCAAGGTCCCTAGCTGCGGAGACCCTCCTCTGAACTCGCTAAACCCTTCCCTTTTAAAAGTAGTGTAGGGCTTAGGGCTCAGGTCTAAGGGTAAGGCTAATTTAAAACTAGTTTGCGGGCCTATTGGCAATATAAGGACAGTCAGGGATACTGCTGCTCATTATAATTCTGTGTGTTTGTTTGCGCTTATGGTTTAGGGCCTTGGTTGGAGGTTGCGTTGTGGAATTTCTTTTGCACGGAGGGACTAGGGCTTTGTGGTGCAACATTGGGGGGATGGGGTGTCGGCTTCCGTAAACCCTAAACACTGCTGAAACCACTTCTAACCTTGGTTACAAACTACTAAGTCCCATGTTTCTTGAAGTAGAGCCTCCTTTCCGAAGCCCTGAAATTCTGTTACTACAACCATCAACCCTTCCTGTGGCCCTCACGGTGTAGGGTTTTGGGTTTGTGTACGGTTTAGGGTTTCTCAGCCCTATGAGCCTTAAGCTTGCAAAGACCCCACATCGATCAGGCAGACATCAAAGCTAGGTGGTGCTTTTAGAGCCATTGAAAAATATTAGTAAACAAGATCCTCTTAAGCCCAATAAGGGAAAATATAAAATGTCCCAAAGCCCTACCTAGAAAGCCACGGCCTTTGAAGGACTCGAGCTTGGAGTCAGCCTCGATGATGTTATCCCACATGCTCCTTGGCTTCCCAGAGACTCCTATATCCCTTAATTAAAGAATATTCCTTAAATTATAGTAGGATCCCTTTTATGATTGAAGGAATATTCCTTAATTAAGGGATATTGGAGTCTCTGGGTTGGGGTCTTGGGTGTAGGGTTTCGGAATTAGGGTTTCGAGTTCCGGGTTCAAGGCCTGGTGTTGCGAGTTTCGGGCTTAAGGGGTTTAGGGTTCGGCGGTTCGGGTTTAGTATTTCCGGGCTTTGGTTGAAGGTGTAGGGCTTGAGGGTTGACGGTTGAGGTCATTCTAAAGTTCATTAGACTGGCAGGGCCTTCAATTCAAGGTCTGCCCGTCTTGTCTTGCGTCAAGGCCAATAAAACCTGAACCCCTAGACCGCAAACCCCAAGACCCAGTTCCCACCCAAAAATGAAGGCCGGGGCGCTGGTTGATCCAGTCTGGAGACGGATTGGCGGCTTGTCCGGAACGGTCCTTGTCAGACGGTTCTTGGCACTGCAACGATTAAGACTAACCGTTGAAAGGACACCGCCTACTGCTGCACAACAACTGCTACTGCCATTGCTTGTAATGGTTCTGAAACTGCTGCTGCTACGAAGAAAACATATCTGCCACACTGCTATACTTTAGAAAGGGTCCCCCACCCTGTAATAGTGGTATAATAGGAATATAATGGGTTTAATAGGGCCCTTCTATAATCCTTATAGTCACTATTACAGGGTGGGGGCAGCTTCTAAGCTATACTGCTCATGCTAGCCGGCTTTTGTTGCAATTAGGCCTTGACCCTGGGCATCAAAATAGCCCAAAAGCCTTAAATAGTACGGTCGTTGGGCACAAAAAGCCTTAATGCATGAGCCCTTAGAGCCCTACAACCTATAGATCCCTTTAAAGGACCCCTTTCTAGATCGCTTTAAAGGAACCCTCTGTGGGTCCTTCGAGCCCTAAGGCTATCTGGCTTGCACCAGGGAGATTAAAGCCAGAGGCCCGGAACCCCGCAATCGAAATTTCGGACGACGCAATCTCAGGAGGGGTCTGTGCATAGGCAACCCTCGGGCTCCATGTATCGATACTGTTGATGATGAGAATCCTGCATTACCTTAAGGACCCTGAACTATGGGAATTATGGCATATTCCTTATTATGGGTAGTGCAGGATTTGTATCATCCGCCGTATTTCACCCCAGAGGATCCATATGCACTTCTATCAAGGAATTCGGCCCTAAAGGACCATCCCCATTATGGTTTTGGGGACCTAGTTCCAGAATAGTAGTGTATATGGACCCCCTGGGCACGTACCCTCTCCTTCAATAACCGGACCGAAAAAGTTTAAACTTTCTAAGATAGACCTTATAAGCCCAAAAAGTTTACAGTTCCCCCCAAAGGCTGTTGATAAATACTACAGACTTGGGAGGTACTTCAAGGCCCCAAGCATTTACTAATGGGCTAGTATGTACATGGACCTCACAACTCTAATCCCAATATGAACCCTTAAAGGAACCCTTAAAGGTACATGTAAACCCCAAACCCGAAAACCGGCTTAAAGAAATGGCAGCCGGGACTCAAAGACCTGCCCGCCGAAGAGGAAGAAAGAGAACTCCGTCTCGTTGAGGTCATTGGAATACTTCAAGACTTGCCTGGGGATACTAGGGGTTGCTGGTATGTCTCCTGCATTATCCGTAATAAGGAATATACCATAGTTCCCGTAGTTTAAGGGTTTTTAGGTACTGCAGGATTCATATCATCAACAGGAGGAGTTCGGTGCTTGGGGTTTAGTGGGTGAACTGGCTCTGTGGGTTTGGGGTTGCCCGAGCTTCAGTTGCTTCGCTTGAGGGCCTAGGATTTGATGCTCAGGATTGAGGATAGGCTTACCTGGAGTAACCACGGTGCCAGAAACAAGTGGGCATGTGACGGTGTTTTACGGTCATATCCGTTAAAGTTTGACTGGTTATTCTAGGTAGCCTCAACCCTCAACAGTACATCCTAAACGCAGAAAGCCGAAAAAAACAACATTGGAGTCAACAAAAGGCTTCCCTCGCGGAATCTACCGCAGGGCCCAGCTATCAATAAAAAGACGCCATCAGCTCTTCAGCCCCACACCCTAAACTCCTGGGCTTAACATTTTCATGTCCTGTGAGAGGTCCCGCTCGGCAAAAGCACACAAACCCCCAAGAGTAACACAATCAAACACAAATAAAAGTCTGGAAATTGACCTGAGGCCACCTTGTCCCCAAACCCTAAAAAGACTTATGATAGGGTTTAGGGTTTTGGGTTGGGGGGGGTTAGGGTTTCGGGTTATGTCAGAATCTTACAACCACACCCAAAACGCTAAACACTAATTCAACCCTAAACCCTTCAAGGAACCCAAAACCAGTCTTTGAGAAGGCAGGGCACGCGCACAGGTGCAGGGACAAGAGCAGCTTGTGCCTCTCGAAGATCGCGCGGCAGCCGTACCTTGGTTTGGGCGGGGGTAGCGTTTAGAACCCAGGTCTAGGGTTTATGTTTACCTTAACCCTGAAGAACCTACCTTTTTTAAGGACTTATATAAGGAAATCATAACAGGAAACCATAAAAAGGTAGGTTCTTCAGGGTTAAGGTAGAGTCTAGTATCCAGGGTCTAGGGCTTGGGAATGAGGACTCAAGGGTTGGTTGCTTAGGGTTTTTTGGCTTTAACTCTGAAGAACCTACCTGGTTGAGGGTTCCTTGTTATGATTTCCTTATATAAGCCCTGAAAGAGGCAGGTTCTTCGGGGTTTAGCCTTAAACCCCTAAACCACGAACCCTAACTTTGTAAGGTGTAGGGCTGGAAGTATTAAGGCTCCAATTATGGAAGAAGGGCTAGAGCTTGGTTAAGGTTTCGAGTTTAGGGTTTAGTGCGAGGATCGGGGCCTAGTCTCAGGAAGATAGCTGGTAGTCTACATAAAGGATGGTGGCACGTAGTAAAAAAGGGCTAATATCAATCAGGACAACCATATTTATAACTACTTATAGCCCCAGTTTATTAAGGTACTGATAAGCATACTTACTAAGTCCCATGGTCCTCCAAGCACGAAACCAAGGCAGATGCTGCTTCTGACCGGCTCCATCTTTGACGATGGCACGGGCTTTACGGTGTTATCGCCCGATTCAACACACTTTGCAGGGTTCTTGTTCCAAAGGACAAGCCCGACCCGAAACCACATTAATTTCAAAACGGTGTATAAAATACTCCGCTGGCCAGGCCACGTAAATCACACTTTTCGGTACTCCGCTACTCCCCAAGACGTCTTAAGACGAGACAGATCCAGTAGTTCAAAACTTTTTGGTTCTCCCGATGTATGCAGATAGAACCCTATAATCCCATTCTACAGCCCTGTAATCCCTCTATCAAGCCCCGTTGAGTCTAAGTCGGCAAAAAGTCCTCACCTGGACCCTATATATTCGTCCTTTTCAGGGTTCCTGACTATGACTTCGTTATGTACGTCCTTAAAAGTGTGTGTTATTAAGGGTAAAGGGTTTGGGGTTCGTAAGACCTTGACAAAGTAGGTGCTTAAGGGTCCATGTATCCACATAGTATATACTTTGGCCTTAAAGTAGTCCGTATTTAAATACTTTAGGGCCAGATCATCTACTGTTTGGGTACATGGACCCTTGAACCCTAAACTTTAATGGTACCCTTATAAAAACCCTTAAAGGAACCCCTTAAAGGGCACATGCACCCTTAGGGATAGCCTAAACAAGTCTTTTCAAGAGGCTTGTAGACCGCCAGGGCGTGGAAAGCGTTGAGGTCTTCGATGCGCTCTTCCACACCTCGGGTTTAGGGAGTTTAAGGGATTTTCGCCGTTTAGCGCTTCTACTGTGGAGTGAGTTTAGGGCTTAATTAGGAAGTTTCAGGCCTTTAGGTTTTAATTAGGGTTTCGTAGGGCCCCTTACAAAGGGTTACGGTTTGGGACTTGGCTGAGCGACTATAGACGATTATAGCTGCTACTTGTTTTTTTTGTTTTTGGGTGCATCGCGCGCTCTTGTTTTTTTGCTTGGGGGCTTTGTGACTTGCTTCGGGGGGTGGGCGGTTGGGGCAGAGGGTATAGGATTGTTGAGAGGGGTTAGGGATCAGGATTACAAGCTCTAAGGAATCATCGGATTGGGATTTAGAAGCTTACCTCGGGCTTACGGTTTAGGGAACCGGCCATCCTGGCTTTCAAAGCTGTCGACCTAAGATCCATCTGCTCTGCATTGAGAAATCACAAAAGACCTTGCAACCTCAGCACTTTCGGAAAGCTAACAAGTGGTCCTCATTCAATATAGCCTTTAGCTGATACGACCAAGCCTCCAAAACCTCATCCCTACACGCCAAGAATGTGCCCTGAAATCTTTTTAAACAAGTCCTTGAGCCCCAGAACCCCCCACCCTCCCCAAGTAAAAAATCAACACCTCAAAACCGGTTAAGGGTTTAGGGCTTAGAGGGTTTAGGGCTTGGGGCCCAGAGGGGGCCTCCAACCGAGATTTTCTTCTCCGCGCTCTTCTCGATGCTCTGAATGTAAAGGAGCTCGTAGGCTGCCAGAGCGAACCTGATTTTCATGGGGCTAGTCGGCTGTTGCAAGCGTTCTACCGGGGGCAACGTGAAGTATTTTAGATTTAGAATTCGTGACGGGGATTTAGGACTAAAAATGGGGCTTAGTGGCTTCATTCGGGTATGGATGATGAGCCCATGATTGCCGGGGCCCTGTGAATCAAAAAATCCCTCAACTCTGAACTAAGCACACTGAACCCAGCACGCTTTACTTTCAACTCTTACTCATCACTAAGCTTTAAAAACTCTTGAAAGAACCTTTCCAGGACTCCAGGAAAGGGCCTAGGGTTTGCAGGATTCAAGTTTGGGCTTCGTGATTTAAGGATTAGAACGGTTTAGGGCTAGAGCTCAGGGCTCAATGGGACTTTGTCGAGTTAGGGTTGGGTTTAGGACCACGGCTTTGCTGCGTTTACACGTTCATCGAACCACTACAGGATGCACAGGGCCCTCTAAACGCTAAACCCTTAAACCTTTACACCCCTAAACCCGTAATCCCGAAGCCCCTAGCACCCTCTATACAACTAATATAGGGGCCTCAATAATTAGAATAGGGTTTTGGGGCCCACTATATTAAGGAACCCCCAAGATAGTATTGGTAATTCTGAAGGCCCCTACTTATTTATGGTACTCTTATAGATCCCTTGTTGCTTCCCTTATAGACCCCTTTAAAGGAACTTTAGGAACTTCATTGGCCCCTATACTGACCATCACCAAAGCATGGTCTGGCGGCTGGTACATCGGATCGATGGCCACGAGATCGTTTAGTACCTCAGGGTTTAGGGTGTAGGGTTTAGGGTCCCGGACCTTCGAAAATCCTATTGAATAAGGCACATACCTTAAACCACCTTAGGGATCCTTACAACTTAGTTTATAACTTATAAGGTATACTCCTTGATTAAGGGGTTAAAAAATTGATTAAGGGGTTAAAAAAGGTCTGGGCTGTTCCTTGAAAGCTTTCCTTGAGGTTTGGAGGCTTACGCTTTATAGGGCTCAGAGCGGCTTACAGTTTCGGGCGTATGAACTTATGGGTTCATAGTGGCTTATAGCCCAGAGGGTCCAAGTACTCCCTATCATAGCTTATTAGGTACCAAAAACCATAAAGAGGGACTACTTGGACCCTTAGGGTAGGGTTTATAGGGTTTAGGGAGTATACCCCAAGGGTCCAAAGGACCCAATAATTGGGTACTCGGTTTTAGGATAGTAGTTATGTAGGTTAAGATTTTGGAGAGTATACGATTATTAGGTACTTGGACCCTTGGGGATAGGGCTTATAAGTATCGAGCAGGGTTTGGGCCTTAAAGCCTGCAGGAGTGGGGATTCCGTGCGAAGGATGACTAGGATACCCAGTAACCTAAGAATAAAAAGACTACTAGGGTTCCTTTAAAGGGGTCCTTTAAAAAGGCTACTATAAGGGATCTATAAGGGTACCAGAATATACTAGGATACCCAGTAACCTAAGAATAAAAAGGCCTCTCTTTTTGGTATTGGGTAACGTTATAAGGAACCTAGGACTACAAAAAGGGAATAAGGGTACTACTGGGCACCCTAGATGATGTAGAGGCACTGGAATTTAGGGGTTTAGGGGGTTTGGACGTTTAGGGCTGAGGGTCTTAGCCCTAACACTCCCGGACCCTCGTAGTGAGATCCCAAACCTTAGCCCCCAAAGCCCAAACCCTCCCCCAGAAAGCCCATGACCCCCTTGGGAATTAGGCTTTAGTGCTTAGAGGCTTAGAGCCGACAGTAGTAGTGGCTATATCGAGACAGCCCTGCGCTTGCCAGGCTGGTGGTGGGTCCTCCAGACACGCAATCGCGTGCAGTGCGCTCGTGTTCGCGCCGCAAAGCATCTCGCTTCTGTTCGTCGAAGCATTGCCCCTCCGGATTCTAGCGACGACGGCATCGGGTGTGCCTGTCAAGGTAGGCCACCTGCCATTGCCGCCAACCTGAGCAACACTCATTCACACCTATATACTCCACTCGCCTACAATACTATATACTACCCTGAACCCCGACTTGGACCCTGCAAAGCCTATGCTTCGGGCGGTCATCATCACTATCAGTTCAGTGTATAAGTCCTTTAGGTTATATGGGGTTAAGGAATACCATATCATTGAGCACTTCGGGAGGGATTCTTTCAACCCGAACCTAACAAGCCCAAACCCTACCGAAAAAGAACCGCAGTGAAGACTATACTTTCAGGGTCCATTTATCCAAATAGTAGAATCTTTGGGCCCAAAGTACGTTGTTATGGACTATTTTTAAGGATACTATAGGCAGACCACCAGACCAGAACCACAAAGTCCGAAGACCCCAAACCACCAAAAACAGTAGAGTAAGCCTTGAAAAGGTAGCCTTCAATGGACCCTACACCCAAAGCACTACAAGGTTTGGGGTTATAAACCTTGAACCCTGAACGCGGACCTATAAACCTTGAACCCCGCATGTGGTGCTAAATCGCGAAGAGGAACCCCTGAGACAGACCCTTGAAAAAAGGAACCCTTGACAGGAACTCTTCCAAGGGCCCCAGCGTAATCCCTTTCAGATCAAGCCCTAGTACAAGCTTTACACCCTACACAACCTAATCCTCAAAAGCCTAAACCCTATAAACCCTAAACAACCTAACCCTAAAAGACCGTTGGAGTGTGTAACATCCCTTCGCAGCTTTCTCTGCGAGCTGCGAAGTACAACACCGCCGAGCGCAGACCAGCAGGACGATAGTTCTCCTTAGCGGCAAACTGGGGTTCCTTCAGGGCTCTACAAAGGGCGGCTGCAAGCATACCATAGTGCTCACGTAAGGGTTCTATAAGCATTCTCAACAAAGGGCTTCTACAGTGTGGTTGGGGTCCATACTGTAGTGTCTAAGGCTGTAGAGCTTCTGCTTCTAGGATACCCAGTAACCTAAGAATATGGTATTGGGTAACTTTATAAGGAACCTAGGACTACAAAAAGGGAATAAGGGTACTACTGGGCATCCCAGGAGTGCTTCTCTCAGCCTCTTCCTCGGCCTCTTTGCTTCCTCCCTTGCTGCCTTTACGTCCCACTATGGGCTATTAGACCCTAAAGGTCCCTATTAGGACCTTATCAAGGGTAGATTAAGGTACCCATAAGGTCTAATAACCCATAGTGGTCTGTGAAGGCAGCTGCAGATTCAGATGCAACGGCATCTGCTTCGAGGGAGGGGTTCCCCCCATAAAAGCTGTGTTTCGGCAGGCCTTCGGTGTCATGGAGACTTAGACACTTGCCAATCCAGTAGTAGCGTTTTAGGTCCCAATTACGACCTTAGCTGCATATACCCTGCCTTTTTTAAGGACTCATATAAGGAAATCATAATCGGGAACCCTGAGAATATAGGTTCCTTCTGTTGATGGACAAAATCCTGCATTACCCCTTACAAGGAATATACCATAGTTCCCATAGTTTAGAGTCCTTAGGGTCATGCAGGATTTCGTCCATCAACAGTTAGGGTCCAGGTATACTCTGAATGGATTACTGCACCTGCAGCCCTGCTATTTGAGCACTCGGACCCCCCGCCTAGGCGGTCTGGGACAAGGAATAAAACCCACAGGGATTCCGTTCCCCTGAAGGCTATCTCAAAGAGAATTTGGGCTTGCTGCGTTAGGAATTGCTATCATGATCCGGGGAAGAATCCCCCGTAGCAGTATCCCTTAGATCCCTTGAAGGAACCCTTAAAGGGACCCCTATAGATCCCTATTACAGGAAACCCTTAAAGTATCCTTTGGCTATGTAAGGCAGCAGCACCGGCCAGAGTTGCTCCGAGACCTGAACCCTCAAACACCCTGCCCTGAGGCTCCTAAGAGGGTTGTAGGGCCCCCAAAAAAGCACCTAAGCACAACTTAGGATAGGGATGTCCCATATAACCCCCCCCATAATGAAGCCCCAAAGCGTAGGCATATCCCTGTAAAATGCTCATGCTTCTGTGCTTTTTGGGTCTCTAGAGGGTTTGGGCTTTGCGGGGGCGAAGGTTTGGGATCTCACTACGAGGGTCCGGGAGCATTAGGGTGAAGAGTCAGAAACCAGGACTTTCGTTACTAGGATACCCAGTAACCTAAGAATAAAAAGGCCTCTCTTTTTGGTATTGGGTAACTTTATCAGGAACCTAGGACTACAAAAAGGGAATAAGGGTACTACTGGGCATCCTAGGTTACCTTCAAGCTAGACGAAGCCTTGCTGTTGAGGCTCTCTGGCTGCATCGATCTTGATCATGGTCCTTGCCGGGCTTGTGGGGGGTCACAGACATGAGGCCTTTGAGATTCTGGCTTGGCTTCGGGGTTTGGGGCGAAGAGCTTCGAGGTTTTTACGGTTTGGAAGAGTTTAGGGCTCATAGCAGCCCCAATGGTCCAAGGCAGTCCTTGTGATTGGGCTTTAACAAAGGAATACTTGGACCCTCAGGGACCCTGAATGAACTATTTCAATCTGATAAAAGGCGTGTAGAGCTCTAGGATTTCAGAGCTTTGATTTGGAATTTGAGACCGGTTGGAGTGACGAAAGGGGCTCGATCAACGGCCACGGATAACCCGACACCGTGCTCTTCAAGGGAGGGTTTAGGGTGCAGTGTTCAGAATTCACAGCAAAGTCTAGTCTACGGCTTACTCCTATCTTTGTGGGTAATCCGACCTGTCGGAACAGAGACTATGAAATAGTAGGTGGTTGGAAATTTTACTGACGACCCGACAACCCACAAAGCAGTAAAACCGCAGGAAACATTAACATCGCTGCAAGTGACTGCTCGGCAATGGCCACCTGTTCCGTGGTCTGTGTACCTTGGCTTTGCAGGCTTAAGTGGTCTTGTTCAGGATGTATAGGAAAGTCTGGTCTCGGGCTTACTCCTATGCTTGTGGATATGTGCCTTGTAGAAAGAGAGACCACAACATAGCACGTAATGATGACCCCATAAACCCCAAAGCATTGCTTTGGAAGGTCTTGAGCTGGAGCTTTGAATGGGGCGGCTTCCCCGGATCACGGTTCAGGGCTTAGGGTTTAGGTTTTAGTTCTGGACAACCAACTGCGCTGTCTCGAAAATCTGGGAACAACCCATGAAGGTAGTGCGTAGGCTAGACGTAAGGCTGAATGTGGAGCAACCCCATTCAAGGTACCGCTGACCCGAACAAGTTATAGCGTAATTACTATATCTCAAAGACCCTCCAAGAACCAGTCACCCTAAACCCTAAATCCTAAACCCTAACCCTAAATCCTAAACCCTACCCACCTACTACCCTAAAGTTCCTGGGTCCTCGTAGTGAGATCCCAATCCTTTGCTCCCAAAACTCCAAGCCTCACCCAGAAAGCCCAGGATCCTCGTAGGAGCCTTACCTATAGTCCTTGGGCCTTTATTAGGGTTCTATAAGGGTTCCTTTAAAGGGATCTATAGGGGATCTATACTATAAAGGGTACTATAAAGGGTTTAGGGTTAGGGTTAATGTAGGAACCTGATTAAGAAATCTTGGGCCTTGGGCCTTTATTAGGGTTCCTTATGTGAATCCTACTCTTTTGGGGCTCTAGGCCCGGGGTTTCTTAACCTACATGAGTCTCCATTGTAGTCCGTTTTGGTTTAGCAAATGGGACTTTCCGAAAATAGGGGACCCGAATATGGTACCCTAAATAGTAGGATCCTTATTATAAGGACCCCAAAATAAGGTACCCCTAATTTTCGGAAACTCCCAAATTTTGCCAGAACCATACCTAGACCCCGGAAGTTGTTTTCATTCGGTTTATAGGGTCTAGTAAGCTTAGGGTAAGTACCTGGTTTCGGATAGCGCTAGACCCCAAACCCTAAACAACAAAGCACAACAAGCCTAAACTCCAAACAACCCTAAACCAGCCTATATAAATAAACTCAAAACACTAAACCACAAAGCACCCTAAGAAACCCTAAACCCTAAACAATCCTAAACTCTAAACACTAAACCCCGAACTATGCCGAAAGGCTGATCACCTTGGACTCCTGCAGCGTGTCGATCAAGCTCAGGTCGTCCAGGAGGGAGCCCTCGAGGCAGATCGCAACAGAATTTGGAAGGTAGTACTATTATTATTGTTATTATTGTTATTATTATTATTATTAGTAGTAGTAGTAGTAGCAGTAGTAGTAGTAGTAGTAGTAGTAGTAGTAGTAGTAGTAGTAGTAGTACTGCCTAACAATAGAACTAGTTAGCAATAGCTATAGTGACCGCAATAGTAACAGAAAAAGTCACAGCCATAGTCACAGGACTTGTAATTCTAACTGACAGTCATTACGACACTTGTAGTCGTAATCGTAGCAGAAATACCAAGGGCGGTAGAAGTCGTGAACTGCCAACATGAACTGGAAAACACAAGCAAATTCAGAGCTGAGGGGCTCTGGGCTAAGGGTTTCGAGGCACAGTGAACAAAGGTATGGGGTTGATGGGATCCGGGGTTGAGGGCTTAGGCTTTGACCTCACCGTACCTACTGGTATCCGTGCCTCCTTACCTTAGATTGCGGATTGTAGGACCCTAAATCCCAGCAGAAAACTGGGTTATGCCCCCCCAAGAAAAAGTGGCCACATGCTAGGGATGGAGGTGCGCCACTAAGCCACGGGCCTTACAGAGCGACATCCCAAGTTTTGAACTCTGAACTGCCCCACTACAGGGAACTCCAGAAAGTTGGAATATGGTTTCAGGGTAGGATACCCTATAATTTACCATAAAGGGGTTACGATAATGATATTCCAACTTTCTGGCTTCTACTGTAAGACTCTAAAACTTAAGGTTTAGGGTAATTATGGGCCTCTGCAGGGTTTAGGGCTATGAGTTTAGGGTTTAGGGCTTAGGGCCTTTAAAGGGCTTAGGGTTATGAGTTTAGGGTTTAGGGCTTAGGGCCTTTAAAGGGCTTAGGGTTATGAGTTTAGGGTTTAGGGTTTAGGAGTTAGGGTTATACCCCAAACGCAACCCACTTGTGCCAGAAGCCTTTTCTGCTGCTCTAAAACCCCAAGCCCTACGATGTGGGGTGCGGGTGACTGAGAACCACATCCCAAAGCTACAGCTGCAAGGGCCCAAGCACCAAGAAACGGAATCCCGCTATATAATGATACATGGGAGTTTCTGAAAATAGGGGACCCTAATATAGTACTCTGAATAGTAGAATCCCAATTACAAGGACCACCAAAATGTGGCACCCCCCTTTTTCGGAAACTCCCACATAGGGACGACAAGGGGCAGTCATGCAAGCCCCAAACCCTAAACCATAAACCCAAATCCTAAACCCTACTACATCGGCCTTCGTCTCAGCAAGAAGACGCAGAATGTCGTTCTCGAGCTCCACCAACCGGTTTCTGCCTTGCGCGAATTTCTGAGTTGGGATTTTCTGAAGTTGGAGGTTTGAGGGGTTCATGGCTCTGGGCAGTGGGATTGTGCCGTTAGGGTTTGCTGACATTTAGTGAGCTTAGTTTTGGTGCCATTTGAGGGCTAGGATGGTTGAAGGTATCGGGGGGGGGTGGGGGCTTTTTGGCTTCCGGTTCGGTACTGGTTGAAATGCGTCGGCAAGCTGAAAGTATATAGTGTTTGGGAACTGAGGGCTTAGGTGTTCGGGCTTTGTCCTTGAAGAAAGCTCTGCGGGCAGGCCTGATGATTTTGCCTGATATTCTGATTCTGCCCCTAAGCAAACATCCGTTGCCATTGGTAGCCGATCTGACCTAACCCCCAAGCCCTAAGCTCGAACAAGCAAAACCCCAACTCAAACTTTGAAGGTACTCAGCCCAAGACTCCAAATCCTGGAAAACATGTTCCTGGCCTTTTGCAACTTGGAAGACCAGCTTGTTCTTCTCGTCCTTGCGCAGTTTATGGAGCTGGATTCATGCTTCAAGATCGAGGGCCAAATTTTGGGATCAGAAACCTGCGGTATTACATTGGGGTGCAGGGGTTTGAGAATGTGTAGGGCTCGGTGTGGCCCCTACATCCTTGCTCAAAGAGCATGGCTGGCTGTATGATGGCCTTGCTGTGGGGTTTACGGTGCCCTCCCTCCTCCCCTTCCAAACCCCTAAACCTTAAACCCCTAAACCCCTAAACCCCTAAACCCCTAAACCCTAAACCCCTAAACACTAAATAAAGAAGAAACCTTAACTGCCTCAACTGATGAAGGACTACTCCTGGGTGTCCGGTCTAAGGACCTTAGAACTAAGGATACGGGAGTTTCCGAAAATAGGGGTACCGTACTTTGGGGGTCCTGATAATAAGGATCCTACTATTTAGGGTACTATGTTAGGGTCCCCTACTTTCGGAAACTCCCATACTGAGGGGCGAAGGCTTTCCCAGAGAGCCCAGCACCTCTCAATTCAGGAAGACTTCTGAGACCATCGAACCCAGACCTTCCAACTTCCAACATGCCTTAATTAAGGAATATGGGATTTTCCGAAAATTAGGGGTACCTTGGGGTCCTCATAATAAGGATCCTATTATTTGGGTACTATTATATTAGGGTCCCCTATTTTCGGAAACTCCCATATACCATGAACTATAATAGGATCCCCAATAACATTTAAGGTTCATAATTTTGGAATGTCTACGAAGGAACCCCGATGCATCCCGCATCTGAAGGCTTGAGGAGGCTTCGCGGCTGGGTGAGGATTCTTTGAATCCTGCTCAATCACGAATCAAGATCCCGCCGTTCTGACCCCCTACACCCTAAGATCCTGCCGTTATGATCTTTAGGCAGGTGGCAGGGTGCTTCAGCAATCAAGCACCGACCCACAAACCTTAAACACCCAAACCCTAAACCATGAATCGCTACCGGCGACCCGCAAGGACCCCCTTAAAGTAGAAGCCAAAAAGTTGGAAACCCACAGACTCAATCCTTAAGAGCAATATGTATAGGGAATGTCTGCGCTATTTGGCCTCACTCCGGTTTCCAACTTTCTGGGGATTACTGTAGTAGGAGTGCTACATCCCTACTAGGCACCCGCAACCGGCAGTATCCTCGCACTTCTGCCTGGACTACATTTACCTTTGGGACCTACATGGGGTTTTAGTACACCAGGCAAGTTAAAGGTTATACCTGGTTATAAATTACTACCCCAAACACTCAGCCCTAAACTTTTAATCCTCCAACCTACCTAGACCCCCCAGCTACCCTTTATTGTAGCCCAGAATTACCTCCTAATGAGAAATATCAGAGCCCTTTAAAGGGTACCTGGGGGGTCCTGGTAAACCCCAAACCCACAGCAAAAGCCTAAACCCTAAACCCCTAAACCCCTAAACCCTAAGTTGCAACAGAGGTTTGAGCTTGGCAGCTCAGGCTTGAGCTTCGAACTTACGCTGCGGATCCTTCTTTTCAGTCAAGAGTGCCAGATGGGAGCTTCCGAGAATTAAGGGCACCTTTAAGGGTTCCTTAAAGGGATCTATAAGGGTTCTATATAGGGTTTAGGGTTTGGGGTTTAGAGTTTCCGAAAAATTACGGGTACCTGATTTTGGGGGTCCTTATAATAAGGATCCTATAATTTAGGGTACTCTATTAGGGTCCCCTAGAATTAAGGGTACCTTATTTTGGGGTCCTTATAAATACGGATCCTATTATTTAGGGTACTCTATTAGGGTCCCCTATTTTTTGAACCCTACATGGACTTGGAAAACCTCCGCATCCTTCTGGCTGCCAGTCTGTTTGAGGTTTACCTTAAACTTAGGGTCTATAGGGTTTCACTCTAAACTTAGGGTTTGCGGTTTGTTTTGACATGTTACATGGCACTTAGGGTTTCGGGTTTAGGGTCTAGGGTAGGGAGGTTTCAGGGATGCGGGTCTCCGGCTTGGGGCTTCGACCCTGTCCCACCTCCAAGCGCGAGTCTTCGCTTCGAACAATCACCCCCAGAAGCCTCAGAGGGAGTCACGGTGTTCGTGATTGGGGTGTGGGCCGGTGTGGGTTTAGGGTTTAGGGCTTAGGGTTTTGGGGATTAGGATTCACAGAGGTTCGGGTTTAGGCTTCGGCTTGGGCTTGCTATGTTCCGTACAAGAACGCAGATGCTGGTGCTCTAAGTCCAAGTACACTTCTCCGGTACTTAGATGCTGAGGGTCAGCTACAAATAGCAGCTAAATACCCCTGAGTGATTCAGTTCGGTGCAGGACCCAATCTCGTCACGAACTGACGAACACTGTAACTTCCGTTCCTCGGCAACATAGACTCTGAGTTGCAATACATTTTTGTAGCTCACCTAGATCGTGACAATGGCCCCATTCCACCAGAACAGTTTAGGTGGGTAGGTCGCGCGTCAGTTCCGAAACATTTGCACGAGGATCCACGAAAGAGCCCAAACTCAGCAGACATATACCTGCCGGCTAGAGGACACCCCCGCCCCCCCCAAGCAGAAATCCCCTGCCCTAAACCCTGACTGCAGTTGCAAATTTAGCGCCAGGGGGTGACAAACCACTGAAACCCAAACCAGAAAACCCTAAACCGAAACCCAAACTACAACCTGAACCCTTAACCAGACAACCCCGGAACCGACACCCGAAATCACAAAAAAAACACGCCCCCAAGGCTACATATGCCTATACAGTGTGTGCATACTTGTCCCTGAAGTACCGAAAATTGGAACCGCCGTATGGCCTGACTATATATCATACATGTATATGGGTGGTTGTCAAAATTATGGCCCCTTTTTGGGTCCCGAATATAATACGGCACCTAAGGCCAAAAGGGACCATAATCTTGACAACTTCCCATATATATATATATATATATATATACATACCTGGATCTTTGGAAACTCAAAGAGTTTGTGCAAAGAGGCTGGTTGGTAAGGCCATCCAGGACCACGATGAAATTCACCTGGGTGTGGAGGCTGACAGGGTGTCAAAAGGGTTCCAGAGCATTTCATGAAGACACCTAAAACCTGTCTTGAGCATACACAGACACATCGACAACCCTTAACAGTAGACACCCAACTACGCCCCCACTGCAGCCTAGATGCCCACGATCAAGAACCATAAGGGCTCCACTAAAGGGTACTTGGGTGTTACGTTCTTTGATGGAATACGTCCTGCTGCAGCATGAGACCTTGCAGCCTTCCCAAAGGACCCATGTACCCAAATAGTATATACTTTGCCCCCCAAAGTACCAATATAGGGACTACCTTAAGGTTTAAGTATCTACTATATGGGAGTTTCCGAAAATAGGGGGACCCTAATATAGTACCCCAAATAGTAGGATCCTTACAATAGGGACCCAAATAAGGTACCCCTAATTTTCGGAAAGTCCCATATGGATACATGGAGCCTTTGGGCTTGGGGTTAGGGCTCGAAGCTTCCTGGCTGTCGGCCCACACCCTAAAGGGAACTCCAGATTGTTGGAATATGGTTTCAGGGTAGGATACCTTATAATTTACCATAAAGGGTTTAGGATAATCATATTCCAACTTTCTGGCTTTTACTGTAAACCAAAAAGCCCGACAGGACCAGTGCCCTTTCATGGAGCTCTTATCGTCCTTAATAGTGAGAGTTGAGGGATCCGAACGGCTCAGGTGTTGTAAATGGTTACAAGAAGGTGCCCTGGGCATCACCTGCCGGACTGCCGAGGCTTGCTAAGACAATATACCCAGAGGGTGCAAGTACTCCCTATTATAGGACTTTAGGGCCTTTTTAGGTACCAAAAACCAGAAATAGGGACTACTTGGACCCTTAGGGATAGGGGCCTTATTAGTTAGAACAGGGTTCTGTAGTCCATTATACTATAACTCTCATAAGGAACGCCAAAAAGAGAGCATAGGTGAATACTTAGGCCCCGATATTAAGAGCCCTTCTCCGTCCGTCAGGTTAAGAGCCTTGTTACTCAACCCTGGAACCACCAATCCTTAAGCTCTACCTGGACCCCGAAAGTATGTAGAATCATGGCCTTTTATAGGTTTTGGGCTATTGTTTTACCTACTTCGGGGGTTTAGGTAGACTCCAAACTTTAAACCCTGAAACCTCAAAGCTAATCCCGATGCCCCCATCGACCTTGTTCTTGAAGTCTTGGGTCCTTAAGGGGTCAATATAGGGCCTTAACTGTAAGGTCCCTGGAAGGATAGCCCTAAACCCCAGCCGAAATTAGGGGGGGGGGTTAGGCCCGCTTCAGACGGACCCCTGCAGTGTCAGCCCAGTCACTGACTTACCTTAGGTTAGTAGGGAATGGAGGAATGGGGTACAACTATAACTACCCAGAGAGCCCAATACCCGTTAATTAAGGAATTTGGCTCAAATTATATAGGGCTCCATACTATGATTTAAGCTATATTCCTTAATTTATGATTTAAGCTATATTCCTTAATTAAGGGGTATTGGGCTCTCTGGGTATTCTTCCATTCCCTGCTAACCAAAGGCAAGCTGAGGGCTGGCTAGTCCTAAACCGCGGGTTCAGGGTTTAGGGTTTAGGGTTCAGGGTTTAAGTTTTAGGGTTTGGATTCAGAGAACCCTTACGTCCTGCAGACCTGCAGTTTACCTGCAGCCCAAATTATCATACCCCGTGAAGGACTAGACATACAGAAGTCATGATAAGGAAACCTACAAAGGGTAGGGTTTCTATAGTCCTGGTAATTTTGAGGGTTTGCAACAAAGTAAAGCCCTTGCCTCTAAATCCCTGCCTGTCACAGCTTCTTGCAAGCAGTTGGCAATAGTCGTCTTCGTGGAGACTTCGGGCGTGTAGTGCGGATTCGACAGCTTCGTGGTGATGTAGAACCTATACTGAACTTAGAACTTAGGGAATAAAATCACCAAAAATTGAAAATTGCAATTTTAGCTGTTCCTTAGGGATTATAATAACCAAAAACTAAAGCTTATTTTTTCTAAGTATTTTTAGGGAACCTGCAGCTCCCGGGTCGCCGGGGTTCAGGGGACTTTGGGTTTAGGGCTTAGGGTTTAGGGGTTTGGGGGCTTAGGGCTTAGGGGTTTAGGGTGTTAGGGTTTAGGGGTTTTGGGTTCAGGGGCTTAGTGTTTAGGGGTTTGGGGGCCTAGGGCTTAGAAGTTTAGGGTGTTAGGGTTTAGGGGTTTTGGGTTCAGGGGCTTAGTGTTTAGGGGTTTGGGGGCTTAGGGCTTAGAAGTTTAGGGTGTTAGGGTTTAGGGGTTTTGGGTTCAGGGGCTTAGGGTTTAGGGGATTGGGGGCTTAGGGCTTAGAAATTTAGGGTGTTAGGGTTTAGGGGTTCAGGGGCTTAGGGTTTAGGGGATTGGGGGCTTAGGGGTTTAGGGTGTTAGGGTTGGAAGTCTGGACTGATGCCTGAACTTCCGAGTGCCCCTTAATACAGCCCTCATCATCCGTAATAGTGGGCACTATTGCTACAGGGTACTTGGGGGGTGTTGGTGCCCGAGGGCTCCAAAAGACCTTGTGCTTTTGGAAGCTGGCTTGCCCTAAACCCTAAACCCGATAGAAACCCTAAACTAAACCCTAAACCCTGTTTAGGGTTCCAGTTCGAAGTTGAAGGTTCCAGGGTCCGGACACAGGCCTCAGGTGTAGATTCAGAAGGTGGCAGTTTCAGACATGAGAGCACCTTGAAAAAGGGTCCATAGGTCCTGAATGTGACGACCGCCAAATTCCACTGAAACCTGTATACCGTATGCCTAGCTTCAGAAGTTTTTGCGGGGTCTGAAGATTCAAAGCCTTTATGTCAGGAGCAGGAGTGTGAGGAGTTCTCCTGCAAACCAATGCGCGAGCCCAGGTGAACAATGCCGTCCTCCCCGGATGAGATTGATACACAAAAGGCCATCACAACAAAACGGTTTAGAGACAATTGCGAACAAGACATGATGTAATCCAGACGGACGAAGTATCGACAACCTATGTGTACGGCATAACTGTTCTATCCTTACACTTTTGAATATATATCTATATATATATATATATATAGATAGATAGATAGATAGATAGATATACATATGCGCCATCTCCAGCCATGCAGCATGAACTGAGGATTGTAGTCCAGAACATTGTCGCCCACTTTGATGGAGAGACTGCCTCAGGGCATGGTAAGTACACGGCTTCCTGCTATAATAACATACAAAAAGGTTTCTACAGGCTTGTAGTGTAAAGCACTATACTGAAAGGGCGTGTAGCGGCCCAGACATTCCAATTGAGGAATATACCTAAAACCAGAGTAACTATGTAGGATCCCTAATACGACTTAATGGCGTATCTTCCTAAGTTTTTGGGTTTTGGAAGGCCTGAGAGATTAGAGGTCGATGAATTATATTAGGGCCCCAAAAAGGCACATAAGCAAGACTTAGGATAGGGATATCCCATATAAACCCCCTTATAAGGAAGCCCATTATGGTAGGGATATCCCTATAAAATGCGTATGCTTATGTGCTTTTTTGTCCCCTAAAAAAAAAAAGAGCTTGTAGATGCACGGGCTGCCCAGTGGGAACGCGAATTACATGCATGATTCGGAGAAAAGTCGAAGGAGTAGAACCTGTTAAGGGCTGGAGCCCTGGGGATCTAAGGACTCATATATTAAGGCTTTTGGGCTCAAAGACCATATACTATAAGGTTTATGGGCTATTTTGATCCCCAGGGGAGGATGACAGAGTTTGATAGATGTAGCCGAGTGTTGACAACAAGCTAGACGCCATTTGCGTCTTGCGTGACATAGCTACTGCTGATGTTGCAGGCAGCCTCAAAAAAGACACGGTCACTTAGCAAAAATCCTGCCATAGAAGGTAGAACCCCGTGTGTCTGCTTTAAAGTACGCCTGAATTGTCACGAACCAGACTACTACACAGAACCCTATGTGCCTGCATTGAATAAAGTACATAAGAGTTATCACGAATTAAGATTGTCTGCAGCTCATACTGTTCCTGTGTAGAGCGGTTTTGGAGCGCGGACTGCAGGGGGACATGTAACGGTGAGTCACAATTGAGGTGTCATTTAGGGTTGTCCTTACGACAACGGTAACTCCCATACCATGTGTGCCCATAGACGGCCATGGACGAATGTAACACGACCCTTCAACAAACAGATTTAACTATAATCTGTAATAATCTATGATTACATGGGGCCACAGGTTCAAGGCCGCAAAGTTAAACCCAACCCCAGACCTCCGCAGTTAGAGCCAATCGGAAGCTCCCAGAAGCAGGCCTCCGTGAACCTTACAAGGCCCATTTTTTTGGGGGGGATCCTGATATTACATGAGAGCCGAAACCCCAACTCCAAGCGCTAGAATAAAAACATGTACCGCATCTTTCGCCTCCACCGGTGTCGATGATGTTCTTGGCCAGGATCGGCTCCAGTGATGGATCAAGCTCCTGACGCAGAGATTTACGGGAGTTTCCGAAAATTAGGGGTACCTCATTTTGGGGTCCTTGTAATAATCACCCTATCAGTTAGGGTACTATTTAAGGGGGCCCCATTTCCGGAAATTAATTTGGCTGCCACTTAGCCCACAAAAGAGTGAGGCTTTTGGGCTTTTTCGTCGCTGTGGTTTAGGTTACACGGTTACACCTTATCCCGCCAAAGCGTTTCGTTGCTTTGTCCAACCGAAGTGATGCTTTAGGGCTGAAAGTTTAAAACTTATAATAAGCCCTACTCACTAAGCCCTACCCTAGGGATCTAAGGGCAGAAATAGTAAGGTTTTTGGGCCCAAAGACCATACTACATAAGGCTTTGGGGCTATTTTGATCCCTAGGGCTAGAGCACCTAAACCATCCTAAACCCTAAAGCCCTACACCCTGAACCCCTAAACCCTAAACCCCTAGACCCTAAACCCCTAAACCCTAAACCCCTAAACCCTAAACCCCTAAACCCTAAACCCTAAGCCCTAAACCATCCTAAAACCGGGAATCCCTGAAACCCAATCCTCGGCAACGTTCTCCAAGAGCACCGGTGTGCCGAACTCAATCGCACGCTCGAGCGACTTCATGATATCCTGACGGCCAGGTCGATCTAAGCTTACCCATAGGCTCCGTAGTAGTTCTCAACAAATCCTGGGTACTGTTATGGGGGATATTTCCTGTATAATAGTAATTCCTAATATGGAAACCCTACATTCTAGTATATAGGTACATCGGAACCTTTGGGATAGGCTCCGTAATAGTTCCTTTTTGCGGATTACCTTATAGGATTCGAAGGTTCAAAGCCTGAACTTGACCGCTGCGTTTGGGCTTCAAAAAAAAGGGTCGATGATGTACCATGTCCTCCATGCTAACACGGTGTCTCTTGAGCACATGCACATGGGATGGAACACGTATGTGTATGCATCCTAAACTTCCTGCGAGAAGTGCGCGCAAAACATGGCACTGTGGACAAAAGAGAATAGCCTGTAGAATACCTTACAGAATACCCTTTCTAAAAACCTAAAAAGGAGTTCATACAACATACGGTACGACCTTCTAGAATAACCCCCTACATACCTTGTATAAAGCTGTTTGAACACCCTCTAAACTGGACAGCACCTGTTAGAACACGGTTTAGAACAACACCTAGATATACCTTCTAGGCTAGCGGAATCTAGGATCCGTGAACAAATCGAAGCCTAAGGGATACACATAGAGAACAGAATACCTGATAACATCTCCCTTTACATACCCTATAGAATACCTTCTACAACACATTGTGGAATAACCTATACAATAGCTTTTGGACTACCTTATGCAATACTTTACACAATTCCCCCGACGTAGCCTACATATACCTTCTAGAACACCGTCTGGAATACCCTGTAGAATACCTTCTATGAGACCGCCTATAACACCTGTTAGAACACGGTTTAGAACAACACCTAGATATACCTTCTAGGCTAGCGGAATCTAGGATCCGTGAACAAATCGAAGCCTAAGGGATACACATAGAGAACAGAATACCTGATAACATCTCCCTTTACATACCCTATAGAATACCTTCTACAACGCATTGTGGAATAACCTATACAATAGCTTTTGGACTACCTTATGCAATACTTTACACAACTCCCCCGATGTAGCCTACATATACCTTCTAGAACACCGTCTGGAATACCCTGTAGAATACCTTCTATGAGACCGCCTATACCCCTTGCATAATTACTATATATATATATATACACACACACCATATAGCATGCCTGTAGAATACCTTCTGGGATACCCCTTATAATCCTCTGCAGAATACCCGAATACCCTATAGAGTACACTGAAGGTAGGGACTTGAAATATGCAAAACCATTCGGAGCCCAAGATCTGAGAAGCCCCCATTTCAATTCTAGCTTATTGGGCAAAGGATTACTATGAAGAGAATCCAGAACCAAGAAGAGTAGCAAGATATTTACCTTACAGAATACCCCATCCATATATACCTTACAAGGACTTTACCACAACTTCATATAAAATGCCCATATTTTATGACATTCCGGTTTCCTTATGGAGCCCAAGATCTGAGAAGCCCCCATTTCAATTCTAGCTTATTGGGCAAAGGATTACTATGAAGAGAATCCAGAACCAAGAAGAGTAGCAAGATATTTACCTTACAGAATACCCCATCCATATATACCTTACAAGGACTTTACCACAACTTCATATAAAATGCCCATATTTTATGACATTCCGGTTTCCTTATGAAATACCGGTTTAAAGCGGAAATCTATCTGCTGCGTTTTTGCTGTTTTACGGCTTGCAGAACATCAACACAGCGGATACTGATTAGAGTTAGTAGATAATTTGAGCGGTTTCGTTAGTGGTATTACTCAAAAGACTTGAAATAGTCTTAACACTAGTATAACTATTGTTATTGTCATTAGAAGTAGTATTAGCAATTTATAGAGATGAGTGTGATAGAGGTAAGTTCTAGTCCAGTTCAGTGAGCCCGAAGGATGAAGGAGGTTCAGCGTTCTTGTGCAGTGGAAGAGAACCAAAATCACAAAAAAACAAAAAACAAAACCAAAAAAGCAAAAAAAAAACAAAACCAAAAAAAAACAAAAACGAAAAACAAAAAAAACAATTTTCAGAAAGTCTTCTGTAAGTAGCATTATCCCGAACTCTTGATCAAGACTGTCTGAAAATTGTTTTTTTTGTTTTTTTGTTTTTTTGGTTTTGTTTTTTTTGGTTTTGGTTCTCTTCCACTGCACAAGACAACCCAAACCCTTTCCCCAAACCCTAAAACCCTTCCGCCCTTGAAGACGATGCGATACGCGTCGTCGTTGTAGTGTGTTGCTTCGGTTTTCGTGAACGAAGTTGAACAGCGAAAACGCAGCGGTCAAGTTCAGGCCTCGAGCCGATTCTAAATATGAGCCCCCAGAAAGGAACTACTGAACTACTATGGAGCCCATGGGTACTCTTTTTTTGATTTCTACAACCGCCCAGGCTTGAGTTTAGTTTAGGTTTTCAGGTTTATAGTTTAGGGCTTAGACTTCCAGGGACCTTAATAATTATTGGGTCCTTAAAGGGGCCCCAACTATGGGGTCCTTGGAGGCATTGGGTAGGGCTTAGGATTAGGGGTTCTAGGGTTGAGGGTTTAGGGCGCTGACGAAAACTTACTGCGCTCACATACGTGTAAGTGTCGATAAAGATGACTGCAAAAGTGGTTTCGCAGCCTTTGTGAGCTTAGGTTCCTCAGGAACCCCTTTACAATAAGGGTACCTTTTTCCTACCATTCAGTAATAATCAGGAGTCACATCATATACGGTCCTCACGAAATAGCACAGGGTGTCGGAGCAGACTATACTATGATTATGATAAGGAGCCCTGAACAGTTCTATTTCGAATTCCACAGGCTTCGATATTACCCTGCGTAAACCCTGACCATACTTTCAAGAAACCTGCCTTACAGAAACCCTTCGACGAATCTTTGAGAAATCCTACTCTTCTGGTACTATAGGGGCCTTACTTATTACCTACACTGTTTTTTTTTGGGGGGGTCCTTATTACAGTTGCGGTAAAATGGGCCCCAATGCCCTATTCTCATTATGAAGGCCCCTTTGTTATAGCACCCTTATAGACCCCTTATACTGTAACCCTTATAAACCCCTTTAATGGAAGCCTACTCTAATTATTAAGGCCCCGATATTGCCCAAATTGCCAAAACACCTTGGAGTTGGGGTGAACCTTGCTCGTCTCGTACCCAACCCTAACCCTAAACCCCAAAACCCTAAACCCCAAACCCCAAACCCTAAACCCTAAACCCCAAACCCAAAACCCCAAACCCGAAACCCTGAACCCCAAAACCCAAACCCCAAAAGGCCTTGGAGTTGGGGTCGAAGACCTTTAGCTGCCTGGACTCCTCCATCTTCCGGACCCACGTGTTTGCCTTCGCTTTAGGGATTACGATCTACCTTATGAAACCCGAACAATCTGGATTCATACACGGAAATGATAATAAGGAGCCCTAAAAAGGTAGGTTCTTCAGGGTTAAGGTAAGACTTATTGGGGTTTATAGGGTTTACAGAGTTTATAGGGTTGGTAGGGTTTAAGGCTTGTAGGTTTTAGGGCAGGGTTTCGGCCTTTGCGATTTGTGTGAAGGGTGGGGGGGGGGGGTGCGTGGTACGGTTGAGAGTGTAGGGATTAAGGTTAAGGGCGTAGGTTGGGGGGGTTTAGTGTCCAGGGTTTAGAGGAGCGATTTACGGGGGCGGAGTGGATAGGGTGTAAAATTCAGGGCTGAGGGTTTGGGGTTTAGGGTGGGGGCATGACGGTTCTATCAAGTTTCGAGGCGTAGGGTTTACAATTAGAGGTTTAGGTTTTCGAGGTTCAAGGTATGTTATGCGCTAGGGTTCTATAACCCAGAGGGTCCATATACACTACTATTATGGAATTGGGCCCTCAAAGACCATCCCCATTATGGTTTTTGGGACCTAATTCCACAATGGTAGTGTATATGGACCCTCTTGGCTACAGGGCTTCTGCAAGGGTCCTTGATAAAGGCTCTATAGGAGGATGCATCCAGGATTATGGGCCGAGGGCGTACTCATGCGATTTAGGGTGCAAGGTCTATGCGTCAGTCAGATTTCGCCAAGCTCCCCCACCCTGCACATCAAAATTCAACAGCATAATTAAAAACCTCGATGACTCTGTAAACGCTTATTCGAATCTAGCCTCGGCTCCAAGCAAAGCCTCGTGATTCCTCACACCCCAGAGCCCCAGAGCTGTGGGTCTAAAGCCGAATCCCGAAACTCCAAAATGCGAGAAAACCTTGGCTGCTTCCAAGACCCTGTATCGTAGTACCTTTCCTAGGTTGCCCTCAAAGACACCCTAAACCTTAAACCCTACAACAACCCTAAACCCTAAACACCCAAAGGAAAAACTGGCTACACCCTTGAAGCTGCCATCAACGGCTCCCCGACCTCAACCAGACCCTCTAAAACCAACTCTCCAGACCCCTGAGGCCCTGAAGCCCTAGGAACCGCAAACCCTTAGGACCCCAAACCCTAAAACCCAAAGCCCTGAACCCTGACTTGGAGAAGGGGCCGCATTCTCCTGAAAAAAACCCTACCCCAAGGGTCCAAGTACCCAATAGTCATATACTCTCCAAAATCCTATAACCTACATAACTACTATCCTAAAACCGAGTACCTGATTATTGGGTCCTTTGGACCCTTGGGGCTATGCCCCAACACCCTAAACCCCTGAAGCCCTAAACTGCTCTCTGACCCGGTTCTGTGGATCAAAAGCCAGCACTCTAAACCCTAAAACCCTAAAACCCCTACACCCTAAGACACCAAACCCTAAACCCTAAACCCTAAAACCCTAAAACCCCTACACCCTAAGACACCAAACCCCTAATTTCTAAAGCCCGGAACTGCTCTCCGACCTGATTCTGTGGATCGATCATCAGCGGGAAGCGCCGGCTCTTCGTCACCAGCACCTGAATTGTCTCTACCCGCAGGGTTTATAGGGTTTAGTTTGTATTAGGGTTTAGGATTTAGGCTCTTGGGGCTTCTGCAAACTAAAGGGTTAGGCTTGATAATTTTAGGGTGCTAGGGCACAAGGTATAGGGGGAAGAGCGAAATTTAATGATCAGGGGTTCTATGGCATCCTGCTGCAATACTCATGACAAGCCCCGGATGCGACGGCAGGCTTCTTTCAGGTAACGATAGAGAGCTCATGCGACTTAGGATTAGGCATCCATCATCAAACATACACGGTTCACGGTTCAGGGCTATAGGGTTTAGAGATGTCATGGGGGATTTCAGTGTCCAAGACTACTAGGGATTCATCTGACATGTAAAGGGTTTCATAGGTCTTAATAGAGCCCCAAAAAACACATAAGCAAAAATTAGGATAGGGATATCCCATATAAACCCCCCTATAAGGAAGCCCAGTAAGGTAGGGATATCCCTATAAAATGCTTATGCTTTTGTGCCTTTTGGGTCCCTAACTCAAGGGATCCACGAATCACGTAGGCCAGAGCCTGAGGCTTTTGGCTTGCACATATCTTTAGGGTTCCCTTAAAGGGTTACTATAAGGGTGTTACAAGGGTTCCTTTAAAGGGCTCTATAAGGGTTTAGAGTTTCAGCACTTGGGAGAGTATCTGATCCCTACCTGTAGCCGAAAAGACCTATATAAATACCTTTTTTGGGGCTCCTTAATATGCTTTCTATCCACAGTTCCTTAAAGAGTTAGGTCTTTTGGGCTACAAGTAGGCGTAGTACATACTTGCACCCTGAAGTACCTAAACAGGTACTGCAGGGCCTTCATGATTAGGACAGGGTTTCGGGGTGTATTCTACTAACTATATCTTTCTGATAAGGAACCAAACCCAACACTTAGCCGGCCAGGTGGCTCCATTCTCAGTGCTGAAGTCATCCGCCGGCAGCTTTTGAAGGTTCCTTTGAGATGCTTCAAAACGGCTTCAGGCCTTAAGGCTTTTCGGGTTTAGGGTTCAGTTCCTTTGAGGCGTTGAAAAAAGGCTTCAGGGGTTAAAGGCTTGAAATTAATTGCCTTCGTGGTCCGAATTTGGCTTTAGGGTATACGATGGTGTAATCAACTGTTAACGATAAGGAGATACCATTGACATGTACTCCGGGCTATCTGTAGTGTAGTCTGCCTGAGTGCTAGTTTAAACTATCTGAACCCTCAAACCTACATACTCTGAAACCTGCAGCCCAAAACTCTCAGGCCTCTATCTATCTATAAATATCTATAAATATCTATAAATATATATATATATATATATACATCGTGACTGCCCCGCCCTAGATCCGGAACCTGAACCCTAAAACATAATCCCACGCGCACAACCTTAAGCCTTAAAGCCGACGCCCGGTACTAACCTGAATCCGAAGTCCATAGTGTAGCTCATGGCTCCACTCGCGCACTTCCGTCGGCTTTGCCAGGAAGCTCGCAAATGTATAGCTCGAGGTCACCGGTACTTCCTGGTGTTGTGAGTTTAAGCTTGTGGGTTTAGCCGCTTGGACTAGGGTTTAAGCCTTGCTGTGTTGAGTGCTGTCCTCAAGACTTACATGGAGGACTAACCTAAATTGGGGCACTTCATGAAGATGGTTTATAATAGATGGAGAAGGTTTAGATGTCTTCAAGGTAGAGCCCTTAACTCAGGGGTGTTGGGCTCTCTGACACTGGCTCTCTGCAACCCCAAATCGACAAGGAACTCCAAACCCTGCTGACCGCAACCCCTAGGCCTCAAATCCAAAGCCTTCTGCCCCAACACTACTGTTGATGGACAAAATCCTGCATGACGCTAAGGACTCTAAACTATGGGAACTATGGTATATTCCCTATTATGGGTAATGCAGGGTTTTGTCCATCAGCAGTAACACCCTAAACCCTCCTTGACTTCTCAAACTCTGAACCCTACGCCCTAAACCTTAAAACCCCTAAAACCCCTGAACACTTACCCAGACCCCCGGGTGGATCTAGAAAGTAGATCCCCTAATTTAATAATGGAGCCCTATACTACTAAGGGTACCTTATAGGAACCCCCATTAAGGGATATACTTATTGGATCCTCCCGGGAGTCTGGAACCCTAAACCCTAAACCCTAAAACCAATAAACCCTAAAACCCTAAGCCCTAAACCCCCTAAACCCAAAACCCCGAAACCCCTAAACTGAGCCCTGCAGATGGGAGTTTCCGAAAATAGGGGACCCTAATATAGTACCCTAAGTAACAAGATCCTTATTATAAGGACCCTACAATGAGGTACCACTTTTTTTTCGGAAAACCCTAGATGGCCTTCTCCTTCACCGACATCATCCACTCACCGCCGACGAGCTCATCGCGATAGGTCCTCTGCTTCGGACGATGCGGCACATGGACTTCAGGGTTCCTGGTTAGGGTTTAGGGGTTTAGGGTTTAGGGTTTAGGCGTTAGGGTTTAGGGTTTAGGGTTTAGGGGTTAGGGTTTAGGTTTTAGGGTTTAGCGCAGAAATCCCTATACGAGGGGTTGACAAGGATCCCCAGTGGTAGCATTTGAGGTCCTGCATATCAGGTTCTGAATGGCGTCAATACCTAGACCTAAAACCAACCAATGGGGTCCAAGAAGACACCCTTGCGTGGGCGTTCGGGACTTGACGCCGGGGCTGTGTTTCTAGCTCGTGTCAGGGTTCTCGTCTGAATTTGAGGATCTGGCCCCGGCACGAAGGGTCCGATTTATTTGGACCTGGTACCTGGATCGAAGTGTGTACTACCAAGAGCCGTCCATATACACTACAACTATGGAGCGGGGTCCCCCAAGCCCATCATACTGGTGGTATCTATGGATACCCTGGGCCGTCTAAAGCCCATCATGACCTCTTCAGTCCTAAAGCCTCTACCGTTTAAACCTTAAAGCCTGCACCCCTTGAGCCCTAGAGCCTATACCCTGCACTTTTAAAGCCCAAAGCCCAAGCCTCTTGATCTTGATGGCCCTGTTCACGGCTTCGTACAAGAAGTCATAAGACTTTCTTTGGTGCCATCCACTGCCCTCTCGTAGATGGCGATGGGCCAACAGTTTGGCCTTCTTGACTTGCCTGTGGAAGAGAGTCTGCAACACGTCACCAGCGGGAACCTTCTTCATGCCTGAAAGCACGGTGTCCCAGTTGCGAACAAACTGGACCAGATTCTCATTCAACATAACAAAGTTTAGCAAATCTTCCATGTCATAGACTGATCCATGAAGAGCATTCGTTGAAAGATAAGCATTTAGCTTGTGAAGGATCTGACGACCCCGGACCAGGCGCCCCTCGTGAACCTCTCTCTTTTTTAAAAGTGTCGATCTGGCGAGCAAAATCACCTTCCAGAATCTTCGTGATGGCTGAGAGAATCTCCGCATAGTCGCTAAACCCTAAGCCCTCTGCTGTTTGGGTACTTGGGCCCCAAAGTCTTCCGAATTGAGACTCCAAACTCCCATAAGCAAGGAATACAACTTACATCCTAATAAGAAACCAAATTTATAGGTTCAAGGTCTACCTGGACCCTAAGGAGCCGACATTCTGAAGCGTTCCCTATTATAATTTTCTTGTATGTTATATGGAGTTAAGGTATCCTACTTGTCGGGTATCATTGGGAACTCAAGGTTAACCTTTTTGGTTGTATAGGGATTATATAGGGGCCATACTACCCAAAAAAGTTAATGAGCGCGGTCCCCAGCGAAAGGTGTGAGGTTAAAGGTTACCTACTCTACTACCCTAATGCTCCTGGACCTTCGTCGAAGTGAGATCCCAAACCTTAGCCCCCAAAGCCCAAACCCTCGCCCAGAAAGCCCCTAACCCTCTTGGGAGCCTTAGGGTAGGGTATCCCTTCGTTCAGGAGTTTTGGGCCCCAACGGCTTCCGAATTGAGACAATCCAAGGGTAAAAGGAGGGACCCTTATTAAGGACCCCTAGGTATATATCCTTAATATAGCTATTATATACCCATTATAAGGTAGGGGTCCCCATTAGGGTCCCTCCTTTTCCCCTTTGAGACAAGAGTCGCTCCGAAGGGGCCGGCATAGCTCATAAAGGCCTCGGTCGGCTGGTTTCAAACGGGAGAAGGAGGGACCCTTCGGCTCTTAGGGTTCCCTTAAAGGGATCTATAAGGGTCCCTTTAAAGGGATCTATAGGGATTCTATAAGGGTATAGGGTTTAGGGTTGAGGGCTTGCCTACCCTAGGGCTCTAAGGACTCATATAGGTTGCTTTAAAGGGATCTATAAGGGTCCTTTAAAGGGATCTATAGGGGTTAGGGATCTAAGGACTCGTACATTCAAGCTTTTTGGGCCCAAAGACCATACTATATATGTAAGGCTTTTGAGCTATTTTGATGCTCAGGGCTAGGGAGTTTAGGGTAGGTTCACAGCTTCGGGTCGATGGTTTAGAGGTTTAGGGCTTCCTGTGTATATAGGGGTCTGGGCTTGTGGTTTGGGGTTGTAGGGTTTAGGGCTTACGGGGGAGGGCTTAAGGGTCGCATGCCACCAGCCGTCACCTCAAAGGGTTTCGGAGACAGGTTGATGAATTGCTTTCAAGCCCTACGCCTATTTTGAGCTGCAACCTCCGTACATGATACTTGCCTTCGTCGTGCAACTCCCTCACACCCTTCGAAGCCCCAACTACAAGTTTTCCGGTGTATTTTAATATGCACACGGTACTGAGCTTTTTGGGTTGAAGCCCCAGCACAACCCTAATCCCTGATCCCAACAAGTATACCTTTTAAGCCCTAAAGCCTACACGCCTTGAGCCCTAAAGCCTACACCCTTCATACTAAACCCCAAAGCCTAGTCCCTAAACCCTAAACCCTCTACTGTTTGGGTACTAACTACTAACCCTAAACCCTAAACCCCTAAAACCCTAAACCCTAAACCCCAAAGCCTAGTCCCTAAACCCTAAACCCTCTACTGTTTGTGTACTAACCCTAAACCCTAAAACCGGGCCCCAACGAAACCCATAACCTCCAAGCTCCTGTTTCGTCCATATGGGTTCAGGCTGCAGTTTGGGGGATCAGGGGTTCGTCTTCGGCTTTAAGTTTAGGGGTTTAGGGGTTTAGGGTTTAGGGTTTAGGGGTTTAGGGGTTTGGGGTTCAGGGGCTTCGGGCGTAGGATTCTCAGAGCTCGGCGATATAGAGTGTGGATTTGGGATTGGATTCGGGCTTGGAGGAGGTTCTTGCTGGTCTTTCAACCCGAAACTAAACCTGCCACTCCGCATCTCCAAACCCAGAAAAGAGTACCATCGCCTTGAGCAATTGAGACTACTATTTGCTTAAGAACCCCCAAAAAATAAAAAATATATTCCTTATGGGGGTGATATAGGGATTATTATGTTTATTTTTTGGGGGGGGTTCTTAAGCAAGTAGTAGTCATCTGGGCAGCCCTCATCGTCGTGGAGTTGATATCATCTTGGGTCCAATCTTGACGCTGTGGGTGGTCCCATGGTGTGCCATCGCTGTCGTACTTGAAAACACACTGTTGGTTGCACATCGCCCCTTGCATGATGGGCAACTTCCGAAGTCTTTACAGCATTCGCGTTCGTGGACCTTTGGACAACTCTAAACCCTAAACCCCAACTCGGCAGCCTTTTTCACTCTGAGGCCTATGGAGCTAAAGCTGCAACTCTCAACCAAACCCTCTGAAGACAATAAATTTCGAACACAAGCCTATACTCTGAAATCTAAAGTGTCCTTGACTTGACGGGGGCCCAGACCCTAAACCTTCTGAGTGTAGGGCGAAAGAGAAGCCTTCAACCCTCCTAAACCCTAAACCTTAAACCCTGAACTCTAAACCCTGAACCTTAAACCCTGAATCCTGAACTCTATACCCTGGACCTTGAACTCTGAACCCTAAAGCCCTGAAACCCTGGGCCCATAAACCTTAAAAACCCAAATGCCTGAATCCATATAAACCCTAAAATCCCCTAAGCCCTAACGTCAGTTTACCCTGAACCCCAAATGCCTAAACCCTAAACCCTAAACCCTAAACCCAGAAAGCCCAGGAGCCGCCGAGATGAGACAATCGCCGAAGAGGCATTCTTGCCTAGAGCCACGAGTAGCAGAGGGGCCTTGATAATTAGAATAGGGTCTTGGGGCCCATATTTTATTATAGTTATATTGAAGAACCGCAAAAAAAAGCTAGGCAACTACTGAGACACCTATAGTACCCTGAAGTTGGGTTTTAGGGCTTGGAGGAAGTTTTAGGGCAGGGTCAAGAGTGGGGGTTGAAGGAAGATTTAGGGTCTAAGGCGGGATTTGGATGAGGGTTTAGGGGTTTAGGTAGGGCTTAAACGAATGGTTGGGGTTTAGCGTAGCGTTGGGGATTCAGGTTTGAGGGTTTCAGACCCCATCAGCAAACACACATGCAATGCCAACGAAATTGCTGCTTGTGAGGGTCCCAGGTACTTTTATGGGGAATAATTCCCCAAATCATCATAGTAATTCCTTATATAGAAACCCTACGTTCTACCATATAGGTACTTTGGACCCTCTGAAAGAGGAAAAGATCCTGCCTCGGACATCACCTGGAGTCACCCGAGCATGAGTGCTCAAAACTCACATCTCAGACCCTTATTCCGTACGCTACTCTAGGGGCTTTAGTACGTAGAATAGGGTATCGGGGCCAATTATACTATAGTTATAACAAGCCCCCAAAATAGTCAAGGCAACTCTTTCGGCCCCTATATTAGACCTCAGAGCTTCCAGCCCGTTCCTGGATGACGCGTTATACTCAAATCTGTGGTTCGCAGACCCTAATGGTCTGAGCACATAATAATCCTTTACTCCCCCAAATTGTAACCTACATAACTACTCTCCGAAACCTAAGGACCTAATTATTGGGTCCTTTGGACCCTTAGGGATACTGTCTACTTATTGGGCACATGGACCCTTAACCCCTAAACCCCACACCCGGATGGTACCCGTAAAGGAGCCCTTAAAGGAAGTCTATTTGGGTACATGGACCCCCAAGGTAGATTATTGGGTCCTTTGGACCCTTAGGGGGTTTAGGGTTTAGGGTTTAGGGTAAACCCTAAACCCTAAACCCTACTTAGGGAATCAATCCAGACCCAGGCGCTGAACGTCGAACTTGCCCAAAGACTCAGTCCAGCGGACCTGCAATCGACCCCAAAGGCTCCATGTACCCTTATAGGGTTTAGGGTTTAGGGTTTAGGGTTTTGGGTTTAGGGTTTAGGGTTTAGGGTTTAGTAGATACTTAAGCCCCAAAGTAGTCCCTATATAGGTACTTTAAGGCCTAAGTATCTACTATAAGGGTACATGGAGCCTTAGGGGACATTCTTGACAGTAACCCTGAGGGTCCCAAAGGACCCAATAATTAGGTCCTTATAGGTTTCGAAGAGTAGTTGGGAGAGTATACGATTATCAGGTACTCGGACCCTTAGGCCCATGCAGGGGCCTTAATAATTGGAATAGAGCTTTGGGGGTTCCTTATTACAATTGTAGTAGAATACACCACCAAAAAAACCTTGTTCTAGTTAGTTATTAAGGCTCCTATAGTACAAACACTACCACGAACAATCCGACTTCGCCTGCTGCTGTTTCAGGCTGATGGTGCATTTGGCAAAGAAGAACAGCATGAGGGTGATGATGAACAGCACCGGGCCATGAAGATGGTGACCATTGTGTTGGAAGCGACTAGCCGCGACACAGAGCAGGATCCCTCGGGGTGTACTTGGGTTGTAGGTCCCAAGGACTCTACCCTCCAGGAACCCTGAACCCTGAAAGGAACCGTTAAATGAACTCACGAGTTGGCGCCTTCTCACCGGCCAGGCCGTCGACCAGCTTGCCTGCAGTTAAGGATTAGGGCTTAGAGAAAACTCAACAGCCGAGCCGCCAGTGCTCCCGATGCCCACTTGAACGATCATGAGACGTTGTAACTCGGGTGGTAAACAATGACTACCGATATAGTTTTTTCACATTCCCAACTAGGCCACTTGTAAGCTAAGTTACATACTAAGCTTCATGCTCCTCCCAGCACCGAGTACAATTTACGGCTTCGTGACAAATGTCACGGGACAAAGCAACCTTTCGCGATGGATGCTGCCTTGCAAGCCTACTTGGAGTTTCATGGGTAGGTATAAGTGTGGCTTGTAATTAGGCCGACTATAGTTGTAGGTATTCAGGGGACTTATAACCCCACGTAGAACTACCCAGGAAACAGAAAGTAAGGTTTTGGGTGTTGAAAGCTGTCGAGTCTCTGGCTGAGGGTTTTTATGGGCTTGGGAGCCCAAGGCACGCAGGGTCTTAGCTATCGATTCTAATCGTTTCTGGGGTGCTGAGTACCTTTAGTCAACAAAAGGTTAACCTTTTCGACTGTGGTGGGATTATATGAACCTCAAAAGGTTAAATTTTGCCTACTCAGCTACTAAGGCTTTTGGAGACGTAAAGCCAGAAGCAACACAATCTAAAAACCCTCACCCGCCGGGTTTGGGGACTGAGTTTCAAGCCTCCTCGAGCCCAAAGCTTAAGCCCTAACAGGCACTGAAACCCCACTCACAAGTCCCCGAATCTTCATCTCTGCAAGCCGTATCTGCAGCCCCGGATCGTACAAAATAGTAGGCTATCGTGGGCTTACTGATAGGGTGAGCTGATAAAACAACAATAGGTTATTGGATCCACGGGTATTGCCAACACCATCGAAGCCTGCTCTCTCAAGCTTGATCTTCAACTCTTCTGCAGTCCGCGCCAGCGTCTCCTTCCACCAGTGTTGGGGTGCGAGCTATTAGGTGCAAGCACGGCCTACTTAAAGCGTTCATGACCGATGTGTTTTGGGTTCCCTCTACATGTCTACATTTGTATGTATATGCGTGCATGTGTATGTATATATATACACACACATACTTCTATGTCTGTGTATAGCAACTATGTCAGTTAATACACACACATATGTATATATATATATATATATATGTGAATACACATCTGTAAAGCATATATGAATGTGGTTTCATTTCCATTACTCGAACTCCAAGCTCTCAAACTCTGAACCCGACGTCCTAACCCCTAAATCCAAAACTTTGGACCTGAAGCCTCATTTCCTCAACCATAAACCGCTCTGCAGCCCGAAAGTCATGACCATGAAGCTAGGGTTTAAAGGTTTAGGGTTTAGGGTTTAAAGGTTTAGGGTTTAGGGTTTAGGGTTCGATTTCAGGAGTTTTTCGGGTTGATAAGCCTTACTTGCTTCCAATGTTCTTTTGGGGCTTGCAGGCTTTGGGTTTGTAAGTTCAGGGTTTCAGACTCTGTGGGCTTACCTGTAGCCCCACACAACTGGTTGTGACTGTGTAACGCCATAGTCCTGAACCCGAGGCCCGAAACTTTGAATGGCAAATCGGATCCACATACCCAGAGACTCCAATACCCCTTAATTAAGGAATATTCCTTAAATCATATTAAGGTAGTTTAAGGTATATTCCTTAATTAAGGGATATTGGAGTCTCTGGGTAGCACGCCCTGCCTTCTCGTTGTTGGAGGCAGAGAATTGGTCGTTCAAGTTCTTGACCTTGGCTTGTATTGGCTTCTTCTCAATTGGTTTTTGTTCTGCGTTGTAAGGTGTTGCTCAGGTATGTTGAGTAGAAATTTGTCAGGTAGTACAAGGGTTGCTAGGGCAGTTTGAGGGGTTTCCGATTCTTTGCTGCTGCAGTTCCAAGAATGCGTATCTTACAGCTTCTCGGGTACCTGGAGGGTCATACCCTACCCCTTTTTTAGGGTACCTAATATTATGGTTATGATCTCCTATTTAGAAAACTAGGTACGGTAGGGTATGAGCCTATAGGTACTAGGGGTCCCTGATTGGTGTCTGCAGCTCGTACACTGAACGCAACAGGCACTCCCTACCTGTAGACCCAGCCTCTACACCATGGCATAATGCGCCGAAAGCCTAACTTTAATGGATATAGGGGCCTTAATAATTGGAATAGGGCTTTGGGGCCCTATTATACGATGATAAAAAGAAGGAACCCCAAAAAATCTATAATTAGTTCTCTACCATAAACAATGATAAGGGAAACTAAACATTATCTCAAATTGCTACCTGGTGTATAGTCGAATGTAGGGTTTCCAAGTAGGGATCGCTGTTATGATGTGGGAAAGTATCCGCCAGAACAATACCTAGGACCATTTCACTTAGAGTCGCCGAAATACTTCGTACAGTGCCTTACAGAACGCTTATCATAGTCACCCTTTTGAGTCACCGTTCTTGTGAGCCTACGCGCCAAATCCTAGACCCGTAATCTCAATTATAAACCCTAAACTCCAGTCAAGCCATTCTAACACGGCCCTCACCCCCACACTCTTAATCCAAAACCCCCTTTTGGTAACCGTCTGAGCCTGAACCCTGAACCCAAACCCGAAACCCTGAACCCTCAAGCCTAAACCCAAACCCTGAACCCTAAACCTCAAAACCCTAACTGTTAGGCTGATCCTGAACCCGCAGCCAAGTGCGACCGGGGCACCAGGTCCTGGACTTTCTTGAGTTCCTCGGAGCAAGACGTGCGGTTTAGGGCTTATAGATATGGGAGTGCCCGAAAATTAGGGTATCTTATTCTGCTGTTCTTATTATAAGGATCCCACCATTTAGGGTACTTTATGTTAGGGTCCCCTATTTCCGGAAACTCCCATATGGGATTCCTTTTTTGGGCTCTATAAGTCTACTTCTAAGGGGGTTCCTTTAAGGGCTCTATAAGCCTACTTCTAAGGAGTTCCATTAACGGCTCTATAAGTCTACTTCTAAGGGGGTTCCTTGTAAAGGCTCTATAAGCCTACTTCTAAGGTGTTCCTTTAAGGGCTCTAGAAGCCTGCTTGTAAGAACTTCCTTTAGGGCCAGCTTTAGGGGTAGGCTTCCTTCAAACACAAGCTCCCTTAAGGGCAAGTTCCTGTAAGGCTTCCATAGTGTCTGGGACTTCGGGTAGTGTGTGCTTAAAGGTCAGGGATTGGGGTTTGGGACAGTATCAATTCGGGGATATGCTTAGGGTTTTATGTAGGGGCTGGGGGCTTTGGGTTTCTACAGGGTTTCTGAAACTGTGAGGGGGCCAGCCCAATTGAACCCTTGGGCTCATCTCAGTCGGAAATGGATCCCTCTGATTAGGGTTTAAAGTTTATTTTTTAGTGCAATGGGGCCTTTTTCTGGTTTAAGGGTTTAGGGTTTAAGGTTAAGGATTTAGCATTGAGGGTTTAGGGGGCGTATGATAGTCCCCTAAGGTCCATTGTAGTCCCTACGAAGAACGAAGGAGTCAGATAGTCCTTCAAAGTCCTTTGTAGTCGCTGTGATATAAGCCTTTCCCCCCAAATTCCCCAGGAAGAATAGAGGTCTCTATGAGCCATTCCCTGAAGTCCCTAGGAAGAACACAGGTCCCCATGAGCCATTCCCCAAATTCCCAGAGAGCGCAATACCCCTTAACTAAGGAATATGGCTTAAATTATATAGGGCTTCATATTGTGATTTAAGCTATATTCCTTAATTAAGGGGGTATTGGGCTCTCTGGGAATTCCCCGGGAAGAGGGAGCCGTTCACATCCAAGGAACCGCATTGGCCTCTCGAAGCTGCTTCTGCTTGGCCTGCGGCAGCGGAGACGGAGAGTAAAGGTCCCAAGAGCCCAGTTACGGATCAGAGGTGTGGCTTTGTTTAGGGTAGGGTTTAGGGGGTTTTGGGTTTAGGGGTTTAGGGGTTCAGAGGTTTAGGGGTTCAGGGGTCCAGGGTTTAGGGGTTTAGGGTTTTGGGTTTAGGGGTTTCGGGGTTCAGAGGTTTAGGGGTTCAGGGTTCAGGGGTCCAGGGTTTAGGGGTTTAGGGTTTTGGGTTTTGGGTTTAGGGGTTTAGGGGTTCAGGGGTTTAGGGGTTCAGGGGTTCAGGGGTCCAGGGGTTTAGGGTTTTGGGTTCAGGGAGCTTACTTACCTGGCGCCTAGGGGAGGATCTTGGGTACTGCTCTCGAAAAAGCGGTATGACTAATGTTGGCAAGGTTGAAGAAAACAAGACGCCAGGGAAGAGGGTTTAGACGTATATAGTTATCACCTTCAATGCCTGCACCTGATGGCACGCTTGAAAGCTCAAATGGGCTCGATAAATCCGACAGCCTTGGCCCACACCACACCCAAACTCATGAACTGTTGCATGCCTATATCCTGCTCAATTACCAAAACCGTTTGAAAGCCGCAGACGTTGGAAAACCAGATCTGGCAGCCTATACCCACAGCTTCAACTTTAACCGTGAAAGCCTGGACACAAAACGCAAAGCCTCCATGGCCCAAAAACCCTAGTCCAACACTCAGGCCCCCATATTACAGAACCATTATCAAACCCTGTTACAGAATCCTGAAGGGAACCCTTTAGACAAAGCCCCAGAGCATCAGAAGCCGTCGTGCCTCTAGCTTGTCCTGAGCGGACTTGAGCTTGTTCCTGCAACAAGGCCATGACTGTTTAGTGTTACGCCTCGGAAAACAAACCACCCGGCCAACACTACACCCAGCCAAAACCTGAGCTAATTACCCCCCCAACCCTAGAAATCTGCGCTTGAATCCCTAAAGCCTACCCCTAAACCCCAGAACTTTGCGCTTGAATCCTGAAACCCTACCCCTAAACTCTAGAACTCGGCACCTGAATCCTTACACCCTACTCCTTCAACCCTTAATTCACTAAACCCGGGCCAGTTGCGATGCTCTGAGGAGGAAGGTGGAGATCCCAAAACTTCCAAAATCCCTCTGTTTAAGGAATACAGTACCCTGAGGCTCCTAAGAGGGTTAGAGGCTTTCTGGGGGAGGGTTTGGGCTTTGGGGGCTCAGGTTTGGGATCTCACTGCGAGGGTCCAGGAGCCTTAGGGTAAGGCTAAGCATGTCCAAAACCCCTTGGGTCCATGTTCAGATTTAGTATGGGCGCGAGCCCGGGTGCCTGCCCAAGGCTACCCGGCAGGCCAGTCAAGTAACAGTCAGCCCCATCCCGTATGTTGTGATATGCCAAAAAACTTGCCTGAGTGTTTGTTTTTTGTGTCAGCCAAACTTTATGGACTAAGCACTTTTTTTGGATGCATCTAGACTTTTTGTTTCATTCATATATGGTTTGCGGCTGCTGGAGTTATGTGACAATTGCAGTTGCGGGCATAATCAAGCATGTTTTCCTGTTCGGACTCATGTTTGGGTGAGCATGCATGATGTGATTGGTTGGCTGTTTTGCAACGTCATGATTGTTGCCGTGCATTGGCCAACTTGGTTCGCTGAGCATTCATGATGTGATTGGTTGGTGGGTTGTGGGCAATTCTAATGTTTGCCGTGCATGAAGCTTTCTGATCGGTTGCTTGTATTGGTGAGAGGGTCATTACAGTTGCCTTGCATTGGCTCGGTTGGCTTGTTGAGAAATGCATGTTTTGTATCACAAGAGCTTCATTGCAGCGATCAAGCAGCCGACAGTCAAGCACTACGCACTGCACTAAGCACTAAGCACGAACAAAGTAACAAAGCCTGACCAAGCGCCAATCACTGCACTCAAACCGACAAACAATTTGTCACTCATGGCTCATGGCTCATGACTTCAACCCCAACACCGGCCCAACGCCCAACACCTCAAACTTTGCAGCAAACTTAAAGGAAGCAATTAACGGAACCCAGAGCGAAGGTAGGTCTAAGCAGCGGCTTTTCGGATTCCATCATACGCACGCGGCTCTTGTTCGGGCCTACCAGCCTGGCCAGGACTGTACAGGCTGCCAAGTGGCATGTAGGTCCTCTACGAGGACAGCACGTCTTGCAACCCGACGAAGTCGTTGTTGAGCAAGACGACATGCAAGATAGAGCTCACACCCTGGGGTGACGAGCCAATGAAGTCCCCGTCCATACGGTTCGTAGAACGCTTCCACCAAGCCCAGGGACTCGATGAAAGCAATCTGTTGCCAAGCAACCGGCACGTCGGTGAGATCGAAGCGTCCCAAAGAAAGGTAAGGCCCATAAAGTTGGAAACCGGATTAGGGACAAATAATTCTGGGAGTCCCTACACATTACTCTTAAGGATTGAGGCTATTGGGTTTCCAACTTTTGGGCTTCTATTCTACTGTATCCCCTCCCCCAAACCCTAAACCCTTATTGATCCCTTAAAGGGGCCATTATAGATCCCTTAAAGGAACCTTGTTTAAGGAATACACCTAAAAACATATTAGGGGTCCTACCATGGCTTACGTCGCATGATCCCTTACTTAAGGAATGTACCTTTCAATCATACTTGGGGGATCATGGGACTTCGTAAATATGGCTATAGGTACCTTAAGTGGGGTTATAAGTAACAATAAGTATAGTTACACAAATAACAACCCTAGTTACTAAGTCCCATGATCCTTCAAGTACACCCTGAGGACCCCTTATGGAACCCTTATATATATAGATCCCTTTAAAGGAGCCCTTTACGGAACCGTTTAAGGAACCCTAGTTACTACGCCCCATGATCCTTTAAGTATGAGGGGATCCTACGCTGGCTTAAGGTATGTGCAACCCGTGAAGTATACCCCGGATCCTTTGAGGGTCCCTTGTTTGGGCTTGAGGCCTTCAGGAATCCTTCAAGGAACCCTCATCAAAGGACCCTTCGGGCGCTCTTAGGTTTCTCGGCCTCCCGCCTTCATATCCTGAACCTTAAATCCGAAACTCCCAAAAAACGTAGCCCTAAACCCTAAACCCCTACACCCCAAACCCTAAACACCTAAACACTGAAACCCCAAAGCCGAAACTCCCCAACCCTAAACTTCAACCTGAACCCTAAACCCTGAACCCTGCGAGCCTCTTCGGCTCCACCTCACGATAGATCTCGGCGTAGATCTTCATGGCATGCACCCACTGACCTGACGGGTTTAGTCTTTAGGCTTTTTTTTTGTTTTTAGGGTTTAGGGTTTAGGGTTTAAAATACAGGGCTTAGGGCCTAACAGGAACCCCTTTAAGCCTCCATTTACGGGTGCCTCCACCGGTGTCGATTTCAACAGTCCCCCAGACTATTTATAAGGAGGGCTCTATATTAAACAATAAGGGAAATAAGCAAATCTACCAAATTGATGCATAGTACCAGGGCTTCTTTACGAGTTGGGGTTCAAGGGTTCCTTTGAAGGTTCCGTTAAAGCTTGCTGCTGAGTTTGGGGTTCTACCAGTGGGGCTCTGAGGTTTCTGCAAGGGTTAGGGCCGTTGTTGTTTTGAAGGCCTCTTGGGGCTTTGGGTTTTTGGAGGTTTGGCGCTTGGGATTTAAAGTAAAAGCCAGAAAGTTGGAATATGATTATCCTAACCATTCTATGGTAAAGGTATCCTACCTTGAAACCATATTCCAACTTTCTGGAGTTCCCTTTAGGCCTTTGGTTTGAGATTCGAAATTTTCTGCTCAGGGTCTGGGCCTGGGGTCTGCGGGGTTTAGCGTCCACGGTTTAGGGAACAAAATATAGGCCTAGGCCCTGAACCATAACTCCTAAACTCTACACTCTAACGGGAGGAGTGTGACTGAAGGAGCTAGGACTCCGGGTCCTTGGGCTCAGGGTGCTAAGAATTTCGAACACGGATTTCGGGTTCTCCGTGGTGTGGCTTACGTCATCCAAAGGCTAGGGTAATTATGCTTCCTCCTTACTGGGGCTTGCTTGGGCCGCTCCTCACCTTGCTTGGGTCTTGCTTCTTGCGGCGGCGGTGCTTCTTTAGCCAGCTGCTCTGCTTCCTTGGGCGTTGCCCGCGACTGCTGCTCTGCTTGCTTGGGCATTGTTTTCGGCTGCTGCCCTGCTTTCGTTGCTTCGGGCCACGGTTCATCTCTCAAAGGGGAAAAGGAGGGACCCTTAATGGGGACCCCTACCCTATAATGGGCTATATAATGGCTATATAATGGGTATATAATAGCTATATAAGGGTATATACCTAGGGGTCCTTATTAAGGGTCCCTCCTTTTACCCTTGGAATCTTGCTTTGGCATTGCCGTCCCGGTGCTGTGCTCTCGCTTGTGGCCTCGTGCCTCAGGGCACTTTCATCTTCAGCTACAGAGTGCTTGTCAACAGTGTCCGCAGGGCTCAGCAGCTCGGCGCCATGGTTGGGGATGGTTTTGAGGTTAGGGTTCAGGGCTTTTAGGGCATTAAGCCTTGGGCTCAAGGATTAGACTTCTAGGCCTGGTCTTAATACTGCGGGGGGTTGAAGATTAAGCTACATTAGGCCTTATAACCCTAAACCCTGAACGCCCTGGATACGGAATGCAAAAGACAGCGACTACCTCGGGAAACCGGGCCCCAAAGGCATTCTACCGCAGTTAGAGGTTGGAGGCCCCTTATCAAACGACAAAAATCCCTCGCGGCATCCTCGAAACGAGCCACAGCGACGTTAATCCCGGGCCATACTTAGAATGGGGTTTTGGAGTTAATACTCTATTCCGTCATCGTACTGCTATACCAACCTTATAACCATGCTAAAACTGCTATGTTTAACTATGTTCAATATTCTCTTGGGTTCTGTCTGAACAAAAATTCAAAACAACTCCTGGGGAGACTATAGACTATGAGCCCCAGGGGTCAACGCCAGGGGCCCTCAAAGTCGGAATAGGGTTTTGGGGTTTAGGCTGGAGGGCTTAGGAACTACAGGGCTTAGGGTTTACCCTAAGGCTCCTAAGAGGGTCTTGGGCTTTCTGGGGGAAGGGTTTGGGCTTTGGGGGCTAAGGTTTGGGATCTCACTACGAGGGTCCAGGAGCATTAGGGTAGGAGCACATTATAATCAGATGTTTTAGGGACTCAGGGGTTTGGGATTTATGGTGGAGTAGGGTTTAGGATCACTTTCGGATTCCACGGCCGACACTGCAGAAGTCTACGGACCAGGTACTGGTACTGCCAAGTCTGCAGGTCCTTACCCTAGGGATCTAAGGACTCATATTAAGGCTTTTGGGCCCAAAGACCATTTGATGCCCAGGGGTATGCTTATCACATCCTGCTGCCGCGGGACACAATGCCCCGGCCGCCAGGGAGACATTCATCCTTGCAAGGGTCTACTTCCCAGACCTCTCACAGAATCAAAACCTAGAACCCCCTAAACTAGGGATGCCAATCGCAAAGGGTCCAAAGTACCCACAATGTAGGGTTGCTAGAATAGGAGTAACTATCATGGTTTGCACATATATCCCCCATATAGGTACTTAGGCCCTTTGGAAATAAGAGTCTAACCCTGAGGGTCCAAGTACCCAAACAGCAGGCTTCAGGTCCCGAAATCCATACTCTGAATGGCTTTTAGGCACCTAAAGCCCCAGTATTTGGGTACTTGGGACCCTTTGGGAATTAGTAAGGGGTGCTTCATAGGAACCCCCTGAGATGATCTGCTTTTTGGATCATCCCAGGGCCCGGGTTAGAAGTGGGGAAATCAAGAAGCGTTCCCAGAGCCTCCAAAACCCCTTAATTGAGGAATATACCTTAAACTGCAATGGGAACACTAAATAGATTTAAGGCAGGTTCCGTACTTAAGGAATATACCTTAAATTGTAATAGGAACCCTAATTATATAGATTTAAGGCCTTAAGGGGTTTTGGAATCTCTTTAGAATACCCTAAACCCTAAACTCTAAACCCTAAACCCTATGGGGTTTTGGAAGCTCTTTAGAAGACCAGAGCCTCGGTTCGAGGCCTGGCCGGGACCCTAGGGCTCGGAAGCTGTCAGTGTACTTGGAGGATCATGGGACCTACTGTTGATGGACAAAATCCTGCATTACCCAGTATAAGGAATACACCATAGTTCCCATAGTTTAGAGTCCTTAGGGTCATGCAGGATTTTGTCCACCAGCAGTAGTAACTAGGGTCATGGTAACGGTTTAGGGTTTGGGGTTTTAGGGTTTAGGGACTTATACTTACTTTTACTTATAACCCCAATTGCGATACATACAACCATACTTACTAAGTCCCATGATCCTCCAAGCAGGGCCCCGGGCATCTTGCTGAACGTGTGTAGGGTCGCGGCTTCATGGGATCGGGTTTGCGGGTGTAATTAACTTACCTTTGGTTAGTAGGGAATGGAGGAATGGGGTACAAGTATATCTACTATTACTACCATTGTTCCATTCCCTACTAACCAAAGGTAAGCTAAAGAGCAATCCGCTCAATCTTTTCTCTGTCTCGCTCTCTTCCTGTTTTTTCGAGGATGGGACACAGGCAGCCCCGGTCCCAGTCCGATATCGCAGTCCTTAAGTCTCTCTCTCTCTCTCTCTCTCTCTCTCTGTCTCCCTCTCTCTCCCTCTCTCTATCTCTCTCTCTGTCTCTCTCGCGCTCTGTATCTTGCCTTCCAAATTCTGACGCAGGTGGTGTTTTCAGAATAGGGTGTTCTGTAATCGAATAGTTGGAGTCCCTGTTTGTTGTCTGCAGCTCCGACACCTCGTGTGACAGGCGACTCGAGCGGATTCTCCTAGGATGACAACTTCCCCGATACGCGACAGAAGTGAAAGGCAGCACTTTCCGATTCCTACCAAACCATTAGATCCCCAGAAAGTGTTAAGGTTTGGGTATTGGGGGTCTACCTATAGTCTCCATTCTAGTTCCTTTTGTTTAAAACCTGTTCTATGATTGGGATCCTACAATAAGGTAACCCCAAGAAAGAAACTACGATGGATACTACACGTAAGGATACTAAAACCCTAAACCCCTGAACCCTAAACCCTATAGATCCCGTAGGGATCCCTTTAAAGGAACCCCTATAGATCTCTTTAAGGAAGCCTAAGAAACCCCTAGTAATCTTCTTTGGTGATCTAAGATACCCTGCACGATGGTGAGACCCTGGTCCCACAACACTCACTGCCCTAAAACCTAAACCCCTCAACATCGGAAGTACGGTTTAGGGTTTGGGGGTTTTGGGGGTTAGAGCTTTAGGGTGTTAGGAGTACGGTTTAGGTTAAGGAGTTTGGGGGTTTAGGTTTTAGGGTTTGGGGGTTTGGGGCTAGGGTTGAGGGGTTTAGGGTTCGGGGTTTAGGGTTTAGGGCATTAGGAGTACGGTTTAGGGTTTAGGGGTTTAAGATTCAGGGATTGGAGTGAAACAATCTCGCCGGTCAGTTGGGCAGTTTACGAATACACCCGAAGGAAAATCTGACGATACCCCCAACCCGAAGCCAGAAATCCTGAACCAAAACCCCAAACATCGACCCGCTGAGCTTGCCACACCAACTTGGGCGTGAAGTTCGCGTCCTTGGTGAACCTTCGTTCTCGGACAATGTGGGGTGGACGATGTGGGCAGCACATACTTTACTCCCTCTAGCTCACACAAAGCTCTGATTGAGTTTTCGGTTTAGTGATTAGGCTACAGGCTGTGAGCCCTCAACCAGGAACAAGCCAGACAACCCCTAACTCTAAACCCTAAACCCCTAAACCCTAAACCCTTGTGAACACAAAGCGGATCCTTGGAAAGAGACTGTTGATCTGAGGATCTCTGGGAGTTGGTAGCATCTTCCCAATCCGAAAACCGTTCAGGGTCATACTCTACCTGTAGCCGGAAAGACCTACCTTTTTAGGGTTCCGTATTGTGGTTTCTATATATAGTTCCTTAAAAAGGTAGGTCGTTTCGGCTACAGGTAACTGACGAGGTGCATAAGGTGATGCAGGTTGTATTGAATGCACGTAGCGCATTGGGTTTTCGTGATCCGGGGGATTGATAGTAAGTAGGCTACAGCCACAGGACCCCACTTAGAAATCCTTTTCCTACTTGTACCCGTAGTCTCCATTGTAGCTCTTTTTTTGGCTAGCTAACTTTATGGCTACGACCCCATAATATAAACTGGGCTGGGCAAAAACAGGAACTGCAATGGATCGAGAATCATTGGTAGAACCTAAAAACTGATCCCAAGTGCAACTGCGCTGAGAATCGCGACGACACACAAAACCCGTCCCCATGAACTCTCGGCCAAAGGACTTCTCGATCTTGCGCAGCGTGGTGTCTTTGATGTTGTCCTTCCATGAGCGTGGGAGAAGCTGCATGACCAGAAGTTTCTAGGATCAGAAGACTCATCTCTTGCACGGGTTTCGGGCCCAAAAACCATGCCACAGAAGGAATTTAGCTAGGCTTCAAGAATCTGAATGGTATACGGCCTTTGAAACAAAACTCATCGAGTGTACATTAGTTCGAAGCTTTGGCACTAAGCCCAAACACCCCAAAACATTACACCCCTAAACCCGTAAGGCCCGAAGACCCCAAGCCTGTATTTGGCTACTTGGATGCTCCAGCCTTCACGAAGTTCGAAGTGTTGGTCGCAAGTGTTAAAACGGTCTAGGGTTTAGGGTGTAGGGTTAAGGGGGAAGCAGCTTGGGATTTAGGGCTGGCATTCAGGGGTTTAGGTGTCTAGGGGTTTGGGACCATCAGGCTTGGAATTGTGGTGATTCGCGGGGATCTAGCAGCCATCCAGCAACTAGGAGTTGACTATGGGTCCAGGTATCCATGCACCTTAACCCGAAAGTCACGACACAGAGACCACGCTGAGGCCTGAATGGATCTATAGTCTGTACGCTATACACATACATATATGGATACGAGTGGCTTTGCTTCGGCGTGGACTGGACTCGGGCAGGAGGCCTGTCGAGTGGATTGTACGAATACAGGTCCTTCGGAGCTCCCACTCGGGGCTCGTAGTCCGAAGGGTCAAACTCATGGTCCGTGTCGAAGGCCGGAACTCCAGACTCCGGCGTGTCGGCGCCCTGCTGCCACAGGTACTTCGTCCGTTTCCTGCGTGCAGGCGTCTCGAGTGTCCAGTTCTCCTGCGGGTCAAGATCGTCGACGACCGACTGGAACGAGTCGCCCCCCGGCAGGTCGGCAGGATGGAGGTTTTTTCAGAACGCCGAGTTTCTTCCTCTCTCTGATCGGCACGTCGGAAAACGTGTTCTCGATCCGGCGGGACTTGGCTGCCTTGAACACCATGTACTCTTCGTCGTCGTCTCAGATGCAATACACCTATGTAGAAGCCGAACATACAGATATAGATACAATTATCGCAGTACATACATCTATGCATGTACGTATGTAAGGGTATATTCATATCTGTATATATATATATATATGTAAATACATGTACCTATATGTATATATGCTCATATGTTTGTACATATGTACATATGTATGTATGTACATAAGTATTTATGTATGTATGCATGTATGTATGTATGTGTGTGTATGTGTATATATATATACATATACATACTCATTCATTTTGTTTATGCAATATGTATACATAAAGCACACATCATATGTACATATATATTTATATACATAAACTGTCTATACATGGGTACGTTCACAATGGCGACTGTACACTCAAGACTACGTACCCTGAAACCCCGAACTCTGAGCCCACAAATACCCCGAACCCGAAACCCCAAACCCTAAATCCTAAACCCTAAAGCATAAATCCCAAATCCTGAACCCTAAACTCCCAAAACTCTGAATTACTCTGAACCCTACATCCTTTGGTCACGGGGAATCCCATCCTTGTCGAAGGTCTTGATGCGCACCAAAAAGTTCCTCGCAACATGGAGGATCATGGCACCTAGCTTGCTACGGTTTTGGGCTCAGGGTTTGTCAGGGCATCTAGGGGTCTGTAATGAGTTAGAAAAAGATAATGCTTTATAAGGACTGCCAGGGCTCAGCACGAATGCTACAACGGTTTGTATGGGGTCCCGGCGGACCTCAACAGCCTACAACCTGAACCCTAAATCGAATTCCCAAGAGCAGCGGCCAACGATCCCAAGACGGCCCAAAACGGATACAGGGGCCTTCACAATTAGAATAGAGTTTGGTGTTTAGGCGCATCTTCTACTACAAGTACCTTGAGAAATAACTTGAATCCTAAACCCCAAACCCCAGCCCTAAACACCTATAATAGATCCCTTATAGATCCCTGGAAGGAACCCTCAACACCCATAATACTGCAAATTCATCAGTCCTGTAGGTGAATATAGGGCCTTGATAATTAGAATAAGGTTTGGGGGCCCGTTGTACTAATTTTAATAAGGAGCCCCCAACATAGTATAGGCAATTATTAAGGCACCTTTAGTAATCACTCTTGTACGTCACCCGAGGGTCGTGTCGTTCAGCTCCGTCTTGGCCTGGCCCCATGAAGGCGTCTTCTCCATGACCTGCTTGGAGGTTCATGGGTGGGTATAAGATATAAGAGCTCCTTTAAGGGTCCCATTAAACGGATCTATAGGGATTCTATAAGGGTATAGGGTTTAGAAAGCGCGTTCTCCATGACCTGGTCCGGCATAATGTAGGGCTTAAAGGCTTTAGCGTTGAGGAGTTTAGGGTCTAGGGTTTTGGGTTTAGGGTTATGGAGGGCTTACAGGGTTTAGGGTTCCTGTATCAGGTACTTACCTTTAGGATAGTAGTTATGTAGGTTACTATTTGGAAGAGTGTCCAGGATTATGTAGGGTTTTGGGTTGAGGGATTCGGGAGGGGCATGACTTACACCGAGGGTCTGAGGTACGAATAACTGTGTATAGAGGGCTCCTGCATGGTCACTGTAGGGCCAGTGTTTGTACGTGTGTATGTCTAAACGGGAATCTCGACCTCTAGTTTACATAAGCAAGCTCAGTGCCCTTCAGGGCTCAGGGTAGAACGGGGTGGAATTGACGATCTACCCAGATTCATAGCAGGGTTATAACTGGTTGATTAAAAAAACAGCTTCGGCATTTCTGCGTGTAGAACGACATGCTTCACAGACTGACGCAAATCAGCAACGATTGTTTCTTCTGATTGCATTGCCCTCCCGGATAAGAGTGCAAAGCAAACAACACCGAGTCCTAACACACTAGCTAGTGAATGTAAAAGGCGAGATTTTGACTTGAAGCCCCTATAATACCCAAAGCCTCCGAAGGCCTCAATTAAGGCCTAGAGCCCCGACACCCCCGGCGGGCCGTCATCACGGCGCACATGGTCTTCATCACGGCTTCGGGCGGCTTGGCGTAAGCTTTGACCTTCAAGCAGCGACGAGGAAGCGCATCCTAAGTTTGTCTTCACTGACATCTGGAAAATTCCTACAGTGTAAGGATTACTTGGGGACTAAGCTTAATCCCTAAACCATAAAAAAACCCTAAATCCCTGAACCCTATAGAAGTTCCTCTTCGTGGTTACCTTGTAGGATCCTTATTCCATTTGCAATTTGGGTTAAACAGATAAGGGAACTACAATGGAGACTATAGGTGTATAACGCTAACCCCCCCCTTATGGAAACCCGAAAGCTCCGTGTTAAGGCGCCCTTTTTGGAAGGGCCCTTGGCTTCCACTGCGACCCAGAGCCTCCAAAACCCGCTGAAGCAATACCTACTTGGAGGGGCAGGGGACTTAGTAAGTATGGTTATAAGTAGAGTTATAAGTACCCTAAATGGAGTTACCCCAATTATAACCCTACTTATAACTTACTTACTAAGTTCCCTGCCCCTCCAAGTATAGTCTCCGTGGTAGTTTCTTATCCTATTTTATATACAGGATCCGATTAAGGTAACCCAAAAAATACGATGGAGACTATGCCTCTGTATACCTTAAATCTAATCGGGGTTCCTTTTCGAATTAAACAAAACGAAGGGGTCTGGGGTTCCAGGGGTTGGGGTTTAGGGTGCTGCGAAAGTTTGGACCCCCCAACACAAATCTGGCAACTGTAAACACACCAGCTCTAAACACAAGCCAGAGCCTAAATGCTAAACCCCAAACCCTCAAACCCTTGTAAATACGACCGCCCCATATAAACGCCTTCCAGCGCCCTCATCATTCAACCTCGCTAAACAAACCGAAACCCAGGATCTGGAAGCAGTATAGGTTAGAAGGGGCCCCCACCCTATAATAGTGACCATAAGGATTATATAGGATTATATTAGGGCCCTATTATATTCCGATTATACCACTATTACAGGGTGGGGGCAGTTTCTAAAGTATAGGTCTGTACTGCCTGAAGAACTAGCAAAAGTATGCCCCTATAGTCCCAATAATATACAGTAGTACAATATACCCTGAACCCTACCTTTAGTTTCCATTGTAGTTCCTTCTTGGGGTTACCGGCTAACTTACAGGATTCTAATTATAGAATGGGCTATTAAGCCAAAAACACCCGAAGCCTCCGCAATGGACTTCTTGTCCAGCTTCTCAAGGGCATCGACAGCCGCATCGAGAGCTGGCATGGCCTTCAACATTGAGTTTAAAGGTTTAGGGTTCAGGGCTTCGGGGTTCTGGAGTCGGGGACACTCTGGAATTAGCACACTTTGTCACTTTGGTTCACAAAGTTAGCTAGGGCCCAATTAGGGCGCCTGACCTGCGATTTATGGTATGTGGCCTGATGAGGTGAACTCTGCACGCTCAAATTCCGTTATTCCTCAGACCCCCCACCCTCACGGTACCGGGTTTCGGGAAGCAGCAGATATAGTCCTAAGCTCTGCACCCAAAACCATCCAAATCCCACATTCCAGAGGGGCCTTCTCGAGATCGCGAGTGGCATCATCCGCCAAGATCTTTGTCTCCTGGAGAATTCACACCCGGAGTCTCATTTGGGGTGGAAAGTGCTGTCGGATTTAAAAACGCTGAACACCACAGCCTGAACCCCAAATGCCTTGGACCCTACCAGCCCAAAACTGGGAATTCCAAAGCCTCTTCGGTGTTGTCTACAAGGATTCATAGGGCTGAACCAAAAAAATAGTAACATGGTATTGCCCACTGTTCACGCCCTCGGTTCGGGCTCAGACACTATACCCTACACCCGAGACCTCAACCCTAAACCCGAAACCTCAAACCCCAGACCTGAAACCTTGTAATACAGTACCTGGGTGGTAGTTTTGGGGGCCCTGCAAAGTATTTGTGAATAGGTACCTCTATAGGAACCATAGAAAAAACTTTCCCAAATTGCAACCTAAGTATTGACAATAGTTCAGACCCGAAAACTTACGGGAGCTGTCCTTGGCCTCCTTCTCGATTCGGATGGAGTCCGCTTCTACCTGCTCATCTGTCTTTCGGGGTCCGTTTAGCGTGTATACCTGTAGTCTCCATTGTACCCTAAGGCTCCTAAGATGGTCTTGGGCTTTCTGGGGGAAGGGTTTGGGCTTTGAGGGCTAAGGTTTGGGATCTCACTACGAGGGTCCAGGAGCATCAGGGTAGTTCCTTTTTTTGGTTAACCAAAATCTCTATTATAGGGTCCTAACCATAAAATTGGATAACCCCAAAAAAGGAACTACACTGGAGACTATAGGTAGGGTCCAGTTTAAAAGCTCAGGGTTCAAGGGTGGTTTAGGGTGTAGGGCCCCCTTCTTCGACGGTTTGGGGTTTAGGGACGGTTGAGGGTTTATAGGGTGTAGGGTTTAGGGTGTAGGGTGTAGGGTTTAGGGTTTAGGGTTTAGGGTGTAGGGTTTAGGGTGTAGGGTGTAGGGTTTAGGGTTTAGGGTTTAGGGTGTAGGGTTTAGGGTTTAGGGTGTAGGGCCCGCTTTCAGGGCTTAGGGCTTATAGGGGTGTGGACGCTTTAGGGTTAAGAGTGGGGGGGGGATGTAAGGTTGGTTTGGACGGTGTCTGCCTTCAACTCCGTGTGGCCTGACGTTTTTTGTTGGTGGGCCGTGGCACCGAATCCTCTGATTCCTCACCAAACAGCAAATGTGGAGATCTTGATTCTAGAATCGTATTGATTCGGACCACACCTTAAGTTTCAACAATGATGCCAAGAGGGCGAAGTTTGAACATCTTACTTGGGCAGACTCCTGTTTGGCTGATGCTCCAAATCCCTGTAAACCCTGAACCCTAAAGCCCTTAAACCCCAAAGCCGTGAAGCCTACCCTCAAACGGTGGACGAGCCCTTCCACCACACACCCGCCAGCAGCCGCCTATGCACCAAGCGGAGAAGCTCTCGCACATCCTTGGCCTGGACACACTGGAGACGATGGCCCTCGGCTGTGGTGAAGAAGAACTCCTGCCGCACAGCGGGGACACCCTGCCCCACGGGGATTGCGTCTCTCCAGGACAATGCGGATAACAAAGCACCCTGGAGCTGCATGGCGACATAGGGAGCTTTTGCCAGTGCCGCTGCAGAAGCCACGGCGTCGTCGGTGGGCGTGCCCGTTTGCAGCTTTCCGCCCACGACCCACCCCTTTCATAAATGCCCTACACATCTAGTAATCTTTCTAAGCAACTAAGCCTTACAGGCACACTTGACCTTAAGGGAAGCTTGATAATAAGCCTTGAAGTAACCGTTAAAGTAGGCTCAAGGAGCCCTTTAGGAAACTTTTAGGGGAACCCGTAAAGGAACCCTCTAAGGATCCGTTAAAGGAACCTTTAAACAAGCCCTTATAGGGAGCCCTTCAAAGAGCGCTGTAAACCCTGAGGCTCCATGTACCCTTATAGTAGATACTTAGGCCTTAAAGTACCTATATAGGGACTACTTTGGGGCTTAAGTATCTACTATAAGGGTACATGGAGCCGTTGGGTGTAAAGCAGCCTTCGATGCGCCTGCGCTTGCTGCGCGTCGGCCTTGGATCGCTCAGCCGTGATGACTTTCAGCAGCTCCTGGAAAGGCTTGAGGACTAGGATACCCAGTAACCTAAGAATAAAAAGGCCTCTCTTTTTGGTATTGGGTAACTTTATAAGGAACCTAGAACTACAAAAAGGGAATAAGGGTACTACTGGGCATCCTAGAAGAGGTCCTAGTTCCTAGGTTTCCTGAAGGCCTTAAGGGTTCCTTTAAGGGTTCTAGCTGAAAAGGGCCCTATTAGGGCTCCTTTAAGGGTTGCCTTGACCCTAACAAGAAGGGTACCCGTTTTCCGAAGATACCGTTTTAATGGGGAGAGCCCAAAATAGAAAGGTCAAAAGGGTACAACTCAGGAACGGAGAGCCCTGTCCCAGAAATTCCATGTTGAGGCTTTAGGGGTGAAGGTCTAGGGTTTGGGGTTTGGATTTTAGCGTGTAGGGTTTAAGGTCTAGGGTTTAGGGACTACCATTCTGGAATTAGGTCCCCAAACGCCGTGCTTATTATGCTTTGAAGGACCTAATCCCATAACAGGAGAAAATGTGGACCCTCTTGGTAAACGAGCAAATCGACAGGTGTACGTGAACAAACACATATTTGTATATGTGCCTACACACACACATATATATATATACATACATACATATATGTACATATATATAATATATGTGTGTGTATACAGAGGTTTCAACACATACATGCGAATCAGCTTGAACTATATACACACTCCTATGGCCAGTTTGCAAGGCACTCCACATAGAAACTGAAAAATGCAATACTATTGTATGCATCTGTACACACATACACAAGAGACATAGACAGAGAGAAACACAGATAGAGGCTCAGCGAGACACCCATCCAAACACTGAATCTGAAACCTGAACCATCCAACCCGACAATTTCAACCCTCAATAACCCTGAACAACCCTAAACCCAAAACCCCAAACCCTAAACCCTAAACCCCAAACCCAACACCCCAAACCCTCAACCCCGAGGAAAGAACCACGGGAAAAGTGGTCCTCGCATTCCTTGGCCTTGACGTCGCAGATCTTCTGCTTCTCTTCCTGAGCCCGCAGCACATCAAGCACGGGGGGCTTTGGAGTTATTGTGATTTCGTGATCTACTTATATAAGGCTTCTGGGTTTAATCTTCAACAATAGGACAGTAATTACTTAAGATCCGCAACACCAAAGCCAATAGTCCACCGCAACCTCCATCCCTTAACCCAAAGCCTGGCTGAGCCCAAGTCGAACGTACTTTTTTCTAGGATACCCAGTAACCTAAGAATAAAACGGCCTCTCTTTTTGGTATTGGGTAACTTTATAAGGAATCTAGGACTAGAAAAAGGGAATAAGGGTACTACTGGGCATCCTAGTTTTTCTAGCGTCGTCATCCAGCGATGCAAAAGAGCGCACCTGAAGAACTGGCAGTCGAACAAACAGCCGGGGAAAGGAGGGACCCTTAATGGGGAATGGGGACCCTTTAGAGGGATCTATAGGGATTCTATAAGGGTATAGGGTTTAGGGTATAGGGGTTTAGGGGGTTTAGGCGGTTTAGGGGAAAAGGAGGGACCCTTAATGGGGACCCCTACCCATAATGGGCTATATAATGGGTATATAATAGCTATATTAAGGGTATATACTTAGGGGTCCTTATGAAGGGTCCCTCCTTTCATCCGTACCCAAGAAGTCAACATGAAGATGAACAACGACACCGGCTTCTAAGCCATTCTAGAGGGATCAATCGTTACTCATATGGTCGTAGGACGATGCATAGCCAAGTAAACAATCAACGGCCCAGGTCATGAAGAAGATCTGCAGTGTGAGCACATCGGACTCTTCAACACAACAGGTTTGTCAACCCTGAATACCAAATCCGAAACACAACCAATGTACAGGTGGAGCCAGAGGCACCAACAAACAGACGCCTGAGGTCAATGTGTACACGCGTTGCCTTCTTGAAGCTTTAGGGTATCACCACAACCCCAATCCTAAACCCTACAAGGTCTAACCCTTTCCCACTGCTTTGCTCCCAGCTGCAAGATCGACACTCATCTCTGCCACTTGCACTCGGGCATCGTCAAGCTTCCTTGCTTAGGCTTCGGCTTCCCGGAGAGCCCAATAGACCCGTTCATGGAGGATTATAGCCCAAAGTACACGGAGTGTTGCATTCTAACTTAAGGGTGCGCGGCCCGGGGTTTAGGATGCCCAAAGCCTCCACAACCCTTCAATTAAGGAACATGCTATGCCTGTAGTTTCCATTGTAGTTCCTTTTTGGGTTACCTTATAGGATTCATTATTTAATTGGTAAACCAAAAAAAGGAACTACAATGGAGACTATATACGTATACCTTAATCCTACTTGTCGGGTATCATGGGGAACTAAAGGTTAACCTTTTCGGTTATATATGGATTATACAGGGAGTATACTACCCGAAAAAGGTTAAAGGTTACCTACTCTACTACGACTAGGATACCCAGTAACCTAAGAATAAAGAGGCCTCTCTTTTTGGTATTGGGTAACTTTATAAGGAACCTAGGACTACAAACAGGGAATAAGGGTACTACTGGGCATCCTAGACTAGGTCAACTACTACCGGGAACCCCTGAGACTGGACCTGTGTCTCGAAGTACCCCTATCTCCCGAAGGGTTCGGGTTTAGGGTTTTGGGGTTTAGGGTTTAGGGTTCTGGGGTTTAGGGTTTAGGGTTTTGGGGTTTAGGGTTTAGGGTTTACTGTTTACGGGTCCCGATGTACCAAAATTACAAGCTTTCAGGAATGATCCCTATTCCCAATGGGTCCTAGGTTTTTTTGCAGGATATACGTCCCACAGTGATAGTTACAGTTCCTACTACAGAAACCTTACTAACATTCTGCTGTACAGGTGCTTGGGACTCTTTGGGATGTTGAGTACACCGATGTATGCTCCGTCCTTAAAGGGCCTTAAAGGGTCAAGGCTTGCTATGATCTACAAATGCGCACTCACTTTTGAACCTTTAGGCCCGAAGCCCTAGACCCTACATCACAAGCTCTCAACCTCAAGCCCTAAACCATAAATTAAACCCTAAACTTGAAATCTCATGCTCTCAACCTCAAATCATAAACTAATCCTGAGATCCCAAACTCTCCACCTCAAACTCTAAGCCCTGAAGTGTTTAACGGGCTCTTGGGAAACCTCGACGGGCTTCGGCGTCGAGGTCTGCAGCCCACGGCTTAAAGTTTAGGATTCCCTCAAGTCTAAATCCCACCTTACAAATAGAATAGGGTTTTGGTATAGGGTTTAGGGTTTAGGGCCAGCCATCTAAATCCCAGAGGAGCCTGGGAGAATGGCCTTGCCAGGACCCCCCAGGGACGCTTGAATGGAGCCGTTATGGTGCCTAATAGTGAGTATAATAAGGTATATTAGAGGGTAGTTGGGGGGTCTAGGTGTGCTTGATAGAACTGAGGATTTCAATAATCGGCTTTTTGTTGAAGGACTCATCCTTCGTGGTCTGCCTCTAGGCAATGGAGCGGATGACGCCCTTTGCACCACCCCTTGAGGGTCAGGAAGAGGTAGACTGACATCTCAGTCTCGCGTTCCGCGTAATCAGTATAGGGGCCTTAATACTTAGAGTAGGGTTTGGGGGTCCCGTACACTATATGCATATATGAAGGAACCCCAAAACAGTATCGGTAATGATTAAGGCCCCTATAGTAGTTGGACAAGCTCTTGGAGCTTCCTCTCCAGGCAGCGGCGCACTGTGGTGTCGTCGTAGGGGTCCCACAGGCTGTTGTATGAATAAGCTTGAAGTCTTATGGTGTCAATGGTGGCATGGTAGAGGAATAAGCCAAGTCAACGGAAATCTATTTACCAATGGCCACCTTCAGGTCGCCGACAGTAGCAGATGCCCCCAGGCGCAAGCTTGTAAATGTAGAGCTCTGGTGTATAACTTTTCTCATGTCCTTGTGTCAAGGAACCAAGAGGGATGACATTGCTAAGTATCCAGGCTTCTACAGTAAGTCAAGGTCCCTTTGTAAGAATCCAACACCCCAGAACGTCCAACCCTCTATTAGACGCCAAATACCCAGAATTATGTGCCATCCAGCCCTTTTGGAGGGTACGGAGGTCGAATGCCTAAAGTTTCGGACCTTGGCGTCGCATGAGTTGTACGCTGTTCTACGACGTGTTGGAATTTGATGTGCTGGTGCCTCGTGTGTTATCCCTACATAGAATTTCCAAATAGGACGGCCTGAATTCCTCAGGGTCCGAAGGACCCAATAACAACGTACTTGGTTGGGTTTAGGATCGTTTAGCTGCCCTGGGCGCGGTAGGCGCTTGGACCCCTAGGGCAACCTAAGAGAAACCTAGTAAGTATTAAGCCGCAAATGCCCAACTCCTACACTAATATCCTATACACCCTGAACCCTAAACGGCAAACCCCGAAACCCTAAACCCCCGGTTCATATGGGAGTTTCCAAAAGTAGGGGACCCTAATATGGTACCCTAAATAGTAGGATCCGTATTGTAAGGCCCCCTAAAAAAGGTACCCCTAATTTCCGGAAACTCCCATATACTAAACCCCCAGCCCTCAAACCCAAACCCCAAGCCGATCCAACCGGGCGAGGGGCGAAAGGCCGTTGCGCAGCTTGTCTGCGGCAGAGCCGAGCTCCTTCTGCTTGTCCTCGCAGCTTTGGGATGCGTTGGGTTTAGGGTTTAGGGTTTACACTAGAAGCCCAAAAGTTGGAAACCCAATAGCCTCAACCCTTAAGAGTGATCTACAAGGAATCCGAGCACTAATTGTCCTTAAACGGGTTTCCAACTTTTTGGGGTTTACTGCAGGGGGTTGGGGCCTGGGCCTAGAACCCCAAAATAATCGGATTCATATAAGGAGCCCGAATAAAGGCCCAAGGTTCCTACATTATCCACGTCCTGTTTGGAACGCACCCATCCAACAAAGAACAAAGGGATCTGCATAAATATGTCTGCAAACACTGTGCGGGGAAGATCCTTGGCGAGAGAGCATGACGCCCAAAGAGACACCTGGTGTAGTACATTTCTTTGCGTCAAGTGATACCTGCGCCCAAAAGCCCGATCCCTAATCTAGACCTGCCTTTAGGGTGTAGGGTCATGCAGCACATGCCCTGAAGAGAGTGCTCCTGAAGCCAAAAGCCTAATCCTCAACCATGAAATGGTTCCGCCATGACGGCAAGCTTTTCCAAGCTTCCCAAGGAGGTCAGCCCTCCAGCCACACCCCACGACCTAATGGCTTCAGGTTTGAAAACTACGGCTTTCAATTAAGGAGGCTTCCATTGTGCAGGGCTTCACGTCTAGAATCGGGGGCTGAGGGCTTTAAGGTGTAAGATTCACGGACTCTGCAAACCTTGTAATCTAACTCTAACTCTCTCTCTCTCTCTCTCTCTCTCTCTCTCTCTGTCTCTCTCGCTCTCTCTCTCTCTCTCTGTGTCTCTCTCTTCGCTATTTAGATATGCACGTATGTATTTATATATATATATATATATATATAAATACATATTAACCGAACACATACATACATACATACATACATACATACATACATACATACATACATACGAACATACATACATACACACATACATACATACATGCATACATGCATGCATGCATGCATATATACATACGTTCATGCATGCATGTATACATACTCAGAGATTAGATATCCCAGGGCCCGGACGCTAAATAAACCACAAACCATTCAATCGCCTTACACTCCAAACCCAAAGCCCTGGACTTTGGACACTAAATCCGTGATTCTGAATCCGGCAACCAGGTCCTTCAGCATGCCCATGTAGCCCTGGACCAATTCCAGGTAGTTCGTGGGTGTCACGTAGTTCATGCGCTTCTGCTCCTGCCGGCTGAGGGATTGATTCTAAGCTCAAACACGAGCCCAAAGGGTCCTTGGTACTGTTATGGTGGAACAATCCCTGAATCAAAAGCATAAAAAGGCATGATAATAAATCATAGTGGAGGAACCCCTAATAGAGGAAAGCTACCTTCTACTATATAGGTATATAGGTACTTCGGACCCTTTGGGGAGGTCGGCAGTGGAACTACGTCGGACCCTGGCCCGAGACCTCAAACCTTCGGCTCAAACGACCCGAAAGGAGAGCGAAGTCCTGGTAGATGCGAGTGGAGAAGCGCATGACCGTCCTAGGCTCAAGCGTTTTGATTGGAAGCTGGGACGATCGTAATTTGGGGTCGGAAAAATCAATACTACTAGTATGCCCTTATAGTTCCAAAGTCACATGTAAGACTATGCACTAGTATCCCCTTATACAGCTCCCACATCACTACATGATAGGGCCTAGGGGGCGGTTCATTTAATTTGAGGCTTCGTTTAAAGGAGCACCAAAACGGAACCCGTTTGGGGGGATATTTGCCCCAAGCATATGTAACCCTAAATCCAATTCTAGAAGCTTTCCTTTCTACTATGTAAATACTTAGGACCCGTTAGGGGTGAATCAAGAGGGCTTCCACGAGGGTTTGTGGGTTCGGGCTTGTTTTGGGGTTTTGATCTCAGGACTTGGGCTGCGAGGGTTGATGCTTTCTAGCTGGGCTTTAGGGGTAAGAATCTTTGGCGGCCTGTAGAGAGAACTCGAAACGACATTATATGGAACCCATGGCAGTAATTGGTCCTAAACTCGTAGTATCACTGTATGTCAACTATAGTCCAACGAAACCATCTGCAACCTAAATTACACTCAACCCCAAAGGCAGTGCACCAAAGCAACCCACAACCCAACCCTAAGAGTCCAAATGACCCAATAATTAGGTACTTAGGCTTAGGATAGTAGTTATGTAGGCTACTATTTTGGAGAGTATATGATTAGGCACTTGGACCCTTAGGGTAAGGCACTTCGACCCTCAGTCCTACCAGTCTTTCTAACCAGCCTTCGGCACACGCTTCTCGCAACCCTTCCCGAGCTGTGCAGTTTCATTAGGTAACGCGCTGTGGGTTCATGGTAGCCCATAGGGTCCGAACCGAGACCTACTCAGAATATAGTATACTACTGTTGATGATATAAATCCTGCATTACCCATAATAAGGAATATACCATAATTCCCATAGCTTCGGGTCCTTAAGGTAATGCAGGATTCATATCATCAACAGTAGGACATTGGACGTTTAGGGTAAGGCCCAGAGCTAGCGCCTGGGCTGACTGGGGTACTGGCGATGGTTTGCAGGTGCACAACGGTGCGGGAAGGCCCTAGACCCTCAAGCACATCTAAGAAACAGCAAATACGACTGGGGAAATCGCACCAGTTTTCGGATACGAGACCTGCGGTCGTTGGACGGTCGCCTTAGACAAACGAGCTGTTCGGGGAGAAACGGCGCTGGCTCCTGAGATAACGGGAGACTTAAAACCAAAGCTTGCAACCCTTAACCCTGACAGAAAGGCTCAGCTTTCCGGCAACTCGAGATCCTGGCGGCCTGTATATGGGCATATCTAAATGAGGTTCCCCTTCAGGGCCTTCTTTCTAAGGGTGCTTACTATTTTGGGGACCTAGAAGAGGCCCTAATTCAGAGAACTGCACAAAAAAAAAACAGGCAAGACTTCCAATTCTGAATGCCTGGACAAGCTTGTAGCACGCTGAAGCCGCATCTCTGAACATCCAGCTTCTCAACCGGAAGCCTTACAGCCGAAACCCTAAACCCTCAACCCAACATCTGAACTCTATCCCCGGCGGAATCTGGCTGTCTGATACAAAATGCCTCTAGACAAAGCCTATAATTATAACCTTCAACTCTAAACCCTAAACCCTACACCCCAAATCCCACACCATAAAACCTTGAACCACGAAACCCTAAACCTTTGAATCCAGGCAACTTACAACATTCAACCTTCGATGTCCAGTGTCGTGTGCGCGGCGCCGAAAATCTCGGCGACAGGAGCACGCAGATGCTCCTCCAGCTCACCTTCCGTGACTTGCTTCCAGTCTGCAGTTTACCGTAGAGGCAGGTCCACAACTAAGGCTTGGGATTTGAGTTTAGCGACTTGTTGTCACTTCTGCTAATGTCAATGGGCTCGGCTTAAGCCTGTCGTGCTAGGCGTGCTACGCTTCAAGAGCCCAAGCTGTGCTGAAGCCTAGTCTCGACTGTGGACTGCAAGACCGCAGACGTTCGCAAGCAGGCGACCAGCAAGAAACCTGTGTACGCATTTATAGAGCAGACGGTTGATGATATAAATCCTGCATTACCCATAATGTGGGGGTCGGTTTAGGAATATAGGCTCTTTTAATGCGTCGGCTCCGGGGCTAATTCCGAATCTGACAAAAAAATTTGGGTGTTCTAATTAATGCGTTTTTTTTTGGCTGGGGTGATTTTTTGGTGGCGGGGCTGTGCTATTTGCTGATGGTCAATCTTAAGGCAGCCACGACCTAAACCCCCACCCAAACCCCCACCCAACCCTAAAACCCTGGCCCTGAAGCCCGAAAATCTCTTGCAGAATTGTTTCGCTTATTGGGGCGTCAGGAATGAAAATCTGTACTACTACTGTACTACTACTGTACTACTATTCTACTATACTTGATTATTGGGGGGGGCTGCTAGGGTGAACCGCCGAATCGGGGATTGGACCCTAGCTCAAAAGAGGCCTCTCCAGTACTAAAGTTTGTATAAAAAATTAAGTTTTGGGTCGAATCTGGACCGACCCCCCTTTGGAAGGGTTTAGGGCTTAGGGTTCAGGGTTTGTTATAGGGTTTAGGAGTGTAGGATTCTTTAGGGTTTAGGGTTCGGGGTTTAGGGTTTCAGGCGCTGGCTTTATGCTTTGCTTATTGGGGGAATGTACTCACTGGCTTTATGCTTTGCTTATTGGTACTATTTCTGTACTATTACTGTATTACTACTGTACTACTGTACTACTGTGGTACTACTACTGTACTACTAGTGTACTACTGTACTACTATTGTACTACTACTGTACGATTACTGTACTACTATTGTACTACTGCACTGTTATGGTACTACTACTGTACTACTATTGTACTACCACTGTACTACTGTTGTATTACTATTGTACTACTGCACTATTATTGTACTACTACTGTACTACTACTGTACTATTATTGTACTACGGTACTATAATCGTACTACTGCTGTACTATCACTGTACTACTATTGTGCTACTATTGTACCTTGATTATTGGGGGGGGCTGCTAGGGTGAACCGCCGAATCGGGGATTGGACCCTAGCTCAAAAGAGGCCTCTCCAGTACTAAAGTTTGTATAAAAAATTAAGTTTTGGGTCGAATCTGGACCGACCCCCCTTTGGAAGGGTTTAGGGCTTAGGGTTCAGGGTTTGTTATAGGGTTTAGGAGTGTAGGATTCTTTAGGGTTTAGGGTTCGGGGTTTAAGGTTTCAGGCGCTGGCTTTATGCTTTGCTTATTGGGGGAATGTACTCACTGGCTTTATGCTTTGCTTATTGGTACTATTTCTGTACTATTACTGTATTACTACTGTACTACTGTACTACTGTGGTACTACTACTGTACTACTAGTGTACTACTGTACTACTATTGTACTACTACTGTACGATTACTGTACTACTATTGTACTACTGTACTGTTATCGTACTACTACTGTACTACTATTGTACTACCACTGTACTACTGTTGTATTACTATTGTACTACTGCACTATTATTGTACTACTACTGTACTACTACTGTACTATTATTGTACTACGGTACTATAATCGTACTACTGCTGTACTACTACTGTACTACTATTGTGCTACTATTGTACTACTGTATTATTATTGTACTAATACTGTACTACTATTGTACTACCACTGTACTACTGTTGTATTACTATTGTACTACTGCATTATTATTATACTACTACTGTACTACTACTGTACTACTATTCTACTATACCTTGATTATTGGGGGGGGCTGCTAGGGTGAACCGCCGAATCGGGGATTGGACCCTAGCTCAAAAGAGGCCTCTCCAGTACTAAAGTTTGTATAAAAAATTAAGTTTTGGGTCGAATCTGGACCGACTCCCCTTTGGAAGGGTTTAGGGCTTAGGGTTTAGGGTTTGTTATAGGGTCTAGGAGTTTAGGATTCGTTAGGGTTTAGGGTTCAGGGTTTAGGGTTTCAAGCGCTGGCCCAGACCCCCCCGACCCCCGACCGCGCAGTCGCGCAGAACCGCAGACCCTGCACCCAAGCCAGCCCCCAAACCCCGGCACCTCCCAATTCCCTGCCACTCAGACCGACCCCTGACCCCTGTCCGGGGCTACCGGTTCCAAATTAAAGAGAATTTTTTTTTTTGGTCGGGGGGGGGGGGGTACCCCACTATTAATCCGACCGCCACATTTATAAGGGATATACCATAATTCCCATAGTTTCGGGCCCTTAAGGTAATGCAGGATTTATATCATCAACAGAGATAGCTTGCTTTGGTACTGTGGAGACTCACTCCAAAGCTGTCTTAAGGCCCGTTTAACATGCAGCAGCTGAGGGACTGCTTTTCAAGCCAAAGCCCAACACGAAGGCCAGAGACCTTCTTCCTTCTTCATACAAGATTTTAGCACAACAAACCTCGCCCTCAGGATTGCACAGTCAACTAGCTGGAATGTAAAAAATGCACACATTCTGGACGAGTTGTTGGCTGAGCAATGCTCGCACGGCAGGCTACAGCACTATCATGCTGCCCTGGTGCATCCACTACATTATGCCAAGCTTGCCGCCGATACAGATCAAAGTATGGAGCACCATGACTCCTCGACTGGCAGGCGGTGGAAGCCCTCGGCAGGCGGTGTGAAAATGCTGTCCACGACTTTGAACAAGTCGTCCTTCAAGTCGTCGTATGAGGAGTGCGAAGGAAAAGCAGACCAGAATGATTTTGCAATCGTCATCTGTGAAGGCACATCATGACTTGGACGGATCGCATCCGCAGCAGCAAACACCTCTCCGTCTTTCCACAAAACTCCGGTCATGTTGATTCCCAGTGACTCACACATTTGAAGGACCGCGACGTCGCGTGAATTCGAGGGAAGTCGATCGGCATGATTGTAAATGAAAGTGAAGTTGTACTTGCTCTTGCGCTTTCCATACTTGAGCCACGCCAAAAACTGCTTGATGTTTTCGACGTGAATATTCTCAATCCGGTTGGAGCAAACTACAACTACCTGATCCACGTAGGCGAAGTTGACCTGCAAGTGCTCGCGGACGAGCTCTAGCACAATGCCAGCTGACATATGTGAGTCGCAAAGGCCAATTGTGTCTATGATGTTTACTTTGCGACACTGCTTGTGAATCAGGCCTTGCCCCGACAGAACCTTCATCTGCCTCGTCACCGAATGGGGCGAAGCCATGGACTCAGCAACATAGCGGTTAAAGAGAAGATTTATGATCCTGGACTTGCCAGCGCCCGAAGGCCCAACCACAAGTACATTGTAGGAGTCACGATCTGCTCGACTAAGACCCTGCGGCGATTCTGTAAAGCGCAGGAAGCCGGCATATACATCTTGCGGATAGAGCTCCTTGGTCGGTATCTGCACCAGAAGTTCGCATGGGAGGCAGTTCGACTTCTTCTTGTGCTCATCCATCATGTGCCTGACGAAGGTTGACCCCAAGAATGCCCCCTTCAGCATCTGAAAGCTCACCCACGATCCACTGTATATGTACCGTGCCAGGTGCTCACAGTTGCGTAGTGTGACGGAGTATGCGACTGCTCCACAAACCTGCGACATTCGCTTGGTCACCTCATCGGTCTTCTCAAACGACACCTCCATGTGGTAGGGCGTCGGAAGGCTGTTTTGGTGAACTGCGACGCCTGTGCCGAGAAATTCGATTGTCCATGTGCGATCAGTCACGAAGAAATGCTTGTACTTGAGACCTGCATTATTGCATTCGTGCCAGCACATGTAGAGGCGAGAAGCAAAACTTGCAATGTCCTGGTGCTGCACAGCCTGTCGTTCGGGGCAAATGTTTAAAGCATGATCCACCGCCCACTTCGTCTTCTCGTCCTCGACCACCTTCGATGCTCCGATTCCCATTCTAGCAGAGTTCTATCGAGAGGCAGCTTGAGTCGAAAATGCTCCGACATGCAAGCTGTTCAGCTTCAACTCTCGAGCAAGCAAAAAATGGTCCCTCGACAGCTGGCCCAGACCCAGCTTGGAGCGTAGCCTTTCCCGCAAGCCCTCACGCACAAACTACGTGAAAGGCAAACTCATCTTAAAGCTACGTGCTATCAAACCAGAAGTGATTATTGGTCAGCCTACACCCAAGAGGGTCCATGTATACTACTATTATGGATTTAGGTCACCCCAAATGTTGGAGCCGAGTTCCGTAAAAGTCGTATATACTGTGGACCCTCGGGGAACCCCTCAGCGATAAGGACAAGTGAGATTTCGGAATATGGCACTCGGCATTTGTAGAAGATGTATGGCACCATACTTGCACACCCTGCCCAACAAGACACTGTGAATTCATAGCTTTTTGACTGTCGCAAAGCTTGATCGGCTTAACCATTGAAAAGCCCCAGCCCAAAGCCCAAACCTAAATCTTGGAAACCCGAATTGAGTTGCCTCAACGAAAGTTTTAAATTGAAGCGAAACTCACACACGAAAACATGAGATTGAAGCGAAACTCACACCGTCTGGTGCAACGGTCGAGCCTCAAGTTCCTGAGACCCGGAACTCCAGAAACAGAAAACCCAAAACGAGACAAAGACCGAACCAGGAATACTCTAAACTCCTGAGCCGGCCTAAACCATCTTGAAACCTCAACCCTAAGCCCCTGAAGACCAAATGCCAGCCGCCTTCCGTGAGGAATTTCAGGGCAACCTCTGTCAGAGCCTGTCGGTCTTTCCCCACGACTCAAAACAGCCCAGAGTTGATACTGTCCATAGACTCTACGGGTGTGGGATGCTGGGCTTCGGGTCTAGGTCCCAAAGTAGATACTACTTGTAAACTTGCCGTCTTAGGGTTAACCGAAACTTCACAGGGATGTTAAGCGGGTTTGGAATTCTGCACAAGACTCCAAATTGTGTGTCTGTGGGCCTGTGTGTATGTATGTGTGTGTATATATATATATATGTACATATGTAATACCCACTTTGGTGTTAAGTCCATAAACAATACCAAACTCTGGGCAATTTTGAGTGTTAGAGTGAAGATAACTGTCCCTATGCTTAAGTGATGTTTGCTTCCTAGTGCGATTGCGGTTCTTCCTCATGGCTTGTCAACGGGTTTAGGCCTGAGGATGCAGGAGCTTGCTTGACAAACAGGGGAAAGAAATCTGAGAACGTCAGAGATGATTGTGGGCGTAGCCTTTTGGGATGGAATTAGTGTAACTTGGGAGAGCTTTCCCACGGGAATGTTTCCAGCTTACATTAGACTATGATAAAATCACTTGTGGTTGCCGTCGTCGTAGTAGTACTACTGGGCTTCAACCGCAAACTGAAGCTAAACCGCCTAAAGGCTTAAACTCCAATTTCTCACGTATTGAACTCCACAGCAAATTGAATACTAAAGCCCCGAGCTCTGGGTTTAGGGTTAGGGAACCCTAAACCCTCTGAAGCCTGAAGCTCCCGGTGATCGCCCTAGCAGGCCAGGGGTTAGGGCTTACAGGGCTTACTTGGAGGCTCAGGGGTAGTTATAAGTAGGGTAACTATACTTATATAACCCATACTAGGGCACTTATAACCCCACTTATAGTTACCCATGAACCTCCGAGTAAAGGTTAGGGAGCCCGAATCCCTACAGGTGGGCCTCTGCAGGCCAGGGGAGCAGCCAAATCGCCGTGGTGCAGCTGACAAGCGAGGGGTACATTCCTCGGACGGGCTGAAGGGGCGCCGGGTTCAAACTTTGGGGTGCCCAGGGTTGCCCTAAGACTCCAAGTCCACAACGAGTATCCATTTGGGAGTTTCCGAAAATAGGGGACCGTAATATAGTACCCGAAACAGTAGGATGCTTAGTATAAGGACCCCAAAATAAGGTGCCCCTAATTTTCGGAAACTCCCGTTTGGGATGTACAGTCTTCGAAGAACATCATCTTGGCGCTATTTGGAGTCTTCGGGCTGGTCTGTAACTTGACTTTTAGAGCCCTGGGGCTCCGGTTACTTAGGTTACTGCGATATATATATATATATATATATATATATATACATATTTAAGTGCTCGTAACCTACTACTTAGGTAACCGGAGCCCTAGCGGAGGGCTTTGTGTCAGGCCTGGGAAACCAGAATTTGTCGTTCTGGTGCAGAGTTTCGGCTATAGGCGCTTGCGATGTCGGCCTTGGTAAACAAACGCTGGGCACGTCTGGGATTGCGGATATCAGCTTTCGGTCTCCTGATGGAGCAGAGCGTATTGGTTGCGCCGACGCCGTTGTTTTTTTGGGTCGGGGGTTTGCTGCTGGGCTTCGATGCAAAGCTACGCTGTAGAGTTCAGAAGTCAAAGTGGGGCTATCAGCGACTCCAACATGCCTTAAACCACACTAAGTAAGGATCCCTTTTTCGGCCCAGGATATTTCTTGATGAAGGGTTGTTGGAGTCTCTGGGTTTAGATCAGACTCCAGGCTTAGGTTTTGCTTATGGACATGAACTTCAGTGCTTGTCCAGGACCCCCTAAGTACCCTTGAACGGGCTCTGATATTTCTCATTAAGAGGTAATTATAGGGCCTACATTAAGGGGTAGTTGGGGGGTTCTAGGGTGTCCCTGCGACTTCATGCCCCAAATCTCCGAATCAGAAGTTCCCCATTAATTGAGTACCCCCACCAGACTACTGCTTGGCTACACAGGGGCGAAAGCTTGAAAGCAATGTCGAAGTTGGTCAACTCTCATATAAAGACCAAGCATGGCCCCGTTTAAGGCTCCTCCCAAAATGGCCCCGTTTCACTAGGTGGGGCTTTTAGAGCCTTTGAAAAATATTAGTAAATAAGATCCTCTTAAGCCCAATAAGCGAAAATATAAAATGTCCCAAAGCCCTACCTAGTTTCAAGCTCCTCCAAAAGTTAAAACCCACTCAGCCCTAAACCCTACTCTTAATTTCAAGCACGCTCGGCTCCTGGAATGTATAGTTTGGTCTTTGGGCCCAAAAGCCTTAATATATGGGTCCTTAGAGCCCTAATCCCTCTAGAACCTTGTAAAGGACCCCTTACAGATCCCTGTACAGGAACCTTATAGATCCCTAGGGTTCGAAGGATCTTTAAGCTTACGTCGGTTGAGGGCTCAGCTGGAACAGGACAAGTTGCGGCAGTAGTCGCGGAAGTTGCTGCCGATGTAGGACATGCAGAAGACCTGAGTTTTCGGAGCTTGGGGCTCAGGGCCTTCAGTGTTGGGGGTATTGGGGATATCGGGTATTGGGGTTTAAGGGTTTAGGGGTTCAGGGCTTTCTTTGGGTATTAGAATTAGGGTTCAGGGGTTAAGGTTTAGGGCCTTAGGGTATAGGGTTCAAGGTTTAGGGCCTTTAGGGCCTTTGGGGATTGAACGGCACAGAGCTTAGGGCCTTCAGTGCTTGGGGTATAATTATTGGGGTTTGAGATGCAGGATTCAAGGTTTAGGGTTTGGGGTACTCGGGTTTGCTTTATGTAACCCCTAAACCCTAAACCCTAAACCGTCAATGTATACTACAAGCATCGCAAGGCTTCAGGAACCCAAAGCATGCGTCTGCCAACGATATTGCGGCCCCTTCATTACGGCAACCCGGTGATGCACGACGGCTGATGATACAAATCCTCCCTAAGCCCTAAAGCCCTATAGATCCCTAAAAGGAAGCCCAGGTACCCCTACATAGATCCCTTTAAAGGAACCCTAGGGATATATATCATCAACCGGAGAACCTGCTGCCAGACCCTGCGCAGCACAAGAGCCTCGAAGTTTGTTCGGACCGTGTAGCCTTGAACCCCATCATAACCCTGGTCCAAAACCACGCAAACATCTGAGCTTGAACAGTCGAAGGACCGCCCCCGAACTCCCAAAGGAACCCTTAAACCCCGAAAGCCCTATAGATCCCTCAACGGAACCCCTAAACCCCTAAAGCCCTAAAGCCTTAACCTCAACCAGGAAGCGATGTGCAGGTTCGTCCGCACCCTTGAGATGAAGAAGTCGTACATGGCTTCTGCTGTCTGGTTGATCTTCTGCTCCTGGGACGAATGGGGTTTATATGGTATAGGGTTTAGGGGTTTAGGGGCTTAGGGTTTAGGGTTTAGGGGTTTAGGGTTTATATGGTTTAGGGTTTAGGGGTTTAGGGGCTTAGGGTTTAGGGTTTAGGTTTTTAAGATCTTCTGCTCCTGGGACCGACAAGAAGCTCGGTATGGGGGTCTATGCGGGTTCTTTTCGTTCAAAAGAATTCCTGTAAGGTTTATTATGTACATACATATGTGTACGTGTACATGTATGAAACACACATACATAGCAAGCATGCATGCATGTATGTGTATGCATGTGTAGGTACCTGTATGTGGGTGTGTATGTATATGTGAATGTATGGGTGAATGAATGATTTGTTGAATGAATGCATGTATGCAAGGGTTCTACTAGTTGTTGACCCCTTCAGCCCCTATCTTCAGCCCTATGAAGGCTTCATTCCCTAATCCCATATGCAAACACTCGAACCCCCTGATACCCTACATAGGCCATCCTAACATACACCCTCAGCCTGCACATAGTAGCAAACACTGCATAAACAATGCTGGCGTTTGCAATGACAGCGGCAACAGTAATTTGAGTACACCCTAAACCTTTAACCCAAAATAAATCCTAAACCCTACACTTAGCTGACATGCCCACTCTCCTTGGCCGCCTTCTCCAAACCGCTGCGGATGGTCCCAAGCCTTGGTACTGCGACTTTTCTATATAGGAGATCATAACCATAAAACTAGGTACTCCAAAAAAGGTGTAGGGTATGACCCTCCAGGTATAGCAGGCTCTTGGAGAGTTTTGAGCCTGAGGCTAATGGTCTTCTTGGAGGTAGCTGTTCAACCTTAAGCCAGCGACCTGCATTTACTCAAACTCATGAAGCATTCAGCCTACACTACTCCCCGCTTAAGGCAAGTGTAAGACAAACTTCTTGCAGTACTCGTTTCTTTCAAGTTGGGGCTTGCTGTAGAGCATTCAGTCCTCCGAGTACCTGCTGATGTTCGGTGGTGGGTTGTACCCCACAATTTCAGAGGTCACAACCTGCATGCACTACATTATTGAAGCGTCGGCGGTTACAGGTTCAGTCCGGCTCAGTATGAAAAGCATCTCAAAACGGAGTGGGCACTGATCGGAAGAGCCGTAAACCTCACACCCATAGCTCCTGTATCCTATTCTAGGGCTACGAAATGAAACCATGATGCACAACAGCCCTGCATCACATAAAGTCCCCGTGGCTCATCGCTGGTGAACAGGTTCGGCACCTGTCGTCATGCGCTGCTGCCGAGTGGGGGCTTCAGGCTTTGGGGGGTTGGCTTGCAGACATGGGTTCCGAAACATAGGCTCTTGTTAAAGGATGTATATAATATAAGTGACCATAGCTTGGAAACCCTATCATGTACTATAGATCCCTACTTAAAGGGTCATGGGACCTAGCAACTGAGTTATTACTAAGGTAACTATACTTATAGTTACTTATAACCCCAATTGAGGGCCTTATAACCATAGTTACTAAGTCCCATGACCCTCCAAGTATTACGGTAAGTTACACTACGTCCGTAACAAGAACCCAGAAGTCTAAACTCTGACCGGTGGAGATGTTGGGTTCAAAGGGGAAAAGGAGGGACCCTTAATGGGGACCCCCTACCCTATAATGGGCTACATAATTGGTATATATAATGGCTATATTAAGGGTATATTACCTAGGGGTCCTTATTAAGGGTCCCTCCTTTTACCCTTGGATGGGTTCGGTAAACCATCGAAAGCCTAAGAACACCTGATGCCTCAGCTTGTCGAACCGTGCCCTTACCTTCAGGGATCCTTTAATTAAGGGCTCCTTTAAGGGATCCTTTAAGGGCTCCGTTTAAGGGATCCTTTAAGGGTTCCTTTTAAGGGATCCTTTAAGGGCTCCTTTAAGGGATCCTTTAAAGGTTTAGGGTTGAAGGTTTACCTGCAGCTTCAGCCCGATCCACCGAACCTACACGCACCGCAAAAAGTCTAGAGCTTAACTTGAACGATCATGGGATGCCCTAAGCTCGCAAGAGAAGCTGAAACCGCAGGCCAAGTGTGATCCGAAGTACATAATTTACGTCATGACTAAATCCCTAACCCCTAACCCCTAGACCCTAACCCCTAAACCCCAGCCCCTAAATCCCTAACCCTATCCCCAGCCCCGTATGATACTTATCGACTCTCGCTGGCGATGTAAAGTTCTACCAAGACCCGGATCTCGGTTCATGGTGTCTAGAAGATTAGGATGCGGAATGTCGGCTAGCATGTGCAGACATACCCTAAATAGTAAGAACATTATCATAAGATTCCCAAAAGAAGATACCCCTAGTTTTCGGAAACTCCCATATATGTAAGTAAGTATGTATGTTGCTATGCATGCACCGTACGGGACTTCACATCTTGCGCGCCTCGCCACTGGAGAGCATGTTGGCAACATCTTCCAGGAAGCTTTCCTCCACAATCTCCGTGTCCTGAGGCTTCAGGGCTTCAGGGTTTAGGGGCTGGGGGGTAGGGTTTAGGGCAGTTTAGGGGTTAGGGATTAGGGTTCAGGGGTTAGGGGTTAGGGGTTAGAGTTGAGGGCTTAGGGTTTGTGGGTCAGGCTTCGGAGCTTCAGGGGCACCTTCTTTGAGGGGCAAGGGTCCTGCTACTTAGTAGGGTATACAGCGGGGATTCCTCCCATATGTGTTTGGAGCAGTGCCCAAAGGGTCCTGAGCATCTATAAAATAGAATGTAGGGTTTCTTATTTCGGAAGTAGTATGTGTCGATTTGGTGAAGTATACCCCCATAATAGTGGCTAGGACCCTGTGGGTAAGATGGATGTGAATTTTTTGGACAAAGGCCATCCTGGTATGCGGGATCAAAGTCAGAGCTGGAGTTCAGGATCCACAAGCTAGGATGCCCAGTAAGCTTACCTTTTGGTGTTGGGTAACGTTATACAGGAACCTGGGACTACAAAAAGGGAACAAGGGTACTACTGGGCATCCTCGCAAGAGTATGACGGATCGAGGGCGAACACTTCAACAGACTATGCACCTGCATGGCTGCGTTGACTCCTTCATCTACAAGCACAGCAAACTTTGCCAACCACCTAACGTAGGGGCCTTAAAAAATAGAAGAGGGTTGTGGAGGTTCCTCATTAGAATTATAGTATTCTATACCCCGCCCGCGTCGAAGTATTGAGGCCCCTGGACTACAAACCTTCGAAAAATCCAGGCAATCACAACTCAGGCCTGAACAGCTTGTTTTGGAAATCCGCTTCCAGCCCTGCATATGTCTCATGGCCCCATTAATGCGAGCCCCCACTTTGAAACCCCGAAACCCTAAACCCTAAATCCTAAACCCTAAACCGTCCTAAGCCCCTATTAGCCAAATCCCCAAACCCCTGGAGCTCTAAAGCTCTTTCCCCGCAGAACTCCCAGAGCCCCACAGCCCCAAACCCTCAAGCCCCAAATAAAGCATCCTAAACCCTGAATTGCCAAGGCTCTAAATTCCTAGGCTCCAAAATCATAAATCCTTCTAACCCCAAACCCTAAACCCCTAAAGCTCGAAAGCCCTAAACTCTAAAGCCTAAATACACTCTAAACCCCTAAAGCTCGAACACCCTAAACCTTAAAATAGGAATCCTCTACGCCCGAGACCCTAAAGACCTAAATCCCTTAACCCCAAACTCTCTATACCCTGAACCCTGAACTTAGGCCCCAAACCCTAAACCCCTAAAACCCTGAACCTTAAACCTGACACCATACAAAAAACAAGGCCCTAGGACCCCGAAGACCGGCCGAGGCGCCGAGAAGAGGAAGGTCATGGCCTGGTTCTTCACGCCGGTGAGCTCCTGGGTCGGTATATGGGCGTTTCCCACAACTAGGGGTACCTTTAAACAAATCCTTTAAGGGTTCCTTAAAGGGATCTATAAGGGTTCTATATCTGAAGGGTTTAGGGTTTAGAGTTTCCGAAAATAGGGGTACCTTATTTGGGGCTCCTTATAATAGGGATCTTACTATTTAGGGTGCTGTATTAGGGTCCCCTATTTTCGGAAACTACAATATCAGGGGCTTGGGGTTTATCAAAGGGGAAAAGGAGGGACCCCTACCCTATAACGAGCCGGTTTAGGGGTTTAGGATTTACGGTATAGGGGTTTAGGGGTTAGGGGTTTAGGGGTTTTGGGGTTTAGGGTTTATGTCACAGTTTAGGGCTTAGGGCTTTGTTTCAACGGCTCCTCTTAAAGCTCCCTTTTAGGGGTTGCCTTTAAGGCTCCCTTTAGTTCAGGCTTTTTTTATGAGGTTTAGGATTAAGCTTTTTTGTGAAGGTAGTCGGCAACAGAGGTCAAGGTTTACAGCGCTGACCACCTTCTTTGTGTGAAGGTTTAGGGTTTAGGGATCTATTTAAGGGTTCCTTTTAAGGGTTCCTTTAGGGTTATTTTTTGTGTGTTTTAGGGTTTAGGGTTTAGGGTTCGTTTTTGGGGCTCCTTTGAAGGATTCGTTTTAAATTTAAGGGTTTTTAAAGGTCCGTTTTAAGGCGTTCCCTTTACGGATTTAGGTTTAGAGTCTAGAGTTATAGGGTTCCAGGTTTAAGGTTTACGGCTCGGAGGATCATGGGACTAAGTAAGCATGGTTTTTAATACCTTCCTTGGGCAGATTACGTTTTCAGGATTTCGGGTTTGGGGTTCCCAGGCTTTTTATTCTCCCGAAGTGTCCTAGCCTATATGGGATACCTGCTGAAACCATAATAGTATCTCGCATTGCAAAAGACATCCTACTTTGTACGATGCAGGTACATAGGATCCTTTGCATCTACAATGCAACAAATCCCCAACCCTAAAACCAACCCCTAAGCCCTACGCCCTACACTCTAAACCCCGAGCCCGATCCCAACCTATACAACTAAATACCCTAAATCCAGTTACTCCCCCGCCACCGCCCCCGACCCTTCACACAAAGAATCGTCTACGACATAACAGCAAGGGCTCGTAAAGGCGCTTCATGTCATCCAAGAAGGCCTGGTGCTTGTACCTGGGTAATCGGGGATTAGAAATTCGGGTTTTGGGGTTTGGGGATTTAGGATTCGCGCTGCAGGGTTCTAAGCTTTCGGGATGATAGGGTGCAGAGCAAGGTTTATCAGGTTGGATTGCGATTACGGGGTTATCCTCTCCCTCAAACAGGTTAAGTTTATCATCCTTCCTAGCGATGCAGGAGACCATCCGTGATTACGATACCTATAAGTCCAGGCAAGCGGCTGTTTGGTGATCTCGATAGAGAAGCACTTGTAGAAGGCCAAGTATGAAGCCAGTCGGGTTTGACAGTGGCGGCCCGATCCACCGACGCCAATCAGAAGCGCATTTCCCTGGAAAAGCAGATCGGTGTTTAGGCTTCGGAATTTACCCTGACCCCTAAATAACTTACCTTGTTAAGGACTGATAGTACCTTATATATACACACACATATCTATACATATATGGGTGGCTGTCAAAATGAGGGCCCCTTGATGGGTCCTAATTATAATACGGCACTTAATACTTAGGGTACCCAGAAAGGGACTGTAAGTTTGACAACCACACACATATATATATATATATATATATATATAGAAAGAAAGAAAGAAAGCACAAACATAATGGCTGAAAGGTGGATGTCTCAGGATTCAGGGAGGGTTTTGGGCTTAGGGAAAGTCGTTATGTTCAACATCTTTTGTCGTACATTCGGCCTGTCCTTTCTGTTCTTGCGGGGTTTAGCGGTTTAGGGTTTAGGGCTTGCGGTTGCCATTCCACATTTGCTGGCTGTGGGCTGGAAGTGAAGGTTACAGTTCTACAACTTTAGAGACCTTTAAACGGACAGGATGCCTTGCAGAAGCAACTGTTGCGCTTTATACAGTGGCGGCTAGCTAGTCTGAGATCAAGATCACACTGACAAAGACAGGGAAGCACAGCTGTCGCAAAACAAAACCAGCAGCCAGTAAATCCCTGAAGCCGAAGCTGCAAGCTCTAAACCCTAAACCCTAAACCCTAGACCCCAATCTCTACATCCTGAAGAACAACCCTAAACCTTCAAACCAAACAGTGACACCAATGCTATAGCCTCGAAAGAACACAAGAAAATCAAGCTCTACAGCACAAATAGCCCAAAAGCCCGCAACCCGAAGCTCTAGCAACCCAAATCCCACTCTCCAGCACCTAGGGCGGTCAACTACACCCCGGATATCTGACCACATAAATCCATACACACCGAAAAAGCCCACCACATCTGCATAAGCCCTAACCATTCGGTGACCTGTGGCTGCTTCAGGATGCGCAGAATCTTGCAACAGATCTCCACGGCCTGGTGCGGGTTCGTGACTTAGGGAGTTGGGGTGCTGATACTGCTTGCAAACATGTCCAGGGACGGTTGCGAGCTTTCTGAGGCTTACAACTGGGTTCAGGGTTACGGGTACAGGCTTGAAGAAATGCCCCGTATGTAGGGGCCCGTATAGCACATGCATTCGCCCGGGAGCTACTGCATTGCAGCATATAAGAATCATGGAACTTTGTGATGTGAGGGTTCCTGGGAGGCTCTTGGGCAGACTATGTTTGAAGACTTCAAGTGGGAATGGTGCCGGAGTCAGGGTTTAGGGCTTACCTAGAGGCGCATACCCTACCCTGCGGATTTCGTGGGCTACCGACGTTTCTAAAGAACTAGGTACCTAAAAAAGGGGCAGGGCATGAGCCCCGAGGTATGAGTTGGTTCGTTGGCTGGTCTAGGGAGTTTAGGGTGGTTGCTTTAGGGTTTAGGGCTTCGGGTTTCAGGTTGAAGGCTTTAGGTTTAGGGTTCTTGTTCTCTTGCACGACCAAAGGAAGGAACTCTGTAACCTTGTGCACTGTCCTGGGGCTTGCTTCCTCGTTCGTTTCCGCGGCTTCAGGTTTACTTTGACCAGGGCTCGGGATGAATGTGGGATGATAGCATGTGCACCCTAAACCCTAAACCCTAAACCGATGCCTTCGCCAGAAAAGCCATCAGTCCGAAAAGTCCAAGGCATGCTGAGCTCAGCATGGCGTGGGCCCTAGTAGCGTTTCAGATTGAAAAGCTTAGTCAGGATCTGCTCTTTACCGCCCATTTCTGAATATGAAAACTGTGGTAGTAGTTGCTGAATGTAGTACTAGTATAGACGTCCAGCAGACGGCACGGTAAGCACATCTTTCTGAATTTGTGTAGCCCAAACTTATGGGAGCCCAAATCATACTGTAGAAACCCTACATTCTACTATATGGGTACTTGGAATCTTGGGAATCCTTAGAGGAACCCTAAAACTAAACCCTTAAAGGAAAGCTACACTCTACTACCCTTTGGGCAAGGGCTAGGCTTCAGTCACATTAGTTGCATACATGCCCAACACGACTCAACCAAGGGTTTAGGGTTCAGGGTTTAGGGTATTGATTGGGCACATCCTACCGCCACTCCGCGACGACAGAAATAATGAGAAATCACGAACTCGGCCCTTTGAGAACTTGACTGCACATTAGCCCCGTTACATCCTCTTAACCGACCGAGCAGCAAAAGCCATGGAGCAAAGCATATCCTATTTGGGTACATGGACCCTTATGATCCCTAAACTCTAAACCTTTGAGGTACGCGTAAAGAAACCCTTTGAAGGAACCCCTTAACAGAACTCCTTAAAGGAACAGCCTAAACGGTCGAGCCTCTTTGAACATGACCAAAGACATGGGTGACTTCTTGAACATGGTGTTGTAGTCCTGCGGAGAGAAGCCGGGGACTCAGCAAGCAGGTTTAAAGTGGGGCTATTTCAGCACTTATAACGCTTCTAACCTTCAATATGACTTGTAATCAAATATAGGAGTTTCCGAAAATAGGGAACCCTAATATAGTACCCCAAATTAGTAGGATCCTTATTATAAGGACCCCAAAATAAGGTACCCCTCATTTTCGGAAACTCCCATATAGCTAACTTGAAAATCAGCTCAACTACAACATCCTCGCTGACATGATCCTCGGCCAACTTCCAAAACCCAAGAGACCAGCACTCCATGGGCGACAGCATTCAAAGAAAAGCACCTATTGGTCCGGAAAGTCTGGTGAGGGTTCAGGGCTCATGGGACTTAGTATCTTTATAGGGTTCCTTAAAGGGCTCCTTTAAAGGGATCTATAGGGGTTCTATAGGGTTTAGGGTCTACTTCAAGGATCATGGGACTTAGTAACTAGGGTTACCATTGGGGTAACTATACAGTATTCATAGTTACTTATAACCCCAATTAAGGGACTTATAACCGTACTTGCTAAGTCCCATGATCCTCCAAGTAGTTTGTATGCATGTTATTGAAGGTATTCGTGGTATTGGACTCCATGTGAGCATCCTTGGAAGCTTGCTGCGGCCTTCTTCGTCGGCTACTTAAAAGAGAATGTGGCATAGCAGGTCCCAGGTAGCGTTCTGGGTATCCTGCCTCAGGTTACCAGACTTCTACCAACGTTTGATTAAGGATCGTCGTTGAACTGATTCCCAGTCTTCTTTCCTTCCCTTCCGTTCCCTTCCTGCTGCCTTCCCTTCTTTCCCCTTCCTTCCTTCCTTCCTTCCCTTCCCGCCTTCCATTCTTTCCCCCTTCTTCCTTCCTCCCCTCCCCTTCCGTCCATGTCTCCTGCCTTCCGTGGCTCCTCTTCCTTCCTTCCTCCTCCGGCCTTCTTTCCTTCCTTCATTCCTTCCTGCCTTGCTCCCTAGACTGGAGTACCTAGTCTGAAGCCTCTAACCAAGATCGCACTGAACTCCAAACTCTAAAGCCCCAAACCCCAAACCCTGAACCCCACATCCTAACCCTCTAGAGCCCCTAATCCCAAATCCTAAACCCTAAACCCTGAGCTCTGAACTCTAAAGCCTGTAAGAAAACGAAGCTCAGTCCTCGTTCTTCTGTTCCATGAAAGCTTTGAGGCCTCAAAAGGCTTAGGGCTCAGGGTTTAAGCGTTCATATAACATTTCCTTTGGGGGGTGGGATTAGGGCTTAGGGTTTAAGGTTTTTTTGGGGGGTGGGATTAGGGCTTAGGGTTTAAGGGTTCATGTAATGTGTTTTTTTTGGGGGTGAGGTTAGGGTTTAAGGGTTTAGGGTTTTAGGGCTTTTTTCTCAGAAAGACGCTGCAGTGGCCTCTGAGTACTGAAGGATCTCGTGGTCATGAGAATCCTGGGTTCTTGTTAAGGGACCTAATCTAGACCTAAGAGTAATCTAGGAATAAAAAGGGTGCCCTTTTTGGGTTAAAGGGCGTTATAGGGGAACCTAAACCCTAAAAAAGGGAATAAGGGCCTACTCTGGGTCCCAGTAATTTAAGTTACCATAATACGGGAACCTTATTATTCACTATGGATCCCTATTATGGTAACTTGAATTAAAACCCTTAACATTTTTGGCCAAGTCACTCTCAGCCCCACGGGGCTTTAAAACCCTTAACAGGAACCCAGAATCTTATCACTTCTAAGGGTCTGCCTTCAACTGTGGATTCAGGGGATAATCATGTGGGCGCACAAACAAGAAGAACGGTCTTCTACATTACTTCCGCCAGCCTTTGCGATCCTGCATGTAGTCGTACCTGGGCTGCCGGCAGTTTTTGATTGAATTCTTTGCACGGTGGGACCCGGAGAGTGTAGGGATTAAGGTGTGTCGCCTAGGGATCACACTCATGCTCGACCACTAAGGGGTATAAAGCTGAAAATCACCGACTAGGGTTGGGATCGAAGTGCCGGACTTGTGAGTAGAGAGGTGTGTCGGCAATCTGCAAGGTACTAGTAGTACTGAATGTATGCGAGTTGTGTGTATGGTTTCGGCTGTAACATGCCGTTGTTGGGTTTGCGCGGTGCATTGCTGTTTGAGCAGTCGAAACCCGAGGATGATTTATGGTCTATTCCAGACTCCGGGAGGTTCGGAGTCGCTTGCTTCCCCAATAAGCCACGGAAATAAAAGGTTAAGCTTTCCGATTACAGTAGAAGCCAGAAAGTTGGAATATCATTATCGTAACCCCTTTAAGGTAAATTATAGGGGATCCTACCATTAATCCATATTCCAACTTTCTGGAGTTCCCTTTACTACTAAACTACGAGTACCCAACACGCTTGAGGGTTGGGTATTGCGGAACTAAGTCCGGCAACTACAGCCAGCAACACCCACCAAAAAACTCCAGCGAAACTCAGAGCCAAAGGAGAAACCAAGACAAGCACTACTGCATCTAAGGGAATTTTCCAGGGCCTCTAAACCTTGAACCGGGAGCCGTCGGGGACGTTCTCGTTATAAGGGCCCCTTAATTAGAATACAGAAGAACAATTAACTATTAGGAAGCCGTGTCCCTGAATAGTCATACCCCGACATTACTAGAGGCGTTAAAACTCCTGTTCAAATTTTAGGGTTGCGCGCTTCAGGGTTGAGCGATTGTAGTCTCCGCTGTAGTGCACTGTTCACATTGTTTTGATTACTTAGTTTCTTCGTAGAAGATAAACCTCACAGCATGCTTACATCTGAAGCCTTACAACCCTAAACCAAGTCTTCTGCCGCAAGGAACCTAGTTCACGGTTGGGATAGGATTAAAGGATTTAAGTCTAAGTTTTCATTCCTTATTGGGTTTAAGTACCCATAAAAATGTAAAAATGGTACCCAGCGATGGCAAAGGAGCCCTTAACTGCTTTACAGAACCCTGGTGGAGCCCTTAACCCCAAGGGTCCAAAGGACCCAAGAATAAGGTACTCGGTTTTAGGATAGTAGTTATGTAGGTTAGGATTTTGGAGAGTATATGATTATTAGGTACTTGGACCCTTGGGGTTAACTTCCAACACGTCGAAGGCTGCTCCGGACTCAACAGCCTACTTGGAGGTTCATGGGGGGTTTTGTACGGGTTCCTTTAAGGGTCCCTTTAAAGAGATCTATAGGGATTCTATAAGGATATAGGGTTTAGGGTTTAGGGCCCACTTGGAGGTTCATGGGGAGCCAGGGGACGTCGCATCCTCAGCTTCGGGATTCGTCAAATCCAGGGCGGCGAAAACGAAATCCGGGTCGCCGCCATCAATCCTTACTTGGAGGGGCAGGGGACTTAGTAAGGGCTCCTTAAAGGGATCTATAGGGATCCTTAAAGGCATCTGTGGGGTTTAGGGTTCAGGGTCTACTTGGAGGGGCAGGGGACTTAGTAAGTAGGTTATAAGTAGGGTTATAATTGGGGCAACTCCATTTAAGGTACTTATAAGTCTACTTATAAGCCTACTTACTAAGTCTCCTGCCCCTCCAAGTACGCGCTTACGATTCAGGGCTTAGGGGGGTTGATATGATTCCAAGAGGGTCCAAACACACCATTATTGTGGAATTAAGTCTCCCCAAAGCAAGATTAAAATAAGATGGCCTTTGAAGACATAAAATCCATAATGGGAATTCATACGGACCCTCTGGGTATGCGTTTATGACTCAGGGCTTAAGGGTTTGCATGCCCCAACCCCTCAACCTAAACCTCATTGAGCCGGAATCCCGAAACCCCAATTTAGACATTCCCCATGTTCTACACAAAAACCCCTAGACTTCGAAATCCAAAAACTTGAACCCTCGATCTCAACAAACTAAGGACAGTAAACACTGCAAAATATGAGGCAGTGAATGATCGTGACCCCCTCAAGTACAAGCGGAATACAAAACAAAGGCAACCCCGAAAGTGCCCAATCGTCTACAAAGGCATCTGTAAAATGACACAACTTATGAATTTAACAGCCCTGCACCAATTCCAAACAGTCCCCGATGCCCTAAGCCCTTATCCAGCTGTAGCCTCCCTAGGCCCTAAACCTTAAACCCTACCCCCTAAACCCAAAACAGCTAAACCCTAAACCCTAAACCCCTAACACCTAAACCCCTAAACCCTAAACCCAGTCGTATCCTCCGACTGTTACCGAGCTCTTCTTGCGCCAGGCCGCTCTTTGCTTCGGACCTTTGGACTGGACTTTCAGCACAAATGGGCCCATACAGTAAGAGTGTATAATATATAGGGCTACTGTTAAGGTCCTACTATATCTATATTATGGGTATTATTCAACTATTACTGAGTGGGGGCCGTACCCAATGGGTGGTTTTGTCAACATTAGGGCCCCTCTTTGGGTACCCTCAATATGAGGTGCCGTATCAGAATAAGGACCCAAAAAGGGACCCTAATTTTGACAACCACTCAAATGTTCCAGGCTTTTCAAGTTTGGGTGTTTAGGGGTTGGGGTTTAGGGTTTCGGGGCTATTGGTTCGGGTTTAGGGTTTTGCGACTGGTCTCGTGTTTAGGCTGTTGCTTTGGTATCGGGCTTAGGGTTTAAGGCTCAGGCTTCCGGCTTCAATCAAAGGGGAAAAGGCGGTACTCTTAATGGGGATCCCTACCCAATAATGGGCTTATAATGGGTATATAATGGCTATATTATGGGTATATACCTAGGGGTCCTTATTAGGGGTCCCTCCTTTTACCCTTTGGCTACTCCTGAAAACGATGATACGTTACTCCTACGTGGACACCAGGTAACCCTAAACCCTAAACCCGGAACCCTGAGCCCCAAACCCGTATAAACCTTAAACTCTCAGCCCTAAAAAGGCCTTTGGCCGTTTTAGCTCTAAGGCCGAGGAATCAAAGGATTTATGGGGCTTGGAAATATTTCCAGGACTTCGCATTGAACTTCGGCCAGGTTCAGGGCTCGAAAGAGCCTGAAGTTACTGGCCAAATCACTAAATAATGTGTGGGATCGTTGCTATCAGAATTATCAGAGCTTTTTGATATTTAGACTCTCACTTCCTAGCTTACTCCCGACGCTGTTGGGCTTCAGGGGTTTGGGGTTTGGGCTTGGTGTGTTTGCGATTTGTTTTTACTAGCGTAGTAGGGCTGTCGAGCTGGAAAGCCATCAGATTCGCACGGCATAGGATTTAGGGTTTCGGTTTTAGGGGCCTGCCCGCAAACATCAAAGCCAGTTATAGATTGATGCAAGCAAGCACGCTTTGAAACAGTTGCACATTTTTTATCTGCAATAGCCCAACGAAGCCAACACAAAGCTTAGGCTTTGTGAAACGCACGAGACCCGCTCAACAAATGGAAAACTTGGAAGGCTGGGTATTGGACAACGAACTACTCCCGGTTCCCCTCAAGCCCTAAACCCCCGAATCCCCCAATCCTCAAACTCCGCACCCCAAAAATCCTAAGCCCGCAGCTCCAGAATCATGAACCCCTTGTCCCCCAAAAAGGCCCTCTACACCCTTGAAGCCCTACACCACTAAACCTAACGAACCCCTGGTCCCCTAAAAAGGCCGTGCCTGGAGGCCGTTGTCCATGGCAGCATCCAGTAAGCCACGGAGTTTCTCGCGGTCCTGAACCCAAAGGGGTCCTAAGTACATATGTGGGTGGTTGTCAATATTATGGCCCCTTTTTGGGTCCTTATTATAGTACGGCACCTATTATTTAGGGTACCAACAAAGGGCGACAATGTTGACAACCACCCATATGGGGGATACTTAGCCTGATGTGTTTCGGGTTTTATGGTTTCGGCTTGGAATTTTGAGGGTTTAACATAGGTTCTTGGTACTGCTATGGGGGATAATTGCCCAAACCATGATAGTAACTCCGATTATAGACACCCTACATTCTACTATATGGGTGCAAAAGACACTCTGGGGAAAGAAGGCGCGAGGCTGCTAACTTTGAGGGTCGAAAAGACCTAATAGTTTGGGGTTCTACAAATGCTATAATTGGGCGGTTCAAGAGTCGGAAAGGACCTGTTTCGATGAGGGCGCAAGAAGGGATCCGTACTACAACTGCGTTTGTTTGGACATTTGCTGTGGACTTAACAATTGAAAAGACCCTTCGAGTAGAGGGGCTTAGGATAATATTTATGTGGATTACTATGTGGTGGAATATCTGATTTTTATGGGCACTTGGACGAGTAGGCTAAAGTGAAAACATCCCTAATGCCGGCTACATGGATTCTGAAGAACCCTGAACCCCAAACTCTAAGCTTTCGGGTCTTGGATATAGGGTAGGGTAGGAACCTCCAGGATTTCCGGTTTGCCCCTCATCCTGATGCATGCTCTTAAGCACACATACGAGTTTCGAGGCCTCAAAAATGTTCCGAGCATGGTTTCGGAGTGAATTCTAGTATACATGGACTGTAATAACAGAAGACTATTACGAAGTCTTCCGACCCCCATGCTACAGTTACTACAGCCATCAAACCCTTAACAGTTTCAATAATGAGCTCCTGTACTCCAAACCCTAACCTGTGCCTCGTGGTTGATCAGCCGATCCATGAAGACACGGCAGCACTCGTGGTACCAGAGCCGGATGATCTGCTCTTTCTCCTCATGGACCTGGCCCGCTTTTTCGGTGCCCAACATATAGGGTTTAGGGCTTACCTCGACCCCAAAGTATCTAGAATAATAGCCTTCTATAGGCATTGGGCCCTCATGTTTACCTACGTTTGGTGGTTTAGAGTTCAGGCCTAAGATGTAGGACCCTAGGAGTTGAGGGTTTAGGGCTCAGGGCTTCGCTGTACGGGTCCTGCCCAGCTTAGCTGCAATGTTGTAGAATTGCAATGTTGTAGGGTTTGGGTCTATGCGACACAGAACCTCATGTGCTTGTATGTCCGGGTCGGTTTATATATACGTATACATACATATATATATATATATGTATTAATACGTTACTTGTTTTGCTAATTATTTATGTAGCCTTTTGAGCGGGCATCAAGGCTGCATCGTGGTTCCAAAAGCTCAAAACCTGTTCTTTTAGGCCTGCTGAGGGCTGTCAGCGTGTTCCCGGGCTCTAATTGTCCATCAAGGGCTTTTGCTGGAATTCTTCTGGGGTCTGAGGGTCGAGAGGCTGGTGAGGATGTTAAGTGCAACCTACACTCATCCGGACCCTATGCGCCGAAACCCTAACCAAGTCCAAACATCTTGCTCCGAGGCAACACTTCGCCTTGGAGTCGGCCAGGTACACGCCTTGGAAGATCCTCGGAGGATTGCTTGTTTGGTGCGGGATCTAAGAGCAGAAGGTGTAGAAGCTCGGCTTTAGAGCATAAGGGTACGGGTTTCAGGTGTCACTGTTTACAGCTTACAGTTTGGGGGATTCGGGATTTTCCGCTGAGGGTTCGGGGTGGCGCAAGCCTTTCAGCATTCTGAGGTTTGCAGGGCTTAGGATCAAGAGCTGGCGCAGCAAAAACTTACTGTACGGCTTTGAAATTTCGAGGACGGCTCAGGCTTAGATTTAAGGTTTCCTTTTTTGTTTTTTACATTTTTTGGCTTTGGGGGTTTAGGGATTTGGGTTCGCTTTGGGTTGGTGTCGGGCTCGAATTCGCCATGAGCAGGATGGAATGTGTTGTCGCATCGTTTGCTTGATCAAGCATGCCTCCAATGAATCAAACGAATCAAACCCTTTGCGCGGATTGAGGATTTAGGATTAGGGCCTAGCCGCTGATGAATGAATACCTTCCTTTTCTGTAGGGGCCGTAACCTTAAGATCCCGAACATCACCCTTGAGTCAAGATTCAGGCCCTTCACGACGAAACCCTAAACCCTAAACCTCAAACCTTCAACCCTAAACCCTAAACCTCAAACCCTAAACCCCTAAACCCTAAACCTCAAACCCTAAACCCCAAAACCTAAACCCCAAACCCCAAATCTGAATCTCTAAACCCTAAACCCTCAACCATAAACCCTACAAAACGAACCCCAAGCCTGAACGATCCGACGAAGGCTCTTGGCGATGTCGCGGAGGTTGAAGAGGTAGTGGCACTTCTCCGGGGTCGGAAGGAATCCTCCCGGGGTTTAGGGCTTCAAGGGTTTAGGGTTTATGGTTTGGGGTTTAGGGTTTGGGGTTTAGGGGTTTAGGGGTTCAAGGGTTAGGGGTTTAAGGGTTTAAAGGGCTTAAGGGTTTAGGGCCTTAAGCGTTCAGGGGATAAGGGGTTTATGGGTCGGCAGGAATCTGGGACTTAGTAAGTACGGTTAGTATGCAGGTATCTATACTTGTAACCCCAAAGAAGGTACTTACAACTCTACTTACTAAGTCCCATGATCCTTTAAGCACGAGAACCCAAAACCCTGAACACTAAAGTCTAAACCCGAGCCCGAAATCCGCCCTAAACCCTGAATCCTAAGTCCTGAACCTAAATCCTACACTCTATACCCCCAAACCCTGACCTCGAAATCCTAAACACTAACCCTAACCAAGGCGTTTGGGATCTCTGACGATCCTTCGCTGATCTGGCTATAAATGGCGATGGTCGTCATGGTCAGCGGCTCTGACCTGAACGTGTGTGGGTGCACAGGGTGATATTTTACTTAAATTGTAGTTATAAAGTGTAGTGTATCCGAAGAATAATTAGGTTGCGGTTGAAGCCGCTGTGCCCTCATTCTGACGTTTTGGCTTTAAAAACCGCATTTTGTCTTTAAAGACCATACCCTGAACCCTAACCCCGAAATGGTTTCGAGCTTTTTTTAGACCCAATGGCTTCGTGCTGTGCAGATACTGTCGGTTTAGGGTTTAGGGTTTCTCTGAAACGTACACTTTAGACCCACTCAACACAAAAACAAGCACATTATGTGTTGGGTATTGAAGAACTGCTTACCAGGAGCCCACGGTGCAAAGGTGCGATTCACGCTGGCTAGCAGCCAAGCGCACAAAGCCCTACGATCGAAACGACTTTTAGTGTCTTAACGCTGCCCTAATGCTCCTGGACCCTCGTAGTGAGATCCTAAACCTTAGCCCAAACAGCCCAAGCCCTCGCCCACAAAGCCCCTAATCAAGCCTATTAGGAGCCTTAGGGTTGGAGTAAGACCTCAGCCCTCAAGCCTTGATCCAATCCATCCCAACGGGAAACCGCGACACCGCTGCATGCCCCCCAGCCCCAACCCGCCAACAGATGTAGCCAACAATCAGTATAGAAGACAGCAACTCAAAAGCTTTCCCATCATGGCGTCTTGCGGCTGAACCGGTGCATAGGTATTGCTGTTGTCTATGTCTGTTTTCTGATATGTTGCAGCATCACTACTGCCAGCATGAGCAGGAGCTGTGAGGACTAGTATTACTGTCTACTGAGGCCCTATACCCTAAACCCTAAACCCTAAAACTCTTTTCAGGATCTGGCGACTGTCGGCTTAAGGGTTCAAAGCACTCACCAGACAACCCGTATCCCTGGACAGAAGCACTGCACAGCCGGTCCCAAAATGTAATCCAAGACCTTTAAGCTGAAATACTAAGCAGTACCAAATCCCTGGACCACCAGAAGCATAAAAAGGATTGCAAACCCTCGATCGTACATCCTACGCTGAAGCTCGTGTACTCCTTAATAGTGGGTATTGAGGGTTTAAATGAGGGTTTCAATAGAGGGTAGTTGGTGGTTCTAGGTGAACGGTGAGCCCCAAACCTCAGATTCGCCTACTTGCGGGCCACAGGGCAGGGCTTTGATGTCTTCGTTGCGGAACTCGTTGAGCTTGTTGCCTGAGATTTAGGGTGGAGCTGTGGGAAGGTCTACCAAGCTGGACAACTGGGGGTATTGCTGAGGTGCGCACAATCCTGAACGAGTTATTGTGTTGACGTGCATTCGGCTCACGTATCGGTATGCAAGGCAAACACTACTCGGAGGATCATGGGACTTAGTAACTATGGGCTATTATTATCAAGGTAACTGTACTTATAATGCCTTGTAGCGCCAATTAAGGTACTTATCACCGCACTGCGGCCATGACCTCAGTCGTTGCACTATGATTACTGCCGTCCCAAAGGGTCCGAGGTACTGCTATTGGGGGATACTTTCCCAAACTATAATCGGAATTCCTACTATAGTACTATAGAAACACTACCAGCTGTATCCTCCTTACAGAGATAGAGCTTCTCGCAATCCGAGCGAACAGCAGCCTCTCCGTCAGGAGTAGCAGCTATCCGGTCATAGCCGGTGCAGGCCCAGGAAAGAGGACGCTTGAGGCAAGCTCTCTCCTCAAAGAAAGCCTCCAAGGCGGTATTATCAGCTCGTTCGATGGCATCCTGGACGGCCTTGTTGAGATCTTTGCTCTCGGCTGGATTCAAGGACGCCAAGGCAGATGCATGCTCAGCCTCAGCGGCAGACCAACCCTTTCCACAAAGGAACTGATGAAGATACGGACCGACTTCACGAGCAACTGAGCGAATCTTGATCCCAGGCAAGGCAGCCCAAGGAGGAGCCTCGTCAGGCCACACACCTTTTCAGAGCAATACTGGCCAACGGATGCTGCGCCCATGCTTGTCACATTCTGACTGAACGTAATCTCTAAACTCTGACCACTCAAGACTGAAGCACATTCCCAGATCATAACAGTAATTCCTCAGATAGAAACCCGACATTCTACGATATAGGTACTTTGGACTCTTTGGGCGTTGTAAGAGTATTGCAATGGTTTCTCTCCGGCTGGCTGATGTAGAGCCCCGATTCAATAAATATCGTAGGAATCGCAATTGCCCTGAAGCCTAAGGGCCTAAAGTCTACACTCTCTAAACCAGAAGCTCCTCATATTCTAGACTCGGTAATGGTTGTATACGAGGAGCCTCTGGGTACACCCTAACCCCTACGACTCAAGCTTCCAAATGCCCAAGCCCCGGCCCCCTCAAGCACGAACCCCAAACCGACGGGGTCCAAGTACCAATACAGTAGGTACTTCGTAGATATTTGGGCCCCCCACGAGAACCCTTATACTACCCATGAGGGTGCAACCCTAGGACACCAGTTACTGAAACTGTAGGGTACTGGGTTCTACATTTTGTCATACCCAAAGGGTCCAAAGAACTCATATGGGGCATGCTTGCCCAAACAAAAAGTAAAGAAACCCCACGTAATTTGTATTGTGTAGGTACCTAGGACTTTCTGGGTAACTTACTACTATTCAGGTTACTACTGTTCAGGCGACCGGAAACCCTCAAACCCTAATCTAGGGGCCCTAATTAATAATTAGAATAAGGTTTTGGGGCCAGGTGTACCATAGTCATACCAAGGAACCTCTGAACTAGTACTGGTACTTTTTACGCCTCCATATAGTATAACACATTTATAGATCCCTTATAATAACTCTTTTGGACCCCTTCTAGGAACCCTATTCTTAAGGCCCCTACATTATCTGGAGCCCTAGCCCCTATATTAAACTAAACCCTCAAGCCCTAAACCCTAAACCACTAAACAAATAAACCCTAACCCCTAAACCCAAAACTCCGAAACCCTAAACCCAAAACTCTGAAACCCTAATTTCAACCCCAAACTCTGAAACCCGAAACCCAAAACCCCGAAACCGTAAACCCAAAACTCTGAAACCCTAAACCCTAAACCCCGAAACCCCGAAACCCAAAACTCTGAAACCCTAATTAAACCCAAAACCCCGAAACCCCGAAACCCAAAACACTGAAACCCTAAACCCTAACCCCGAAACCCCGAAACCCAAAACTCTGACACCCTAAGCCCAAACCCAAAGAGCCCTTGGATCGACGGGGAGCTCGCCAGGGTCATGAAGATTCGCCTGATCTGGCTGTCTGCCGGATTCACCTTGGAGGTTCAGGGCTTATGATTTTGGGGTTTTGGGTTTAGGGCTTATAAGATTTTGAGATTTAGGGCTCTAGGATTTAGGGTTTAGGGGTTCAGCAGTTTAGCTTTCAGCTTCCTGCCTTGCCCCGATTCAGGCTTAAGGGTTCTGGGCCCGTGGTTCAGGAGTCACCGTGGATTTCGGCCATGGGGTCTTGGGCCCCGCTTGCAAAACAACTTAAACACTCGAGTATGGCATCGATGGCTGCCGATCATGCGGGCTCTACCCTAAGGCTCCTAAGAGGGGCATGGGATCTCTGGGGGAGGGTTTGGGCTTTAGGGGCTAAGGTTTGGGATCTCCCTGTGAGGGTCTAGGAGCACTAGGGTAGGGCCAGACTCTAGGGTATGGGCTGTCCCAGTTCAACATGCAAAACGATTGTTAGCTTCAGTTAAAAGACATGCCCGGCGATCCAAAAAACTACCTGTTCTAGACTTTACAGGTGATGTGATTATAAACTTGGACCTTTATTAGAGTTCCTTATATGAATCCTATAGGGTTGTAGGCCCAGGGTTTCCTAATCAGGTTGCTGCACTGTGGGACCAACACCTGAGCAGCCAAATCAGAACCACGCCAAGGATTGCCACATGCGCTTCATGAACGATCCTAGCATCCCTGGCCCTAGCTTGGATACCCAAAAAGGAGCCGGTATCTATTTCTAAGGGTTATACCCTTCTTAATAACTGGCACGTAGGTTACCCGAGGTAAACCCTAAACCCCAAACTCGCAACCTCCAAAACCCCAAGGGTCCAAATACCGAATAATCATATATTCTCCGAAATCCTAACCTACATAACTACTCTCCTGAAACCGAGTACCTGATTATTGGGTCCTTTGGACCCTTGAAAAAAAACCTATTGAGTGCACTCCGTGTCTGCCAGCGTGCGAAGCAAAGGTTGTTGGCTGCAGATTGCAACCGTGACGAGATCACCGCCTCGACGCAATGGTTTAGGGTTGAGGGCAATGTGTCTTGTGCTTAAGAAGGGCTTTTGGGTTTTGGGGGTCAAGGTTATGGTTAAGGATGAATGTAGGTGTAGGTTTTGGTCTTCCGGGTTTTAAGACTCAGGGCTCAGCGCGCGTGTTTAGAATTTTGGGTTGCGTAGAGCCTCGATACAGTCTCTGAAGGCTTAAATGAAAGGGGCAGGGCAAAGGGTGTAGGCTGGGCATAAGAGGACTTAACTCCCTACTACGGTTGATGATTTAAATCCCATGGGGTTCCTTTAAAGGGACCGATAATAAGGGGTACCTTGAAGGGGTTCCTTTAAGGGATCTATAAGGTTTTGGGGTTTAGGATTATGGTATAAATCCTGCATTACCTTAAGGACTCTAAACTATGGGAATTATGGTCTAACCCTGTTTATGGGTAACGCAGGATTTATATCGTCAACAGTAACCCTAAGCTCTAAGAAACTTTTGAAGATACAGAAACTCCCAAATTCAATGGCCTTAACCGCAAGTCCGACCTCCTGAAACCCCACATCCAAAGGCTCAGAACCGTCAAGAGTTCAGGGTTTAGGGCTTAGGGTCAGTTCCAAACATCAACCCCAACAACAAATCTCAAACCCTCACTGTATACCTATCGTATACCGTTGCAGTACTCGTTCCGCTGCCTTGAAAAGCACCCTCCCTCTTTATCCCATGCACGCCCAGAAACCCCAAACCCTACCAAGCCCCACAACGTCCTAAAATTCCCAACACCCGCTGCTTCCCAAACCCGACCCGGAAACTAAACCAAAACTCAAAAGCCTCGTAATTCCCAAAGCCCTTAACTCTAGACCCTTCTAAAATACAAATACACACTCTACTTTGTAAAGCCCTATCCCTGAAAACCCTTCTGAAGCAGAAAAGCCCTGCAATTCCCAAACCCCGCTGTTCTAGACCTAAGAGTAAGCCAGGAATAAAAAGGGTGCCCTTTTTGGTTGAAAGGTAGCTATAAGGGAACCTAAACCTTAAAAAGGGACTAAGGGCGTACTCTGGGTCCTACTTGGAGTTGCACGGGACTTAGTAAGTAGGTTATAAGTTATAAGTACGGTGATAATTGGGGTATTTCCATTTCGGGTACTTATAAGTCTACTTATAACCTACTTACTAAGTCCCCTGCCCCTCCAAGTAGACCCTAAACCCTAACCCCTAGATCCCATTAAGGAACCCTAGAGATCCCTCTAAGGAACCCGAGAGATCCCTATAAGAATCGTAGTGTTTCTTGCCATCCAAGTCTCGCGGCCACCTCCTGGAGGACCCATGGCTGAAACCATGTGAATGCCCTCGACATACCTGGCTTAGGGTTTGGGGCCTTAGGGGTGCAGGGTCTCCTTCGTCATCAGGGTACCCTTTTCCTGGTACTCATGAATTTAGGGGGCAATAGGCAATAGGGTACTGCCCTCGACGTACCTGGTTGAGGGTTTAGGGGCTACCTGGACCCTAAAGAACCTACCTCTTTAGGGCTCCTTATTATGATTTCCTAAATAAGTCATAAACAGGTATATAGGTCATTCTCCAGATTTGGACGGGTTTAGGGACTTATGGGTTTGGGCTTTAGGGTTTAGGGGCTCGGGGCTCAGGGGTCTGGGAGGGTTTAGGGTTTCGTACCTGCCAGATTTGGCTTAGAAGCTCAAAGGGTCCTATGTACTGTTATGGGGAATACTTCCCTGGATCAGAATAGTAATTCCTAATAGATAGAAACCCTACATGACATACCTGGCTTAGGGTTTAGGGCCAGGGGTTTAGGGGCTTAGGGTCTAGGGACTTATGGGTTTGGGCTTTAGGGTTTAGGGTACCTGCAGATTTGGGAGTTTCCCGAAAATTAGAGGTTCCTTATTTGGGGGGGGGGGGGGTCCTTACAAGAAGGATCCTACTATTTGGGGTATTATATTGGGGTCCGCTATGAACATACCTGGCTCAGGGTTTAGTGGCTTAGGGTTTAGGGACTTATGGGTTTGGGCTTTAGGATTTAGGGTACCTGCCAGATTTGGCTTAAACGGTATTAGGGATGCCTTTGGCGGAATCTTTAAGGGTTTCTGGAGGGCTTGGGGTCCATGGTTTAGTGGCTTCTTCTCATATCACATGTGTTTTAAGGTGCCTTTCTGTTTATCCCTTGCAGTTTAGGGTTCAGGGTTTGGGAATCTTGGTGTCGCTTTGGGGTTTAGGGGCTTCGCGTCAGATTAAAATGGTTATAGCCTGGGGCTTTCGGTGCCTCAACTAGATCCCAAACCAAGGTGTGCTGCAGGTCCTGGGATTAGGGCTTTTGGCGTAGGGTTGGATTTTAGTAAGGCGCAGGGTTTTGCAGTAAGAAAGCTCAAACCCCAGCCCCAAGCCTCATAAAGTCCCCACCTCTCAAAAAATACAAAAATCACAAGCCCTCACCGTAAACCTTAAAATCCTAAACCCTGAGCCCACCACAGTAATCCTTCCACATCAGAGGAACCTCAGCGTCTGCTTCACGCGGTCGTACCAGCAGCCATAGTCCATCCACTGCCTTCAGTGCCGGACCAGGGCTTCGCAACCCTCACGATTTACGGTTTACAGTAAACTCCATAAAGTTGGAAACCGAATTAAGGCCAAATGGTGCTGCGATTCCCTATACATTAACCTTAAGGATTGAGGCTATTGGGATTCCAACTTTTTGGCTTCTACTTTACGGTTTAGGGTGTAGGGCTTGGTTGTTTGAGGTTTGTGGAATTACGTATATGCTCAAGCTCCAAAGAACCCTATGTAGTAGTGAATGTAGTCAACGTTTGCAGCTTGTGCTATCCGAAAACATCTGAACATGACATAGGATTCTGAGATATCGAGGGTTTAGGGCTCAGGGTTAAATCAGATGTATGCCAGACTCACGAAGCTTGTCTTCCTGAGCCTCCATCATCGCGTACTAAAGCTTCAATTCAGCTAGACGAGCGGTCGGCTGTGGTGAAAATGGAACCTTAAATGCAACATACTGCCTTACTTCCCCAAAGGGTCCAAGTACTCCCGTTTGTAGGACTTTAGGGCGTTATTAGGTACCAGAGGCCATAAAGGGGAGTTTCCCAAAATAGGGGACCCCAATATGGTACCCTAAATAGTAGGATCCTTATTATAAGGACCCCAAAATAAGGTAGCCCTAGTTTTCGGAAACTCCCAAATAGGGACTACTTGGACCCTTAGGGTTGGTAGGAGAACCTCAGTTTAGGGTTGCTGGAGTCTTTCGTCCATGCGACCTAGGGCATGATCCCCGAAGCCTAAACACGAGTTACCCTCGTGGCCGCGAAGAAGCTAGGATACCCAGTAACCTAAGAATAAAAAGGCCTCTCTTTTTGGTATTGGGTAACTTTATAAGGAACCTAGGACTACAAAAAGGGAATAAGGGTACTACTGGGCATCCTAGGAAGTTAACCCCTGTTGCATGCACTTGTAACACCCGTCACATCTACCTACTGCTAGATTCTAACCGAAACCCTAAACCCTACACCCTACACCCTAAACCCTAAACCCTATACCCTAAACCCTAAACCCTAAACTAAACCCTAACTTCAATCTCCGACGAGACCCTAAACGACACCCTAAGCCCTGAACCCCGTAACTTCCAACTCCCAAAACCTCGTGGGGAAAACCCCAACTGCCGAGAGACTAGACCTAAGAGTAATCTAGGAATAAAAAGGGTGCCCTTTTTGGGGTTAAAGGGGGTTATAGGGGAACCTCAGCCCTAAAAAAGGGAATAAGGGCCTACTCTGGGTCCTAGGAGAGGCCTCAACAACTCCAGAGGTGGCTGCGAGCCGAAGGTGTCTTTCCTGCGCGAGCATCTTCGATATCAGGGTCCAGGGGAGGGCTTAGAGAGTTCACCGTGCTTATACGATGTTGTGGCGTTTATAGGGTTTCTAGGGTTCAAGTCTTACGGGTTTGTGGCTTTGGCCTTTCAGGAGTGCAAGATTGGGGTTTAGGGTTTGGGATGTTTTAAGGGTGCTTAGGATTTAGGCTTCAGGGATGCAGGGCTTAGGGTTTAAGGGCTTAGGCGAGGGCTTTACAAACTTAAACAAATATGTGCATGGGACAATCAGAAATCAGGTAAAAAAAGTGAAGTCCATATTTCAACTTCAGGCACTATATTGTTGTGGCGTCTATGTATGAAGCTGAATCTCAACCCTCAGCTACTCGGCTTAGCTGCCGCGGGGCTCGTATGTCAGGAGATTCGACCGTCGGCGAAGCCCAAAACCCCGGCTATTGAGGGCCCTTGATAGCTCGCAAAGGGTGTGGGGAGATACGATGCGTAGATGAGCGTGCAGGTATATATAGAAGCTACAAGGGGATGTCGTTTCTAAATCTTCAGGCATCTAGACTACATGCGTTTCAGTCGTAGACACTTTAGGGTTTTGTTTTGATCTTCAGCTTCTTCGCCATGGCCATCTTACTTGTAAGTTTCATCAACATAAAAAACACAAAGATCAACACCACCATCATCTTAGGGTTTAGGGTTTAGGGGTTTAGGGTTTAGGGGTTTAGGGGTTTAGGGTTTAGGGTTTATGACCCTACTTACTTCTCTTTATTGCAGCTGTCCTGACTTCCAGGTCCTAAACTCGGACGACTCTGGTGATGACGGTGAAAAATACCTAAAAGGAACTCCAGAAAGTTGGAATATGGATTAATGGTAGGATCCCCTATATTTTACCTTAAACGGATTATGATAATGATATTCCAACTTTCTGGCTTCTACTGTATAGTCTCCATTGTAGCTCCTTTTAGGTGTTAGCTTTTAGGATCCTTAATATAGATTTTTTTAAACCAAAAAAAGGAACTACAATGGAGACTGTAGGTAAATACTGTCACGTCTGAACTTTGGCTGTCCTGGGCATGTTCAGGTCATCCACGAACATCAGCATTCGCTTGTTGCCCGCCTTGAGACAAAGACTTGGGCTTAACGGCTCAGGCTTGCGTGGTAGAGTCTAGAATTGTAGGACGAAGAATTTAAAGTTTCGGACACAGTGCAAGCAAAGGAACCTATGTTGAGGCAGCGGCGGCAAACTGCAGATGCATGCTGCTGCGATTAACACTGCTTCTTAAAGGTTCAATGTCTGGACAGGCCGACGGAACTAAGTAGTCCTGGTTCGAACTTGCCAGAAACTACGACGCTGGCCATTAATCTTGAATTAAGTGCTGCCAAAGTCCGAAAACACTGCTGAAACCTAGTGCCTGGGTTTAGTCCAGCTCAGACTTCTGACCTGACATGCAGATGTTTCATCTGTACTTATTTTCGCAGGGGGCTTGCAAATTCAATTTAATTTTGCTCCTCAGAGTATCATGCTACTAACAAGGCTCTGATTTTACTGTAAAGTCTTTTAATATCACCTCTAAATGCTTTGCAAGGATACCGGCCCGAACTTGTTCTTGATGCGCTTCTCGATCTTGCTCTCGATGATCTCTTGAGTCTTGCCTCGAAGACGAGGATTCGGGTTGGTTTAGGGTTTAGGGCTTAGGGATTTAGGGTTGAGGCTTAGGGGGGTTTTGGGTTTAGGGATTTAGGGATTTAGGGTTGAGGCTTAGGGGGTTTTGGGTTTAGGGATTTAGGGATTTAGGGTTGAGGCTTAGGGGGTTTAGGGTTTAGGGATTTAGGGTTTAGGCTTAGGGGGTTTAGGGTTTAGGGATTTAGGGTTTAGGCTTAGGGGGTTTAGGGTTTGGGGCTTAGGGATTTAGCGTTGAGGCTTAGGGGGTTTAGGGTTTAGGGATTTAGGGATTTAGGGTTGAGGCTTAGGGGGTTTAGGGTTTAGGGATTTAGGGTTTAGGCTTAGGGGGTTTAGGGTTTGGGGCTTAGGGATTTAGGGTTGAGGCTTAGGGGGTTTAGGGATTTAGGGATTTAGGGTTTAGGGTTATAGGGTTTAAGGTGCCAGGACAGAACCGCGCTTCAAACACAAGGAAAGAAACCCAGCTTCACCTTCGCCTTTCCTGCAGCCCCGAAGCGCCCCAAAATTCTAGTCAATAATAAGCACCCTAAGAATAGAATATATAGGGACCCTACCAAAAAAACAGATCTTGGTCGGTTCAGGTAGAAGGCAAGGTAATATACGAGCCTTAATGAGTAGAATGAAGCTTGGGAGTATATTGTTCTACAATGATAAGAAGGAAACCTCGGAATAAGGGTTTTTTAGGAGGGTGGGGGCATATCATGCCCCTAAACCCTAAACCCATTCCCTCATACATAATATTGGCAATGATTTGGGCCCCGATAGAATACAGAAACTCCGTTCGTTTGGAGGAAAAAAAGCCTTTTCAGACAGTTGCGGTTGGGATTCCATACAAACAGTCTTAGGGTTTAAGGTCTCGTATACACGAAATCCTGTATAGTAGTGCTGCTGTCGTCCATATTTACATGTATATGTACAAACAGACAGACCATATAGATAGAGATAGATACGTTGATAGATAGATAGATAGATGCACACCTACATACTACCAGTGTAGCAGCACTGACGACTGTAGCAGACAGCTTCTCTTCATGAGGGTTCAGGATGTCGTGGCGGTGGTCCAGCAAGCTTAAAAACCTATGAAGACTCAAGAATCCGCAACATAAACCGAAAGCACAACCCTGCAAGCCATCCCTCGAGCCTGACGATGTCATTGCCGACATGTTGATCGTGAGAGAGGTCCAAGCCGTGTCATCGAGCTCTGAAATGGCCTCTCGCTCACCCTTTCAGCTATAATTCGACGTTATTGCCGGATCAATTACACGAACCGATATCTGCGCCGTTTAAGGTGTAGAGCTGCATTTGAAGTACTACAGGGTCAAAACCAATAGGTTCTGATTGAAGAAACAGGTAGGCATGGCCCCCAAGCTCAACCTTTTGACTAATCCCATGATGTTTAGAGTCCTAAACCCTAAGCCTCAACCCTAAACCGTATGTTTACACTGCTGAACCAACCGCGTCTCTTCCGGCGGCGCTTGACAACTTGAGTGACGAAAGTATCCTTACGCCCGCAACCAGGCACAGAAATGAAGCATTAAACTTTCCCATTCCAGCTAAACTACAAGAACCCAGAAAGCTTTAAGGTTGGAGCATGGGGATCTAAACATCAAGCCCGAATGCGACATCCCACCCCTGATCAAACAGAAAAAGTATGAGGGTTTGGGGTTTAGCAGGTTTAGGATCCCGAAGGGTCCGAAGTGCCTACATCGCACAAGGTAGGGTTTCTTTCATGAGAATTACTATCATGGTTTGGGCATGTATCGCCCATATAGTAGGACCCTCTGAAGGTATATAGCAATACAATCTAGAACAAGTCCCTTGCCCCAAACTCTGAACCACCCTGCCTGCTGCACAGCGATGGTCTTTCCCGTGCCAGTCGCACCGACCAGAAGGCTGTGGAAATGCTTGGCGTTCAGAGAGTTGAGGATGAACATGTTGCCTCACAGTCAAAGGCTTAGTGGCTTAGTCATAGGGATCCTTAGGTTGGTAGGGCGGAGGGGGGGTAGGGGACTCTACTTGTAAAAAAAATGAATTAAGGCCCCCTATGACCTCACCAGGACCTCCCAGGTACCCTTTAAAGGGCTCTGATATTTCTCATGAAGAGATACTTTGGGCCGACATGAAATTGGGTAGTTGGGGGGTCTAGGCGCGGTCACAGGCTTACGTAGGGTGTAGAGACATTCATGCTCTGCGAAAACATAATTATGAGCGTGCTTACTGCAATCTTAAACTAAAACCCTAAACCCTGAAACCCAAAAGCCCTAGACCCTAACACCAAAAAACAAACCCTAAACATAAACGAAAACGAACCCTAAACCTCAAACCCCCCAAGCCCATGCGGGCTCCTTCTTTGTGTTCATAACAAGGAGCAATAAGGAATAGTCTTGGTACTTATCCAAGAGGGTCCATATACACTACTATGATGGAATGAGGTCCCCAAAGCCATATTGGGGATGGTCTTTTGGCACCTATTTCCATAATGGTAGTATATATGGACCCTCTGGGTATTTTTTATAGCTCCTAGATTAGTATGTTGGGCGGTTCAACGATTCCAGTGTTCGGAAAAGGGTTGGGTTTGGGGTTCTTCAGGAGCCTGCAGGGAATCGTGGTTCCAGGTTTCCTAGAAATCCTACACAACCACACAAGTGTAAACAGTAGACCCCCACAGCCCGAATCACAAAAACACAGGGTTTTAGAAGCCTAACGCTGCAACACAGTCTAGCCTGAGGCTCCTAGAGGGGCCATGGGCTTTCTGGGGGAGGGTTTGGGCTTTGGGGGCTAAGGTTTGGGATCTCACTACGAGGGTCCGGGAGCCTTAAGGTAGGTATGGACATAGACCCGCAAGCTCAAAAAGACCCTGAATGCTTACCTGAATCCTTAAACCTTTATCTGGACCCTATGAAACTTGCCTGTTTAGAGCTCCTTATTAAGATCTCCTTACATAAGTCCTTCAAAAGGTAGGTTATTTGGGGCTAAAGCAACCCTTAAAAGTCTTAAGGGCCCTAAGCCCTAAACCCCCAAAGCCCCTAAACCCTGGACCCTACTTGGAGGACCATGGGACTTAGTAGTCAAGGTTATAAGTACCTTAATTGGGGTTATAAGTACTTGTAAGTATACCCTAATTATAACCCTTGTTACTAAGTCCCATGATCCTTACAGTAAACTATTTAGAAGCCTTCAACAAGTCCTAAACCTGCGACTCTCGGAGCAGCCCATCCCCCCGAGCTCGGGTCAGTTTCCCTTTCCCCTTACATGAGGGAGTACCCTAAGGCTCCTTAGGGGTTTAGGGTTTAGCCCTACTATATCTATATTATGAATATTAGTCAACTATTACTGAGTGGGGGCCGTCCCCACTCCCCTTACATTAGGGAGTAGACCTTAAATTCGAACAAGGACCCTCTGATGTTTCAAGGTATGTTCATTAATTCAAGAATATGCATTGTAGTGTGAAGTAAGATTTAAGCTTTGGTTTAAGGCAAGGTCTATTCCTTAGTTACGGGGTTTTGGAGTGTCTGGGTCCAGCAAGTCACGGATGGTGTCGGTCGTCGGCACGATGATACGGTGGAATGGAGTATCCTGCACAATGGCCGGTGCAGCATGTACGGTTGAGGGCTTTCGGGATTAAGTTTCACCGGTTTGTGGGGCTTTCATGCCATACCCTAAACCCAGAACCCCTAAACCCTATACCCCGAAACCCTAAACCCTATACCCCTAAACCCCTAAAGCCCTAAAGCCCTAAACCCTCTGGGGAAAATCCTCCCTCCAAAAGCATCCCCAGATCTCCCAGGCAAAACATACCCGTGATTTCGGGACCGTCGTGACCAATCATCATCATCGGAAGGCCCGCTAAAGGTGCCTAAGGGTCCATGTACTCATGTAGTATATACATTGGCCTTAAAGTACTCCCTATATAGGTACATTGGGCCCAAAGTATATGCTATATGGTACATGGACCCTTGTGGGGGTGTAGTTCATGTTGGCATCGGTGAAAGCTTGTATAAAGCCATCATTTAAGGCCATACCAAGGTTGCATCTCAAGGACGTGGCAAGGCAAATCCTCGGCTCATGTGACCCAGCTTCTACCGATTCTGGACAACTCTTACTACCCCAATAAGCCACAGAAACGAAAGGTTAAACTTAACGATTCCGATTAAACTATAAGAGCCTAAAAGGTTTAAAGGTTGGACATTGGGGATCGGGTCCAAAGTTGGAAATGGTGACATGCAATACTAAGACTCGACCTGTGGATCCAACAACCTACCATTGTAAGAGCTAGTAAGGCGAACGAAGATCTACACGAAAGCCGATGTTAGGGCTAGACACGACATTCAAAGGACCATACCCTAAACCCGCGACCTGTAACCTACTGTTTTGTTGGGCTATGGGCATGCTTGTTGCACATGCTGACGTCGCACATGCTGAACGCAGACTCTAAGCCCTGGAGTCTGAACTCGTGGACACCCGCTAACCCAAACTGTAAATCGTAAGTTCGAAACTTCGAGACCCCTCATTCTACAAGCCATAGTGGTTAGAACAGCTTTTTGGCGTATAATCTACTATTATTGGTTAGACTGTAGGTAAACTGGAGTAGCAGTGGTAGTTCATAGTTATTAAAGCCGCTGTAGCACCCACCAGAACCCTCAATGCCCTTCTACCCTAAACCCTCAATGCCCTAAACCCGAAACCCTGAACCTTCAACCCCTAAACCCGAAACCCTAAACCTTCCAGCCCTAAACCCTCAACGCCGGTTCTCCTCCCCAGGCTTAAAGGGATTCGGCAGCTTCTCCTCCCACGTCTGCCAGTCGGCCTGGTTCTTCGTTCTTCGAAGTGCCACGCTTCGGACTCGCAGTCTTACCCTAGGGATCTAAACACTCATATAATTAGGGCTCCTTTAAAGGGATCTATAAGGGGTCCTTTGAAGGGATCTATAGGGATTATGGGATCTAAGGACTCATCTATTAAGGCTTCTGGGCCCGAAGACCATACTCTATGAGGCTTCTGGGCTATTTCGATGCCCAGGGTTCAGGGCCCTAAGCTGTTCAGGGGTTTAGGGTTGGGGGTTTAGAGTGTACTGTTTAGGGGATCAGGCTTGGGGCTCGCGGTTTAACGTTTTTGAAGGGATCCTCTGAGGCTTCATGTATGGGAGTTTCCGAAAATAAGGGATACCTTATTTTGGGGTCCTTATAATAAGGATCCTACTATTTAGGGTACTATATTAGGGTCCCCTATGTTCGGAAACTCCCGTATCGGTCCCTTCGATTCAGAGTTTTTTTGGTCGGGGTGCAGGGATTCATGCCGGGGTTTGAAACTGTGCGGGCTCGAAGGTTCGGATGAAGCCGATGAAAGCACCCGAGCTCGGATCATACTCCGTCACCCTGTACATGTTGTAACCTGAAAGTTGACGCGTGAGGTTTCGACAATATACCGACACGTGTCCCAACTACAGATCCCCGCCTATCTGAAACCAAAGCTTGCAAAACAAATGCTTCAGATGAGGGTCCCTATGATATAGAGGGGGAATACCCTCCCAAACCATGACAGTAATTTCCACGATGGAGAATCTACACTCTACTGTGCGGGTCCTGCAGAACCCTTACAGGAGCCCGAACCTTTAAAGGAACCCTACTTTCTACTGCTGTTGACGATATGAGCCCTGCATTACCTATAACAAGGAATATACCGTAATTCCCATAGTTTAGGGTCCTCCAGGAAATGCAGGATTTATATCATCAGCCGTATTTAGGTGATTTGAAACATTGTGGAAGGTCTGAGCCTTGTCGAAATTGAAGCTGTAGTCGTAGATGGGATGCGAAGCTGGGAAGAAGTTCCTCAGCTTAGGTTTAGGGCTTCAGGGTTTATAAGTGTTTGGGTTTTATTTGGATTTTTAAGGGTTCGAATTTTTGGGGTTTAGGGTTTCGAGGGTTTCTCGTTACAAAGTGCAAGTTTAGGGATATGACCACACGACGTGACAACTGTAACTGATTGTCTGCACTACTTGGTACTTAGCTTCAGCTCTGTATGTTCAAGTGCCTCTCGCAGACCTTCCAACATCCCTTCATTAAGGAATATACCTTACATTAATTTTGAAAGATAGCACGATCAAAACCCAGAACCCAAAACCCGAAACCCTCATCCCTAAACCCGCAGAAAATTGCAGGGTCTTCAGCCTCGGCCGTCCATGTGCCGCGGCCATTGCGGGCTGGAATGCTTAGAGTTTGGCGTTTAGGGTTGGGTCGTCAAGCCTTATTTTGAAGCTTTTCCCCCACCGGAAAAGCAACGGAACCCAAAACACACCAACCCGTGATGCTGTTCGACAGGCCCTGCATGTACCCCCATCATAAACAGGCCTTTACAGACAAAGCCTAATGCCACTCCTTGCGAGACCAAATCACTCGATCTCCCGCACGCACTGATCGAAGGCGGGCCGTGAGGTCTGCAAGGCATCGCGAGCTACATTTTGCCATTGCTCTCTATGCTACATTTGAAAACTTGCATATGAGCTTCATGTTTCGAGATCGCTTTCCATGCTGTTTGAACACGCTCACAACGGTTCATGCTTTCAGGTTGCTAGAATATTTCTAAATAAACCAGCTCATGGGGGCTCAAGGCAAACTGCTTTGCACTTATCTAGACCCAAGAGTAACCTAGGAAGAAAAAGGGTGCCCTTTTTGGTTTAAAGGGGGTTATAAGAGAACCTAAACCCTGAAAAAGGGAATAAGGGCCTACTCTGGGTCCTAGTTATGGTGGAGGGACTCAGGGGTCAGTGGAAGAGATACGACTTCCTGGCTTACCCCAAGCGTCCATGTACCTAAATAGATATATGTTGGCCTTAGAGTCGTCCCTATCTACCCTAAGGCTCCAAAGTAGTTCCTTTTGGGGGTTCATATATAGAATCCTATGAGGTAATCCCAAAAAGGAACTACTATGGAGCCTCTGGGTAGGTACTTTAAGGCCAAAGCATACAGTATTTGGGTACATGGACCCATAGGGCTATGGCACCCAAGTCGAAGCAAACGCAGTAGCGTAATTAAGTCGACATCACCCAGGGCCACAGGACCTAGCATTCTCAGGCACCTTCATCCCTCAACCCTCAGCCGTAGAAGCCTTAAGCCCTAAACCCCCTTCAGGGTCTTGGGACCTAGAGCTTCAGGAAGCTGTGAGCTTCAGTATAGGCTTCGGGCTCATGACCCAAGAGGGTCGAAATCTATACATACATATATATAAATATTATATATATTTATTTATTTATCCATTCATTCATTTATTTATTTATTCTTTATCATTTTATTACTACTAAGGAGTTTGACCATGGTCAGAAGGGCCTTTCTGGGCTGAAGTCAATACTGGTAGTAGCTTGGGACCCTCTGGGGATGCTGATGTCAGGTCAAAGCTTGTGCTGGCGATGGGTACGCGTGCCCTTCAAATTTCCTAGACCCAAGAGTAACCTAGGAATAAAAAGGGTGCCCTTTTTGGTTTAAAGGGGTTTATAAGGGAACCTGAACCCTAAAAAAGGGAATAAGGGCCTACTCTGGGTCCTAGTTTCAGGGTGGAAGAGCTCGTGACGGCTTGCGGATCAAGCATGCGGCCAACACTTTGTTGCGAGCGTCGTAGCTGTTGAAATTTGTCCCGTTTCCTTGAGTTACGTTTGCTTGGAATTTAGGTGCAATGAGGTTTACCAACATCCTGCTCCTGGTATAACTCCACTCCAGTCAATAATAACTTGCAACAAGAACCTAAACCCGAGAGCCTAAACCCTAAACTGCAACGCTTCCTTAAACTCCTGAAATCCTACACCCTAAACTCCTTCAAACGCTTCAAACCCAAAAAATACCCAAAACGCCTAACGAATCAACCGGTGCCCAAACTCCAGAGTTTTAAGTTTCTCATTCTGCTCTTAGAAGCCGTTCGGTCGTTTCGACGGCTGAAAGTCAGTGCGCCTCTGTGATGGAGGAGCCCAAAGACCAAATCAGCGAATACGCGAAGAGCTTTTCCAAAGCCTCACCAGACTTCCTCGGCGAAGGTCTGATCTTCTGCCCTAACCCTTTTTTAGCGTTTAGGGTTTGGTGTTTAGGCTCTAAGCACTCATATTTTTGGGTTTTCGGTATTGATTTTAGAGGCGGTGTATGACAGGGCTTCATAAGGTTCTAAAGGGCTTCGAAGGGTTTGCATGGAACCTGTGCGTATGTTCAGCGCCTGGTTTTTAGCATGACATGGTTCGATGAAGGCTGAACCAAGTAACTAACCTTACCCTCGCACTCCGGGTCTCTTAGTTTCGGACAGTCCTCTTTGGGTCTTCCCTGTACGCAGCTGGCAGAAGGGAGGATTCTTCGGGCCAGGACCTGAGGAAAAAGACGTAGGCTCTGGACCTCAATGCAAAGCACCGGCTTAAGGTCTGTAGGAGTTGGGTCTTGGAGCCGGGATGCTGGTAGGTTGATGGGCTATATAATGGGTATATAATAGCTACATTAAGGGTATATACCTAGGGGTCCTTATTAAAGAAATCCCTTGAGTCCTAGAGTCTGAGTCTTAGCCCTACCCTAAACCCCAAACTTGAAACCCCAAGCCATGAAGGGCGTGTAGGATTGGGCCGGGCGTTAGCTTTTGGGGATCCCTTGAGCCAACCAGACCCGGAACCCTGAACCCTAAAACCTTAACGTCTCAAAAACACTAAACCCAAAACCCCAAACCAAGACACAAACACTCCAAAACCACATCATTGAGGTAATATACCTTAACTCTTGCTAGGGCACCCTTAAAGGAACCCTTCTCGTACCCTTGCAGGACCTTAAAGGGATCCTTAGAGAACCCTCAAGTAAGGGATTCTTGTAGTCCCTGCGCAAAAAGCGCTCTCGCCAAGGCGCTCCCCGAAGGCCTCGACGTCAATCTTGGGGGCAAAGGTCTCGTACCTTGGGCCATTCAGGGCCCAGCTTTCTGTCGCGAAGGTACGTGGAGTGGGCTATAGGACCGGGGTGTAGAGTTTACAAAACTGAGGGGCTAGACTGACGGAGCACACCCGAAGCCTTGAAAGCCAAACCATTTCCGTAAGGCTCTAAGGACTCATGTGTTAAGGCCTTTGGGCCTAAAGACCATATTATATAAGGCTTTTGGGCCATTTTGAGCCTTATGGTTTCAATAATGACTATTGGAACCCGTAAGATTTCGAGCAATCAGTTACTCAGTTTTCAGGCTAGTATAGTTCGATCATTGTCCCTTTGCTTCAATGGCCTATGGGGTTCAGAGAGTAGAGATTACACCTGCAAAAGATCCGCCTCCACTCTAAACCCGAACCCCTCCCATCCAATAACCTACGGTGTTGGGGGTTATACAGTTATACCCTATAATTGGGGGGACATACCCACTATTTTGTAGGTTTTGGGCATACTAGTACTGCCCTACCCCTCAACCATTCAGGGTTCCAGAACCCGAAAAATCACACACAAACATATGGATTTCCATGAGGACCTAATCGCTGCCCCCTAACAGTAAAGCCCCCCCCAAACTAAAAAAATCACGGCCCCCGGAATTTCGCTGTTTCGGGCCCACAAATGACAGTTAATTAAACACACTAGGCATTGCCTAGGATTGCATAGTTTTACTAGAGCCAAAGACTACAGCAGAGTCAATCAAACCGAAGAGACCAGAACTTTAGGGTTTAGGGGTTTAGGGCTCAGGGCTAAAGCTCTATAGGGCTTAGGGCATTAGGGCTCAAGGTTTAGGGCTTAGGGCTTTAGGGGTTAGGGCTCAAGGTTTTAGGGCTTAGGGCTTTAGGGCTTAGGGCTTCAGGGCTCAAGGTTTAGTGCTTGGGGTTTGAAGGTTTAAAGGGCTTTCAATCAATGAGTATAGAGGCTACAGGCTTAGGATACCTAGCAGCTGGGACTTCGAGTTGTTCTAATATCAGGGGGAGTATTGTTTGGGAAATAAGTAACGGTGATTTAGGGTTTTAGGCTTTAGGGTTTAGGGTTTAGGGTTTGCACTCAGAGTTGTTGTATTATTAGGGGGTATTGTTTGGGAAATAAGCAATGGTGAGGATCATTCACAAGTTTAGGGCAGGGTTTAGGAACGGCAGCGCAAGAGGCGGTCGTTGTTACTGACTGTCTGGGTCAATACTCATTTACTATTGAAAAACGGCCAATCCTACTCACACCCGGATGCCCCGAAACCCCCCTAATATGAAAACTGAGCCCCCGCAATCCAATTTGTATATTTTAAGGGGGGGGGGGGGGGGGGGGGGCGTTTAATGATAGGGAGAAGAGATTAAACTTGAACTGCCAACTCACCAATCCTACACCCCGAAAACTAAATCTTGAACCTTAAACCCTGGACACTAAAACCCTAAACCCTGAATGCTAGAATCTGCACTATAGCCGTGGCGCAAGCGTGTCAGGGAGATGACGGCGTTGGCGTCGACGATCGGCGCCAGCTCTTGGCAAGACTTCCGCATCTTTAGGCCTGGGTGAAGCGCGCCCCAACCCTTCTTGGAGGATCATGGGACTTAGTAAGTATGGTTATAAGTTATAAGCCCCTTAATTGGGGTTATAAGTAATTATAAGTATAGCTACCCCAATAATAACCCCAACCCGTAGATCGCAACGGTTGATGATATAAATCCTGCATTACCCATAATCGGGAATATACCATAATTCCCATAGTTTCGGGTCCTTAACGTAATGCAGGATTTATATCATCAACAGAAGGACTCATATCTTAAAGGCTTTTGGGCTCGAAGGAATATGAGGCATTTGGGCTATTCTTGAGCCTTAGGGCAAGGGCCCAGTTAAAGCGGTCGATAAGGCTTGTGCTGTCCGGTTTATGGTTAAGGGTTCTGTATAGTCTAGGGACGTTCGTAAATTAGAACAGAGTGTTGTGTTGAGTACTGTACATAAAAAATCTATACGAAAAAAACCGATGAAATATGTACACATACATGATCGTAAGGCACCGCAGCTGTATAGGGAACCCCTTTAAAGCGTCGATGAGTACATCATATGGGTACATTGACAATCAAAGGCAGGGACGGAGGGCTCAGTAGCCGTTCCACACTTCATGCAGGGACGTCGGTCTACTTAGTGCCTTGTCTTCAGCGTCCGAGAATTCTTAATCGATAAGTTTCGAAGAAACACCACCCGAACCTCATCGGAAACGAAAGCAGGGTATGCTGGGCATGCAGGCCGCTCCGACTACAAGTCAAGACCCGGAACTGCATGAACCGCCACATCATGCAGCAACGAAAGTTTCAATGACAATGATGCCCAGGCCGAAGTCCCAAAGCACTAAAAGAAAACAAGCCCACTAACCCTCAACCCACCAAAGAAACCTAGGCACTGAAAGCGAAACCCCAAAACAAAGACACACACACACACACGCACATACACGCGGAAACACAGACAAAAGAAACATGGCAAGCCACCGCCCCTAAAAAGGAAAACACACGGAAACGCACACAAACCAAACCTGGCCAAGAAGCATTTGGGAATCCATTTCTCGGCTAGAGCAGTGACATCGGCCTGCGAAAAGTTTGGGTCTCAGGTTGAGTCTGCTGTTTTGTGTTCTCCATAAGTTCAAGGTACTCGGGTTTAAGGTTTAGGCTTTTTGAGCCTCGGGTGGTTTAGGGCATCAGCGATGCGTTATATTTGCGTGGTAGGTCATCCGGTTCACACAGTCTTTGTGCCAATGGCATGGTGGCGATAAAGTGTGTAAGCAAGCAAGCCAGAACACCAATACACATATATATATATATATGTATATATATACATACATACACATGTATATACATATATAGCCTGTAACCACATACATTTTTATCTATCTATATATATATATACACACAACTTACGCCTGTATGCATATGTATATGACAGGATGTGTGGGATTATGTCATGTATGTATATACGTACGTACCTCTGTATGTGTATGTGTGTGTGGGTGTGATTACATGTGTATATATATATATACATATATATATATATATATATATGTATATATATATATATGTATATATATATATATATATATATATATATAATTGTATGTGTGAATATATGAAGATGCATGCATGTATGTAGCATGCGGGCATACGGCTGGCTGGCTGGCTGGCTGGCTGGCTGGCTGGCTGGCTGGCTGGCTGGCTGGCTGGCTGGATGGATGGATGGATGGATGGATGGATGGATGGATGGATGGATGGATCGACGGATGGGTGGATGGATGGATGCATGGATGGAGGGATGAATGGATGGATTGATGCATGGATGCATGGATGGATGGATGGATGGATAGATGGATGGATGGATGGATGGATGGAGGCATGCATGGATGGATGAATTCATCGAGGTATCGGTGAATGCAAGGATGTGTGAATGCATGCCTGCCTACATGCATGCATGCATCAGGAAGGGAGGTGGGTAGGTAGGTCCGTATACTAGTGCATGTGTGTATGTATGCATGAAGCCACATGTAAGGGTTTAAGGATTTCAGGCTTGAGGCTCATGTAGACTACCGGTTTATCGATCCCCTTTCCTTCAAGGCCGTACTGTTTAGAACCCCACCTAATCCGGATTAAGTGAAAGGGGCTCAATAATCAGCAGTCTTGTGTAATACCAACACAGTCTGTAAGTTCCGATAAATGTATAGCATATGGCAGGTATATGTATGCAACTTGTTTTAAAGAACCTTCGTGACGTTAGATTCTCGTGGATTCCCTGAGACAATGAACACAGAGAGACAATAATCTCGCAGAACCTGCTTTAACCCTAGCTATGAAGGCCACCATATTCTTGCAACCCTGAGCTCTGAACGCTTCCTAAACCCCAAAACCCCAACCCCTAAGACCTCACACCCTAAGCCCTACCGTCTCAGGGTCCAAGTACCCAATAATCATATACTCTCCAAAATCCTAACCTACATAACTACTATCCTAAAACCGAGTACCTAATTATTGGGTCCTTTGGACCTTTGGGGTCTCGGCCTGTCGGTTCGCAGGAACGAACTTCTGCACCCAGGAAGTAAAGTACGGCTCCCAGCCCAGGTCCGGTGGGTCGAAGTAGACCTGTGAATTACTAGGTTGGCCCTTTAAAGCCTCTGAACAATATTCGTAAATAGGGTCCTATTAAGCCCAATAAGGGGAAATACAAAATGTCCCAAAGGCCTACCTAGATTAAAGGAGGAGTCTATCCCAAAGGGTCCCAAGTACCTGCATACCTGGTACAAAGTAGGGTTTCTCTAACTATAGTATAGTAGGTACTACTGGTATGATTTGGGAAAGTAGCCGCCATTGGGACATCACAGTACCTAGGGCCCTTTTTAGTATCAGCGTGGCCATACGGGTTTAGGGCTTGGGGCTTCGGATGCAGGGGTTTGACCTGAGGTTTAGGGTTTAGTTAGGGGCTCTTGGGCTAATTACTCTGAAGGGGGGCACATGCATCATTGATTCTGGGATATATTGCATCAAGGAATAGTAGACAGTACTGGTATGCGTCCCCTATGGTCAGAAACGCACCCGTGTACAGGAAACTCCAAGGTGGTCTGCCGGACTCCTATGCCTGCAGCAACACGACAACGCAGTAGATGATGTTACCAGTGTTATAGGGCCAGCTATAAAAGCGAGGGCTCATTGGAGCTATAACTATACAACATCTTACACAATAAACCCATGTGCCTGAACCCTACACTCTGAACCCTAAACGCTAAACGGCAGCAGCAGGAAGCTTTCAGGACGAGAGGCCATGCCGGCTCGAGACACGGTTGCTGGTGACGCCTGCGAAAGCAGACAAGGCAGACTTGAAAGGCTAAGGGCTCCGTTCAGAGCCCCTCTTCAGGGATCTGTAAGAGCTTTGGGGTTTAAGTTTAAGGGGCTCCAGGTCTGGGGTTTAGGGTGCAGGATTTCGGGGCTTGAGCCTAAGGGCCTAAGGCGCTTTTGAACCCTACCTCGATTGTACAACCTGAGCGAATCAGAGGTATCATGCAGGCGTGCTTGGAGGATTAGCACGACTGCTAACCTGCTTGCTAAGTCTCAGTCTCCTGATGCTCCAACAAGTGTACATTTAGATTCTGAATGTCTGCCAAGCGTCCTTTGATGATACTCACTCCCTCAATGTAAAATCAAAACCTGCCGGAATGAAAACCTAAAGCCCCAACCCCCCTAAAACCCCAAACCAACTAAAACCCCTAGAACCGTTAAAAAATCTTGCGGGACCCTAAACCCTCAAACCCCATACCCCTTAAAAACTCCCAAAACCCTCTTCGCCTAACAGGAACCCTAAACCGTAAAACCCTTTACCCAAAGCTCCAAAACCCCTGAACGCCTAAACCCTAAACCCTAATCCCTAAAACCCTAAAACCCTAAAACCCTAACCCCTAAACTAAACCCATAAAATCCTAAGAACCCTCAAGCCGCCTGGGAAAGGTCCGCGACTTCGAAAAGCAATCGAACCATCGGAGGCATGGAGATGCGGTCGCCGTTGATCAAAGTGAGGACCTCCAGATGTCAGGTTCAGGGTTCTGGGGATTTGGCACCTTAGGGGCTTTTGAATTTTTGAGGTTTGTGGTTTTAGAGATTTAGGAGCTTGGGGTAAACTCTAGGGTCTTGGATTTTCAGGCTTTTTCGAGGGACATAACTGGGTTTATGGTTTTTGCGAGTGTGGGGCTTAGAGGCTTGCAAGTCTGCCAGGCAATGGTGTGGCGAAAGAGCAACCGGCGGACGTTCCACAAAACTCAGGAATCCAAGTACGACTCAAAACAGTAGAGTTCCGAATAGAAGGACCCCTCTCTGAAAGTACGTGTGTGTGTATATGTTTACATATATATATATATATATATACATAGGTCAAACCGCTCTTTTCAAAACAAAACACGGCTGTTCTTTTCCTAAACTCCCATGTCCTGCCTGGAAACCGCGCCCAACCTGAAGCTACCTAGGATACCCAGTAACCTAAGAATAAAAAGGCCTCTCTTTTTGGTATTGGGTAACTTTATAAGGAACCTAGGACTACAAAAAGGGAATAAGGGTACTACTGGGCATCCTAGCTACCATCTCTGTAAGGGTCCGATGAGGTAGGCCCTGAACCCCTGCGCCCGAAACACTAAAACCCCTACTCTAAACCTCCGATATGGCCCCACCCAGCAAATATGAGGCCGCTGATACAGCCCGATTCTAGTATATATTATGGACTGTTACGGAAGTTGGGCAGTGCGCGGGCTAAACCCAATCACCGCCGACCTTGTTGTCGTCCAGCACAGTGTTCCTCAGCAACTGCCCATGCCGAACTCTTCGGGTCCACATAACTACCATGATTTACGTTTAGGGTTTAGGGTTTCCTGTCCGGGCCCTAGAAGGACGAACCCCCCTCCATTTGTTGTTTTAGGCTTAGGGTTTCAGGCGAATGTTGAAAAGAAACAGCCACAGAACATGGACAATACCCGACCCGATATTGAAGATCCCTCAACCTTGAAAGCTGAATCCCCAAAGATTCCTAGGTACTGTGATAGGGGATGAAACCCAAATCATCGTACTTACCACTTCCTTGTATACAAGCACTACATTCTCAAATATGGGTACTTACTTGGGACCCTTTGGAACCAAAAAGCCGACACTCCACAAGCCCGAATTTGCTATGTGCCATATACTTACCCTGGGGATCCAAAAAGCCCAAAGTAGGTAGTATTTCAAGACTTAAGACCCCAAAGTAGGTACTATTTGTATACTTGGAGCCCCAGGGTTATGTAATATGTAGTTTGGGGTCTAGGATAGTCGGCGAGGAGTCGTAAAGGATAGTATGTAAACCAGTGTAATGATATGTAATGGTCGTTAGGTGCTTGGACCCTCGCAGACTGCGTGTCTCTAACTTGGGCAAGGTCGCATGGACTCGATCCACAGCGTGTCCACTGGGCCGTCCAGCAAAAGCCACTTCTCGTCAGGCTTCTCATCCTGGCAGCTCTGCAACTGATGACATTACCCCAGGGGTCCAAAGGACCCAATAATTAGGTGCTCGGTTTTAGGATAGTAGTTCTGTAGGTTACGATTTTGGAGAGTATATGATTATTAGGTACCTGTTACCCTAAGGGTCCATGTACCCATATAGCATATACTTTGGGCCCAATGTACCTATATAGGGAGTACTTTAAGGTCAATGTATATACTATAGGAGTACATGGACCCTTAGGGTTAGTTGTTTAGCCATCAGTTCCGAGGGGTGAAGGATCTTATCAGACTCCGGATCAACACAGCTTGCAGGGTTTAGGGTTTAGGGACCTGGGGGCATGAATGCATGCCTTGCGGAGCTTTGGAGGTTTCAAAAAACGATAGCAGTGAGAATTGGGCTTTGGGGTATCGTATAACTATACCCTTATAAGGCTCCTGGACCTTCGTAGGCCTATAATGCCCAAACCTGACACCTGAACCACGCAAAACGAATACCCCGGAAATCGATGTGGGCTCCTCTTCGGACGGTCAGACTGTCGCCATCTAAGTCCCGATTCGGGGTCATCTTTCGCCGCAACATCGATACCGCCACAACTCGAAAGCCCCAAACCCTGAACCCTAAACCCTTTCTAGAACCCCTCAAACGAACCCTCATAGGAACCCCTGAAGGAACCCGTAAAGGAACCGTTAAAGGACCCCGTTTTGGGAAGCTCCACACCGACTCCTGGCACATGCGGCGCATGATGGAGGACAGCACACCGTCGGTCCACTCCATCATTGTGGCCTGCAGGGAAACCCGAAACTTCGATATGGGTAGCTCTCTAAACTAGGGTCCCTTTATGGGTGCTTTTTGAATAATAAGGGTGCCGTACTATATTCGGGATCTGAATGGTGCCCTAATGAGCTGGTTTGCGAAACCAGTAGTGGAACCAGTGACTACCTACTTAGCTACATTCATAGGGATCCTTAGGGGTGTAGGGGGGAGGGGTGTAAGGGACTATATTTCCTTAAATAGGCCTTATTAGTCCTTATTATGGGCCTTAAGGCCCCCTACCCCCCCTCCCCCTACACCCCTAAGGATCCCTATGATACATCCCTCCCCAACTTGCTGCAGTTACACGTGATCCATTGGCTTGTTGAAGAACGACGCCTCGTCCCACTATGGGCTATTAGACCTTATGGGTACCTTAATCTACCCTTAATAGGGTCCTAATAGGGATCTTTAGGGTCTCGTAGCCCATAGTGGTCCGCCACTTCCATCCCAGGAGTTCAAGGACGTTACAAGGAATTCCCGAGGAACCACTGGTGCATACCCATAGGCTCCATGGTAGTTCCTTTTTGGGGGTTCATATTTAGAGACCTATGAGGTACTCCCCCAAAAAAGGAATTACTATGGAGCCTATGGATATGGGTACAAAACACAAGCACTCCCAGACGGTCCTAAGGGGGATGCTTGCCCAAACCACAATAGCCATGCATATTCTGGAAACCCTGCTTAGTACTATGCAGATACCTTCTTGGAGGGGCAGGGGACTGAGTAAGTAGGATTATAAGTAGGTTATAATTGGGGTAATTCCATTTAGGGTACTTTTAACTCTACTTATAACTAACCTACTTGCCAAGTCCCCTGCCCCTCCAAGTAGACCCTAAGCCCTAAACCCCATGGATCCCTTTAAGGAACCTTATAGATCCCTAGAAGGAGCCCTTCAAGAACCCTTACGAAGTCCCCTGCCCCTCCAAGTAGGGACCTTTGGCACTTCCAGTGAATGCACGAAGAGGTCCCAGGCTTTTTCGTCTCTTGGCACGCAAACTTCAAGCAATCTGTGGTTCGTACTTGACGTCCGCTGGCCAGGCCCCACCGTTTTATGCTTCAAGTCAGAAACATGTTCAAGGCTGATTCAAGGCTTGTAGAAACACAAAGCAAGAAGATAGTAGAGGTCCTGTGCAATAGTGGGCAAGGCAAGCAGTACGATTGGCACAAGGCTCCTGCGGTCGCTAGAGCTACTTGTGTTATAAGGCGGCTATACGGTCGCATCCAGGAGGCATGCTCTGGGTAGTGTTTGAAGTCCATAAGTATAAAGCCGCAAGTACATAATGATCATGATGATAAAGGCTCTACAAAGTACAAAGCTTTCTTTCTTGTCACATCTCAGAAACTCCTCACTGATGCAGGGACACTTCTGGCCCAAAGGAGAGTCCGCCATCAAGCTGGCTGCACAAGGGCGCTGCCAGCGACAAAATCTAAACTTCGCCACAGAGGTATCTGACTGCTGCCTGTTTTTATGACATCAACCTGCTGTGACTCTGCATTGCGGGAAGCTTTCAACCGAACCCGTAAAGGAAGCCTAAAGGCGAAGGAAAGGGCTGCGGCTACAACGTCCGAGGATCAGATCAGCGAAATCTTGACGACCTGAGCTCCGACCTCAGCGGCAGCACGGCGGAGCTGCAGCTTTTTCCTCAGCTGTGGGGCAGGCCTGGCTCTCGAGCACCATGCGCACGCTGGAGGGCTTCGCGATGTCGATCATCAGGTGGTTCTGGTCCGGGCAGTACTGCACCGAGTATTCGTAGCTGGAAACGCCGCAGCCATGGTCGTTCTCGATGGTGATGATGTTATCTTTGTTCTGAAATTCTGCGCCGTCGCACTGCGCCTCCTGGTGTCCCTCAGCCTTCATGTGCACAATGCCCACTTCACCATCATGGCTAACCACATGGATCTTGAACGTTTCGGACAGGAGGGTGTTGCCGTAGCAAACAGGGCCAGCAGGAAGGTTCCCCTCACCAGTGCATTGCAGGTCTCCGCCACGCAGGGAAGGGTGGGCCTTGGCGAGTGACAGCAGAGGGAAGGACAGGGCGATGACAGTGCGAAGAGCCATGATGTCGCAAATGTCCAAAGCTCGCTTACCTTTCTGCTCTACGTCGCTGCAGAAATACTTGAGCCATAGCCAATTAAATTTAGGGCTTGGGGTTGGTAGATTTTGCAAGGCCGGAAGAGGGGCCACAGCTATAGAGGGCTGCACAGGACAAGAGTTTCGCCTACTCCTTCGTTCTCATCCTGCTCCTCTTCTAAACATACGTAGCAGCATAATCAGCAAAACATCCTTGAATGAGAAAGAATTATTGGGGTCGCTTAAGGGAAGCATCCCACAAGGAGCGTACCACGGCACCCCACACAGAAAAGCTGTAAACCCAACGCCCTGGTGGTAGAGGTACATAGTTTGCTGAGAGATGCACTAACTCCCGGAAGGTCATTCAATAAACCCCAAACCCCTAAACCCTAAACCTTAAACCCCGACAACCTAATCCCCAACCCCTGCACCCCTGAAGCCCCTCCACTATGTGGAGGGGTCTGCTATGCTAGCCAAAAACCCTAAGCGACCAGCATTACGAAACTGTCAGGCTTCTATCTAACTCCCGAAGCTGCGATCGTGGCCTATGGAAGCATAGGGACCCTTAGGGGGATGGGGGGGAGGAGGGAGAGTACTATACAGGCCTTATTAACTTCTTATTATGGGCAATACTTACAGCCCCCTACCCCCCTCCCCCTACCCCCCTAACGGTCCCCATGATGCAAGGTTCTTTGAAAGCTGCGCCCTCCTCACAGTCGCTACCGATTAGGTTGAATAGGCTCTGCGCTTACCAGGAACCCCCAAGTACCCTTTAAAGGGCTCTGATTTTTGCCATTGAGAGATAACTAGGGGCTACAATACAGGGTAGTTGCGGGCTCTAGGTAAGGTTCAGGGTTTAGGGTTTGGTGGTTTGGGGTTGGGGTTTAACTCGCCTCAAACTCTAAATCCATGTATCTCTCAACTGAAGCGCATTTTTACAATCTACCTTCACATGTTATAGGAACCCGAATACGATCTGGGGTACAGTTCATACTGGGGGGTTGGAGTCTCTGGGTCATGTAATGTGCAAGTCACGAAATCTTCGGGTTGAGTATCTTGCAAGCAACCGGCGGCGAATATCGGAGCCAACACACTTGGAACCAACACTCATGCTTATAGATAGTTTATTGATCTTTCTTTCCCGAAGGCCCCTAAACCCTAAACCCTAAGGAACCCCCTAGACCCTGAACCCGGACCCCCTAAACCGCATCTCGGAGCTATTGTCACTTCTCCTTGGGGTTGCAAGGCTCCGGGGAGGAGCCCTAGGTTTGACTAGGTTGGCCCCATAAAGCCTCAGAGAAATATTCGTAAATAGGGTCCTACTAAGCCCAATAAGGGAAAATATAAAATGTCCCAAAGGCCTACCTAGTTGATGTTTCTGAAAGCAAGTCATATACGGGCCTTAATCGCTGGAATAGGGTTCCAGGACTGTTCTAGGATACAATAGACGAGTACTTACCATAGGGAACCCTTAACGCATTACTGGTTAAGGTTAAGGTTGTACCGTCAAACTAATCGGCAACCTGCATTGCAACCACGGGAATTTCCCCCAAAACACCCCTTAACCGGCGAGGCCTCATCATATTGGCCGTAGAGCTCGCCCATGGTAATCGACTTGGGATTGATAATCTCGTAGATTACCTTCTCCATACCTTCATGGGTTCGATAAGGTTACTTTCAGGGTTCGATCTGGGCTGCTACGGAGTTACCGCATAGGGTCGGAGATTAGAGCTGGAGTTTGCAGGTGTAAAGTTCATCGCACCAATGTAGGATGTGGGGTTTAGGAATCAGGGACGGGCCCGGAAATGGAGGCAAGCATATCAACATGCTTCTAAACCGTGAGTAATTGCTAATCTCCCAGCCTGAGACCTACCAAGACCTAAACTGAAATCCTAAGCCCTCAGTGCCTTCCTGGCCCATGGACTTGAGGATGCATTTCGCCTGATAAGGACGAGAGTTCCGGGTGTAGTGGTTCGGTGTTTATGGCTTATCGTCTAGCCCATAGAAGGGCTTTGGGGTTTAGAGTTCGGGACTTGTGCGTGAGAGAGCCAGAGAGAGAGAGAGAGAGAGAGAGACAGCGTTCTGCAGCAATCAAGCAGATGTTCGTTTTCACTTAGAATATGGAGGGTCGCGTTTTGGTTGCCAAGATTGTGGGTAACCGGAAGAACTAGCTATACCCGACATATGCAATGCCCTAGGGCTCCATGTGGCTATGTAGTATATACTTAGGCCGTCAAGTACCTACAGAAGAGCCCCTTGCACGCCAAACTATATGTAGTTGGAGCCTAACGTACCCTGAGTATCCCTAAGCCCTTACATTTATGGTACCCATTGAAGGAGCCCTTAGAGGCCTAAGTGTACACTTTCTGGGTACCTGGGGCCTTACCACCGTAAAATTCCCAAGGAAGCCTAAACCCAAAAACCGCAAAGCTCCAAACCACTATACCCTAAACCCTGAACCCCAAAAGCGCTAACGTCCAAACTCAAAAGGCCCAAACACACGACACGAAGAGTCGGGCCTTGGCAAGGGCTTTCCAGCAGACGCTCTTGCCGCCCAGAGTTCCGCCAACCAACCTCCGGGCAGTTTAGGTCTACTTCCCCAAAAAATCCACAAACGTAAAAGGTTAAACTGTCGGATTACTACTGCATGAACTACAAGAACCCGTAAAGTTCAAACGATTGGCATTGGGGGGAGTAAGTAGGGGGTTGGTGTATCTGCTAGGCAGAAGCACTTTACGCTCCTCGGGTGTTTTCAACGATATGCTCTTTGCAGATCCGGGCTTTAGACTTGTTGTGGTTTTCGTGTCTGTGTTGAGGGCTGTAGGGTTGGATATGAAATCCAACCTTTTGGAGGGCCTTGGGGTTCGATGGTGAGGGACTTGGACTTAAGCACAGCGAAAGGCGGGGGGGTTGTCCGAACATCCCTGTCGACCCGGCCCATGCCTTGACAAGAAGGGATCACGGTTTGGTTTAGGGTTTAGGGTTTAGGGTTTAGGGTTTAGGGTTCAGGGTTGGGAAACCAGCCAAGATCATTGTGCGTCCAATTTTTCAACTGTTTGGCTTCGCTTTCAAAGGAATTTGGGATTAGGGTTTATGGCTCAGGGGTTCAGAGTTTCGGGTATACTCTGGGCGAGCATATGCTTGCAGTGTAGTGTCCTTTGGAGATCTTCTCAGGGTTCATGATAAAGACTACTTGGAGGGGCAGGGGACTTGGTAAGTAGGTTTTTAGTAGGTTCCAATTGGGGTAACTCCATTTAGGGTACTTAGAATTCTACTTATAACCTACTTACTAAGTCCCCTGCCCCTCCAAGTATGTATAGGGCTTAAGCGCGTAGAGCTTATGGTTTAGAGTTTGCAGTTTATGGTACAGGCTTGAGGGTTTAGGGTATCAGTGTAGCAGGGTAGATAGACTACACTACCACGATGCGCAATATGAACGACAATAGCACTGTGCAAACACGAGCTGTTCCGGTGCTTGCGATGGCCCAGCATGTTGAACCAATGCATGCTGAAAATGTTGTTTAGTTACCCTGAGGGAACATGGACCTATTTAGTAGATACTTCAGCTTGAAATAAGGGGGTCCCATATCGTAATTTTACAGCACATACTGAAGGCACATGGACCATTTGTACTTTGTAAGTTAGACTGGCGCAGAAAGCTGGACAAGTCGCATGTTGCCGTGACGGGTGATCTTCGTCTCCTTGGCGGCGCAGAATGCCGGTGTAGGAAGAGCATCAAACGAAAGCTACAGTATCCTGAGTCCTAAGTCACCCTGAACTCCAAACCCCTGAATCCTAAGCCCGGAAACCCCCAAACTCTATGGCCCAAAACCTAAACCCTTTCAGAAAGCCCCACAAACCCTCAGCTCGACACGATCAGCAGCGTTCTTCGCACATGAGGACATTGATTTAATCGAAGGAACCGAAGCCACAGCCGGCGACGCTGCTTACAGAGTCCAGGTAGAGATTCCGAGGGTGTAGCGAGCTCTAAACCTAAAGCCCCAAACCCTAAACCTCAAACCTAGATTAAACCCGAAACCCCTAAACCATAAACCTTAAACCTTAAATTAAACCCGAAACCCTTAAACCCCAAACCTAAATCAAACCCGAAACCCCTAAACCCCAAACCTAAACCCTAAACCCTTAACCCTAAACCTTAAACCCTAAACTCTAAACCCTAAACCCTAAACTCTAAACCCTAAACCCTAAACCCTATAAACCCTAAACCCTAAACCCTATAAACCCTAAACCCTAAACCCTGAAACCTCAACCGCGACTTGGGATTTTCGGAGCCGGGAGCCGGCTCCCCTTTGCTTTAGGGTTTAGGGTTTTAGGACTTGGGGGGTTTAAGGGTTTTGGGCGTTTAATTAGGGTTTTAGGATTTGGGGTGTTTCAGGGTTTTGGGGGTTTTGGGGGTTTGGGGCGTTTAATTGGTGGTTTAATTACTGGTTTTAGGGTTTAGGGTTTTAGGGCTTTAGGATTTGGGGGGCTTCAGAGTTTGGGGGTTTGGGGGTTTGAGGGTTCGGGGGGTTGGGGGTTAAGCTATGGTTTAGGAGTACTCCTCAGTTAAATCCTCATAGGTTCTTTGATAGCATGTAGGCTACACCTGTAGCCCCAACTCCTTCAAAACAACGGAGTACGACGTCTAATGATGAAGCTGCGTGGGGCGCCTCGGTTTCAAGTCTAGAGTTGTGGCCCTAAACACAAACCCTGTTGTGTGATACGGTCTAATTCACAATGAAAAAAATATACGTATATATATATATATATATAATACATAGATATGTGTGCCTGGAAGCCCATATTCAGAACCACCTCAAACCCTGAACTAAACGCTGGTTGCACACAAAGTAAGAAATAACCAGGATCCCTGGGTAAGCCAGGTGTCGTAGATGCTGATGCACTTGGCCACAGAGTGCTTCACTTTCTGGCAGCCCATCTCATCGAGAACCTGCTAGAATCGGAAAAAGTTTCGAAACGCTGCCGTGTCTTATCTGCGTGCATTTTCGATTGCCAGCGAAGGGGTGATTCCGAATTTTCAGCATCTTGCATTTTTCGGCTGGAGACTTTCGGGATGGGATTCAGGGTGAGTCACGAACCCCTTTGCCGGAAACGATCTACGGCACTGGAGCTTGGCGTGTGTACCGAGATGTGCCGCAGTAAATCCCGCCAACCCACAGATATCGTCATGTATAGAAAACGATGCTACGACCCGCAAACCTAAAACCCCTTGGCCCCAAACTCTGAACCTCGCAACCCTTAGACTGCTCCTCCATGCCATCATGGTCACACCCCTACACCCATCCTTCTTGGCTCCCGATGAAGACGGTCTCCTCAGGACGGTCCTCCTGAGGTGACACCTCAAACCCTGAACCCTGACTCCGGTGCCTGGTTGATGACTTCTTCCAGCTTGCCATAGTTCGGAATCGGCAGCTCGACTCCTGTCGAGGGCTGGAGGCTGGAGGCCCGTACCAAGCCTACCGAACACAGGAAAACAAGTAAAGTTGCAAACTGGGGACAGGATGATTGATGATATGAACCCTGCATTACTGTACCCATGATAAGTAATATAACATAGTTCACATCGTTTAAATACGGTCCTTGAGGTAACGCAGGATTTATACCATCAACCGTATGACCCCATCATTGTAGGGTTATACCCCTCACCCCCTCCCCCCAAACGGGGTTTTTGGATCTCCAGGTATGGGCATCCCGAAAGAAGTCGCTCCTGGGAAGATGTCACTCAGAAGCGCCTCGTAGAGCGGTACATCCTGGCTCATCGCCGGAGCTTTTGGGGCACACAGACAGGGGCCTTTATAATTTGTTTAGAGTCCCTTGAAAAGGGGCTTATATAGGTTATTATGAGGGATCTAAAAGGACACTATAGGGGCCTGGATAATTAGAACCTGGATTTGGGGCCCATTATACTATAGTTATAAGAAGGAACCCCCCAAAATTGTATAGGCAATTATTTTGGCCCCTACAGTAGGGCTTGGTTGCAGGGTTTCGAAGTCACCGGGGATCCCCAGGGATAGTTGGACTTTCGTTTGTGGGTCTCCCTTCTTCATGTGGACTCCATGTACACCCTGATTCATAAAAGTCCATTCTTCAGGGCCGCAATACCAGGACCAGATTTCTGTGCCCGATTCAGGTAGGGTCTGCATTCAGAATTGGCTGCTCCTTCAAAACCACTTTGTACGTCAGTTCTACGTAGAACTAGTTAAAGCCAAAGCCCTATGCATCCCCTAACCCACATGTGCCTCTCTCGCACCTGCCTCGAAGCTCGCATTCCCCACACCTTCACAAGCAAGCCTATCCGCAGACTGCAATCATGGCCGCTATGGCCCTCGTCCGTACCTAGAGGGCCAAACCCTACCCCTTTTTAGGATACCTAGTTTTATGGTTAGGATCTGTTATATAGAAAGTTAGGCACCAAAAAAAGGGGCAGGGAATGAGCCTCTAGGTAATGTGTGAAAACGCCTGAATCCCATAAGCCTGCACTGAACCCAACCTGATTCCTTGCATTTTTTGTGTCCTGCGAAACCCACTTGGGCGCGTTCATGTCCTTGGATGTGCAGCATTCAGCAAGCTCGGCTTCGGCTGCATAGAAATGCTGGGTCCAAATTGCAGAAATGGGCAGCCTGCTGGGGGAATGTTACACCATCCTCTTTGGATTTAGGATGGAACTCGAAGGGTCCATGTACTCATATAGTGTAAATATACATTGGCGTTAAAGTACTCCTTACATAGGCGGGCCTTAGTGTAAGTGACAACTATGGAATCTGTTCGCTTGTCCGTTCTACGTCACTTCTGGCACTCGACACCCAAGTAGCCGAGGGTTGCTTAGAAGAGCCCGCGAATGTACCGGCACTCGTGTACACCGGGAAGCCCTAAACCCCTGTAAACCCTACCTGTATCCGCAAACCCTGTGTATACCCACACCCTATACAATAGTGGGTTATGACTCCTTAGTTATACGGTACAACCCCAAAACGGCAGCATTTTGGATCCCAGGTAAACCCTCAACCGTTGACTTTTTGTTTATTCCTGCATGCAGGCTGTGGGAAGCGAAGACTGCCATGTCGGGCTTGGCTAGAGGTTGTTAAAGTTGTCATAAACCAGCAAGAACCCTCCGTTAAACCCAAAATCAAAATACTCACTGGCTTCATTAGGGCGCATTTGGGCGGGTGCTGAAAGGAGCTTGCATAGTGAGACAGGGCTTTGGGCGTGTTGTATATATACCACATTCCAGCAGGGACAATCAGCAAATACTCTTCTCTAGGTAGGGGATCCAGATGCTCCATGATTCACGCAACGGTGAATCATAGGGCAAATTCTTCGCGCTGGGGTCAAGGCTGTAGGCATGGGGTGCTGAGCTTGGCTTTGTCGAGGATTTAGGCTTGGGAGCCCTGACCCAGTCTGATGGCAAGGAATTGAAATGCCCCCGAGACCGGATCCCAAGCCCTAAACCCAAAACCTATGAACCCCAAACCCTGACTGAAATGCTAGCATCGGGAACGTTTGGCTTCCACACCTTTTTCCAACGAAGGGTTCACGGCCAGTAGGGTTTAAAATTCGGGTTTAAGACGTTTGGGCTTTATATGCTCCAGTTCTCTACATTGCGAAGTAACCACAAGCAAGACAAGCATCGTTGATGGCGCGCATGAGCAAGATCTGCTCCGGTGTGTCCGGGTCGGCCTCTTGGAATCTGTTTGGCGGCTTGGCTTTTAGCTACCCTAAACCCTATAATTGTTACACCCTGATTAAAGCCCTTAGCTAACGCTTTACGGTCTGTCGGGCTTTGGAATCCAGGTCTACGGTCTCGTAACTCTACGGCTCACATGATGTGAGAATTGCGGATGCTAAATTGGCAAAACCCACTCTCAAGTTAAAGGCACGCTCGGGGTTAGATCCAGACAGTAATCCATAAATGGACAGGCTCATCAGGACAACTGCAGAAATCTGGAAACCATGTTGACGCTAAGCTGCCGAACAACGATTGCGAGGGCCACTAAAGACAGTACCACATTAGTCTCTGATGCTTAGGTTTAGGCAGCTAATGTATCCTACACGTATATGGGTTATAAGATGAGCCTTGTTCAACGCCAACTTTACCGTGTCTTCCAGGGGGCCGGTTGGGGCTTACTTCCCAAATCCCCTGAACCCTAACCCGTCGGGAAGGTATCACACAAGGGACTTCAATACACGACCCGAATAATAAGAGGATCCGGAATAGAAGGACCCAATATATATATATATATATATATACATATACATATACATATATATATATATGTATATACATATGTCCAGTCTCCACTGTAGTTCCTTCTGGGACTTGTTAGGGATCCTCATGATGAAATGGTAAACCAAAACATGAACCACAATCGAGACTATAGCTAGGGCTTCAACCCTTAAGCCGTTTTGTAAATGCTACCTTGCCCTGCTGGAACCGACGTACACATGAATAGGGAGCTCCACAAGGAATAGGTAGTGCTTCATCGAGATGATTGGAAAGCAACATCTTCATCACAACCTAAGGGTCCAACAGCTCCGGCCTTATCCTCAGCCCTGCTAGAGCCCGTAGAGGAACCCTTCAACACACCGCAGATAGCCCCAAAAAACATACTGAAGGACACCGCGGCAAGTCATAACAAAAGGCGATCCTTGCGCTTCAAAGCTCCAGCGCAGCCCAAGACGGACTTGATGTTTCGGAGGCCAAAGTCGTAGTGATGCTGCTTCGACCTCTGCTCTGTGGGTTCTGCCTTAAGCCTCCTAAGAGAGTCATGGGATCTCTGGGGGAGGGTTTGGGCTTTGGGGGCGACGGTTTGGGATCTCACTACGAGGGTCCAGGAGCATTAGGGTGGGTTTAAGGTTTATAGGTTAAGGGCTTCCCAAAGGGTCCAAGTATCATGTTGGTGTGTACTTATAGGGTATTTTGGGGGGTGTAAGTATGTACCATAACAATACTTGGACCCTTTGGGTTCCAGTACCCCTATACTTGTTGATAGAGCTTGTTAGAGGTGGGAGCTTGATACGTAAACTGGGGTTTGATGAGTTCTTGGACTTAGCACATGTTTTGGCTTGCCAAACTGAGGCTTCACGGTTCAAGGCCGAGGTGCGCGGCTGAGGGATTTGAAGCTTTGGGGGCTCTAAGGGTTTGGGGGTTTAGGGCTTAGGGCCTATAGGGTTTAGGGGCCTTTGCAAGTCGGATCTCGGCAGATCGAGGATAACTCGGAAAATTGCGGTTCAAGAAAATCTTCAAGCGTTCAGCGTGCAAGGTCACCGCCCCAGCTTGAAAACTATGCAAGCGTCTGTACGCGAGCTTGCGGAACCACCCCTCAAACCCCAAAGTAATGATCATGCCCCTCTTGAGGCTTACAACCCCACCGAACCCCTAAACCACCCCTAAACCCCAAAACCGCAAACAAAAACTAAACCACCGAACCTCTGAGACTCTGAAGTGCACTCCAGCGGCATTTGCTGCAACATCATCTGGTAGAGCGTGAACTTCTTCTTTGCTAGCATCTTGAAGTCTTTGAAGCCTGTCTTCGGTTCTTTTAAAAACCTAGGCATCTTGAAGTCTTTGAAGCCTGTCTTTAGGGATTTAGGGGTTTTAGGGTCCAAAAAGAGAAGGCATCTTGAAGTCGTTGAAGCCTGTCTTTAGGGATTTATATAGGGGTTTTAGGGTCCAAAAAGAGAAGGCATCTTGAATGTCTTTAGGGGTCTTTAAGGATTTTAGGGTTTTACGGGTTTAGGGGTTTAGGGTTTAGGGTTTAGGGTTTTAGGGTTTTAGGGTTTAAGGTTCAGGGTTTTGGGGTTTAGGGTCTAGGGTTTTGATAGGGGTTTAAGGGTTTTAGGATCCAAAAAGAGAAGGTACCTGGTCCAAAGGGGGGAACAGGGGATGATATGGGGGCCATAATTAATCATTAGAATAGGGTTTTGGGGTGTATTGTAGTATGACTAGAATAAGGAACCCCGAAAGATAGTTACAGGTAATTATTTAAGCCCCTGTATCAGATAACCCTACAATAGATCCCCTTGTCTAAAGGAGCCCTAGGCACCCTATAGGCAATTATTACGGCCCTTATACTACCTTATACTATATTGGCTGACTTCTGGACCCCTCCTAAAAGGTAAACTTTTTAGTCTCCTTATTATAGTTCATATAGAAGCCCCAGAAGTTAAAGTCCTAAGAGCCAACCAGAAGAACGCCAAGCTACAGTAGGGCATCATGGGTTTCGGGTTTAAGGGTTAGGGGTTTAGGGTTCAGGGCAGGTCCAAAGGCCGCAGGGAAATAAAGCTTCCTGGAAGCCTCAACCCGCAGCCCAAGCCACGTCAGCCCTTTGCCCTCTCGCACAACTTCCGGACCCTCGACAGTGGGAAATTTCTTATGCCACGCACACCCGAAAAAGAAATATCCAGAGTCTAGGGAAGGAGCACCCGTTTCTTATCTTAAACTGATCGACCGTACCACTAAAGGAATGAAATCCTGAAGCCTTAAGCAAACCCGAAATCCCAAGACAACAAAAGACCCCAGCGAAAACGCTGCCTTCCGAGACCAGCATGATTTCCTGGGGTCAAAAGCTTGCAGATCGAGGAGGGGTGTTCGGGTTCAGGGTTTAGACTGAAGGCTCAGATGTTTTGGCTTTTAGGGTTTTAGGGTTCAGGGCCCAACCTAGACCCCCCAACTACCCTCTACTATTAAGGGCCATACGGGCTCTATTAAGAGGCACTTCGGAGGTCCTGGTACTTACCTTTGGCTAGTAGGGAATGGAAGAATGGTAGTAGCAGTAGTTATAATTCTACCCGATTCCTCCACTCCATACTAACCAAAGGTAAGGGTAGGGTTCAGGGCTTAGGGTTTGGGTCTGTGATGTCGGGTTTCATGTAGTGCCCTTTGTTTTGACCTTGCCTCCGGATACTCGTTAAAGCATCGCGTGACAGAAATCACCTGAGGGTCTCAGTGTAGCAATCCCGAAGGGTCCATGTGTCCAAATAGTATATACTTTGGCCTCAAAGTTGTCCCTCCTTAGGTACTTTAGGGCCAAAGTATCCATTTGGGCACATGGACCTTTAACTAGGGAAGTGTTACGGGGGTTGGGGTCTTGGGCTTCTGCTTCAGGGTCTACTTGAAAGATTTGGGCAAGCACAGGCTCTAAGATGAAAGTGTAGATATCTTAGGGCTTAGTACCCTAGCTCAGAAAAGGTGAACCTTTTGAAATCTAATAAATTTATATACCCTAAGGCTCCTAATAGGGTCATGGGATCTCTGGGGGAGGGTTTGGGCTTTGGGGGCTAAGGTTTGGGATCTCACTACGAGGGTCCAGGAGCATTAGGGTAGGCCCTAAAAGGTTCAAGGTTACTTACTCAGCCCTTAAGCTGTCGAAAACCCTAAACCCTAAACCCTAAAACCCTAAACCCTAGACCCTAAAACCCTAAACCCTAAACCCTAAAACCCTAAACCCTAAACCCTAAAACCCTAAACCCTAAACCCTAAAACCCTAAACCCCCAAAGGCCTACATCCGATTACATGAATAGATAAGTTCACAGCAGAGAGTCCATGATCATGGCCAAATCGGGGACCATCATCGCCACAGGTCGGAACAGGGCCTCCGGAATTTCGTTGGGGGTTTAAGAGTGCCTGGAGAGATCCCTTGAGCCCTGAACCACATTCAGCGGTTGGGCTTGAATCGAGATGCTGTTTCCTATTGCAGAACCCAATCCCGAAGACCCTGAACCCCAAACCCCCAAACCCAACCCATGAACCCTAAACCCAACATGAATGAACCCTGCAGGTTGTAATGATAAGTAGACCGACAACCCGAAACCAGCTTGTGTACTTTGAAGCTACCAGTCATCGGTTTGAAGAGCTACAATTACAATGTTTCAGGGTCTGGAGTTCAGCTGCAATCGGCTTGGAGCTGACCTGGGAAACTCGAAGATTTGAAGTGTTGCTCCAATTAGTAGGGTTTAGGTCCCAAATACCTCTGAACGGCATTGGGTACCTGAAACCCTACTATTTGGGTACTCGGACCCTCTTACCGCATATTCAACAACCTCAAGCTCGCGCTGCAATAGGGCCTTCTTATAGCAGCATCTGCGACTGGGGCTTACCCGAAGTGTCGTCCCTTGCTTCAGCGCCGAAGTTAACTGCAGGTCTTCAGTTTCAATCGTTTGTGCGAGCCCGAAAACGTCCATGGTCTACCCGTGGCTAGAAGTACCACCTGAACCCACTGACTTGAAGGATAGACAATGCTAGTAGCTCTGGAGCTACAGGTATACACTCGAAGGCCCTATACCCTGAACCCCTTTGTTATAACCTTTCGAAGTCCTTATAGAAGCCCGGAATACCTACAGTAATCCCTAAACCCAGAAAGCCTGCAGTAAACCCCATAAAGTTGGAAACTGGATAAGGCCAAATAGTGCTGGGATTCCCTATACATTACTCTTAAGGATGGAGGCTCTGGGGTTTCCAACTTTTGGGCTTCTACTGCAAGCCCTTAACTGAAACCCCTAAACCCAAAAGCCCAAAAAAACCAGACCCTGAACACTAAACCCCGGGCCCTAAACCCTAAAACCCTGCAAAGCCCTATAGATCCCCTTATAGATCCCTTTGAAGGAACCCTCCAAAACCTAGATTTTCTTATTGTAAGTACTTAGAGGTTCATAGGACTTAGTAACCAGGGTTATTACTAAGGTAACTATACTTATAATTACTTATGAAACTAATTAAGGTACTTATAGCCATACTTACTAAGTCCCATAATCCTCCCATTATAGAACCCTTCTAGATCCCTTTAAGGAACCCTATTATAACAAGGTACCCTAAAGCATACTTACTAAGTCCCAAAGAATCCTCCAAGGACCGGCCTTCAAGTTGTCCGGAAGCTCTGATCGTCCCGCATAGCCAGGGTTCATGGTGATGAAGACCTCAGGGAGGGCACGGCACTTAGGGTTTAGGGCTTGGGGTATAGGGTTTAGGGATTAAGCTAGGGTTTAGGGGTTTAGGGCTTGGGGGTTTAGGGTTCAGGGATTAAGCTAGGGTTTAGGGGTTTAGGGCTTGGGGGCTTTGGGTTTAGGGGTTTAGGGTTTAGAACACCTCAGGGAGGCACGGCACTGTCTAGCGGTGAACTTGCAAATTCCAGCCACCGCAAACATACGCTTAAGTACACCTCTAGGGCTCACCGCTTGGGGGTTCAAAGGTTCCGGATTTGGCGCTTAGGATTTATGGGCTTGGAGTTTAGGGTTTGCTGTGGTTCAGGTTTGTGGTTTAGGACAGCTTATTTAGGAAGCTTTACATAGGGGCCTTATTTAGAATAGGATTTTGGTGCCAAATATACTATAATTAATACACGGAACCCCCCAAGCAGTATAGATATTTAGGCCCCTACAGTACCGTCACACCCCCATGCAAACAGATGGGGGACTCATTAGCTGAAGCTGCCGGGGCTCGAAGCCCACGGCCACAGGTTTTGGTGGTGCCCAGTCCCGAGAGATCTAGGGTAAAAGCCAGAAAGTTGGAATATGATTATCCTAACCCTTCTATGGCAAATTATAGGGTATCCTACCAGGAAACCATATTCCAACTTTCTGGAGTTCCCTGTAAGGACTCACATTTTAAGGCTTTCGGACCCAAAGGCCATACCATATAAGGCTGTTGGGCTATTTTGAGCCCCAGGGAGAGATCCCAAAATCCCTTAGCTCAAGGAAAAATATCTTAAAACGTATTAAGGTTCTACGATTTGCTTAAGAACACCCAAAAATAAAAAATGTATTCCTTATGGGGGTAATATAGGGATTATTATTTTTATTTTTGGGTGGTTTTCTTAAGCAAGTATAGTAGGGTTGCTGCATAGGGAGTTTTGGAGTCTCAGGGAAAATCGAAGGCGTCAGTTTTACAGGGTACAGTCTTGGCTGCAGGGTTTCGTGTCTAAGGTAGACGGGAATGAATAGGCAGCTTCAATATGTAGGTCCGCCAGGGCACCTTGCGGAGAAAACATAGACAAGGTTTCAGATACTTATATGTACATATTTATGTATCCGTGTATGTATATATATATATATATAAGTGTATAGACACCGACATACAAATATATGTATCTACATATCTGTGTGCATGCATACACGTACAAACTAGCACATGTAGCTGCATCTCACTACATACACATACACATATTATACATGCGCATATACATATAGACATATACCAAGACGTGTATATGTATATATATATATATGTATGTATGTATGCATGCATGCATGTATGTATGTATGTATATGCAGCACGCACATGCACACATCTATATACACAGACACACACGCACACACATGCGCACATACCTACACACATCCATGCATGCATGTCTACATGCATGCATGCATGCATGCATACGTACACACATACTACATGCATGCATACATACATACATGTGTTTACATATGCGAACCTGCATACAAACATATAGAATAACGTGAGCATATATGCAAATGTATGTTGAGGAAAACTCAGAAGCCCTCCAAATGCTGCAGCGCGACGGCACAAGTTCGCTTCAAGCTGATCAAGATGTCCTGGCGGAGGGGGGGAGGGGCAAGAACCCCACCACGAAAATCCCTGAATCGCTCAATGCAGGAAGGAATATGCAGTCTATGGAAACTAGGGTTGCTACAAAGGTTAACATCATAATTCGTGTAAGGATATGTTATATTCAGGGCTTAGTCTAGCCAAAAAATCATCTTTTTTGAGGAGAAAGATAGCTTTTGCCCTTAGCAGGTTGATCCTACTATGATGGGTGATTATTGGGATCCCAGAGTGGCTCATTTTTTTCGTCTGGATTCGTAAAGCCATCCTAGTAATGAGAGGCCCTCTATAGCTAGAACAGGCTTGTGTCTTTTGGTGCAACTTCGACAAAGCTCTCCAGAAGAGTCTCAAACTCGTGGAAATTTGGGCTTTCGAAGCCCGAGACCATACCCTAAACCCAAAGGGGCATAGATTGAAGTTAAGGGTTTCTGGCTTCGCCGGTGTCTCGGGTTCTAGGTTGCGCTACCCGTCGGTGCAGCGCGTCCTCGAACATGAACTTCTCCTTCTCTTCCTTCCTTGTCAGCAGTTTGGGGCTTAGCTTTGAATTTCCGGACCTCTATGTGGCTTTTGCACATTGTCGGCAAAACCCGTATCAGGCTTGTGGAGCGAGGGTAAGATCTTGTGTGGGGATCAGTCCTAGCACTCCGAGACTGCTATTCCCGGATGCCCTAGGGGTCCCTGTGCACATCGTGTATATGCTCTGGCTGTTACGTTATGACTCTGTAGGAACCGATCACTCTCTCTCTCTCTCTCTCTCTCTCTCTCTCTCTCTCTCTCTCTCTCTCTCTCTCTCTCTCTATGTATATATCTACTTACATACATGAGCATGAACATATAGACGTGTAGCCCAAAGCGAAACCTTCCATTGTCCAGAAAAGCTGCAAGGCGTTCTGGATGGTCATGATCTGCACGGCGACGACAGACCTTAAGACAAGCTTTGGGTTAATCTCGCGGCCCTGATTAGAATAGGACTCCTTTAAAGGGGTCTGTACGGGCTACTATAAGGCATCTATAAGGGTACTATAATGTAGGGGCCTTGATAGTTAGAATAGGGTTTTGGGCTATACTCTACCATAATCATAAGAAGGAACCCCAAAGAGAGGATAGGTATGATTCAGACCTCCCTATTCAGCAAGCTAACACCCGGATTCAACGGGCCCCCTGCGGCCTGCAGCTTACCCGTCCCGAAAAGTAGATCGCTTAACCGGCCTCCTACAAAGTACCCTATAAGTGGCCTTTAGTAACTTTAGTAGCATATATTCCCGGCTAAGGGATTCTACTTTCTAGATGCTCCCCTCATGCTTTCGGATTTCCTGCCTGCCTCAGTCGAGGGGGTGTAGGGTTCAGGCTCTTAGGGTCTTTAGATGAGGGATAGAGGGTTCGAAGGCCTTGGGGTATACCGACCGAAGCCTCCACTGTTAGACCATGCCCTCTGTAAACCAGTGGGATGACGAGGAACAGCACGGAGACATCGATTCGGTTGAACTCATCGAAGCAGCCCCAGCAACCGCACCTGGGCGCGCGTAGAAGAAAAACAAACGTGGCTTCTGGTGCCTCGGTCACAGGTTCCGGATGCTGTGATGAGTTACACCGCACAGACCGTAAGGGTCGAATCACCTTCAAAAACATGTACTACCCAAGATACTAACCTACATTACTTCATCCTGCACCCGAAAACTCAATTCTTTTGTATACTGCTCAAAATACTAACCGACATTAGTTCCATCCTACAACCCACGTATCCATCGAATCAAATGCAACAAAGAGAAAACGTGCTACCGGTGTTCGAGAATCCTCAAAGGTCCCAGGTAGTGTTATAGGGATACTGCCCCATATCATAATGGTACTTCCTACTAGAGCGTTCTAGAAACCCTACATTCCAGCATCTAGGTCCTAAGGAACCCTAAACCCTACTGTTATATGGGTACTTGGGACTCTTTGGGAATTGCAGCCAGCACACTGTGCCAGGCCACTGAACATGCGCCCCAGGGACCTGAGTCAGGCCAACAGCGGCACCTACACGAGAGTGTTTAAGGGCTTGGGGTTTAGGGTTTAGGGGTTTAGGGGTGTAGAGGTTAGGGTTTTAGGGGTTTAGGGGTTAGGCTTTACATGGGTGTTTAGGGGTTTAGGGGGTGTAATTAGGGTTGAGGGGTTTAGGTTTAGGATTTAGGATTTGAAAGGTTTTGGGTTTAGGGGTTAGGGGTTTAATGGTCTAGGGTTTTAGGAGGGTCTATGAGTTTTCGTTTGAGAACTCTTTCCCGTTCGGCAGCCTAGACCCTGTCCAAAAGCCTACTTACGCGAGAGTATTCCGCACCCTCGCACAGGTTTACAAGATTTAAGGCCCCACATATGGCATGAAGATCGTCCTGCGACTTGGTATACAAAAAACAGATGATAACCAGGAGAGCCCCAACTCAAGCTCTCATGAGTGTCATGATGTTAAGTATAACCTGTTTGTGTGTCACCTGACCTTTGGAGCACAAGCTTCAAAGTGTGGGGTGGACGGTTCGCCTACTTAAAGGGTCATGGGACGTAGTAACTAGGGTTATTATTAAGGTACCTATACTTGTAATTACTGATAACCCCAACTAAGCGACTTATATCCATTGTTACTAAGTCCCATGATACTCCAAGTAGAGTCTAGGATTGAGGCTTCAGAAATCAGGGTGGTGCAGACGTTTACAATTCAGGTGGGTTTCTCTGGTGCGGGTACGCAGGGTGCATGCTTCCAGATTCAGGGCTCGAGGAAGGTACGATTTCGATTCTGTAGTTTGAAGACTTGGGCCTTCGTGACGCAGAACGTAAATCCCAAAATCTCTAAACCCCTTCACAAGGCGAGAAAGTGCCAGAATACATCCACATCACAAAAGGCGTTGTCGTATACTCCCGAGGCCCCTAAAAGCCTCAACCCTAAACCCAATACCCTCAAATCAAAACCATAAACACTAACCCAAGGCCCCCTCAAGCGCTCCTCTCAAGGGTCCATTTTAAGGGTCCCCTTTACAGGGATTCCTTTTAGGGTTCCCCTTTAAGGGTTCCTTTGAAACCGCAATGCCCCAAGAGACTTATAGTCCAGGCCGTCGGAGCAGTTGAACACGATGACGTACCTTGTTGAAAGACCCTAAGCCTATTAGGAGCCTTAGGGTTATGGGTAATGCAAGATTTATATCATCCACCGTTAGGGTAAGGCCCCTAATTCAACCCCTAAGGGTCCAAGTAGTCCCCATTTATGGTTTTTGGTACCTGATAAGGCCCTAAAGTCCTATAATAGGGAGCACTTGGACCCTCTGGGAGAGGGTTCGCGGCTTCTAGTATAGGTTTTAGTAGGATTTAGGGTTCTAGGGGCGTTTGGGTGTCGGGTGTCAGGGGTTATTGAGTTTGTAAGATTTGTACGGTGTAGGGTTTTGTCCGGATTGGCTTCCTTGGCTTTTTAGGGGTGTAGGGTTCAGGGTTTGTAAGTTCAGGGTTGGGGACGTTTTGGGATTCCAGGTTCAAGCCCACACACATGCGCACACGCACGAACCCGAAGGTCCATGTACAGATTTACTTTATACTTAAGCCATGAACGGGTTGCTATATCGTAGCTTCAGGGCCAATGCACATGCTATATTTGTACATGGAGCCTTCCCCGAAGGCTCAACATCCCCTAAAGCCTCGTCTAGTATGGTCTTTGAACCCAAAAAACCTTCAAATACGAGGCCTTAGAGCCTTAAACCCTGTAGGTCCCTTTAAAGGGCCCTTCATAGATCCCTTTAATACAAGGTCTTAGAGCCGAGGGGTTAGGGTAACAAATCGAAGTACCAGCACTCCACGAGAACAGAGTTGAGACTCAGAGCCGCCCCGACGTGGATGAGGTAATATAGGGGCCTTAAAAATTAGAATAAGGGGAACTCCAGAAAGTTGGAATATGGTTTCAGGGTAGGATACCTTGTAAATTACCATAAAGGGTTTAGGATAATCACATTCCAACTTTCTAGCTTTTACTTTAGGGTTTTGGGGCCCATTATACTAGAATTGTAGCAAGGAATTCCAAAATAGTATTGGGAATTATTTAGGCCCCTATATTACACTGCGGAGGAAGAGTCAATTCAAATTAGGGGCACTACTTTAGACAAGGGCTTGCGGGTATGTGACCCATAGGCCACATAGTAGCGATCCCTTATAGGAACTACTATGGGGCCTATGGAACAATGCTACAGTTAATTGTGCTAGGGACTGTAAGGGAATACAAGCAGTCATTCGTTCTCCTCCTATGCTAATATAGGGGCCTTTATGACTAGAATAGGGGTTTGGGGTATATCCTATACTTATAATCGGGGACCCGCCAAAATAGTATAGGCTAGGTACTTATTCAGGCCCAAGTAGTATACCTACTGCCCTGGTGCTTGGCGAACTTAGAGCTCCGGGTCCTCAGATCCTTCATGCACCGAGAGCCCACACGCAAAGACTACACTTTGACGACTCGATGCAGAGCTTTAAGTCAAGGGCTGCCCAAGTCTCTAGGGTTTTTAGGGGTTTAGGGGTCTGTAGAGCAGTCCTTTTTGCGAGCTGCTCGGAAGAAAAGCGAACATCCTGACGGCAGCCAGTCAAAGATCCTCGTCTGAGGATATCGTCTCGTAATCCTCCAGGTCGACAGCCGGCACCATTGGCGCAGGCTTCGCCGTAAGATGTGCCGGGGGATGTACCGCCCGTTCTGCTCGTGTTGGTAGTTCGATGCTGTAGTGGGTACCTACCACCGCCCGGGGTTTCGGCACACCTTTGGGCGTCCCTTTCGATACTGGTAGCAACACCCTTTTCGGCGAGGGCACCACGATAGGAGGCCGTGCCGGGTCTAAGGGTTATTATACGGGTTTAGGGGTTTATGGTTTTGGGTTTGAGGCTTCCTTCAAGGCTTTTATAAACTTTTATAAGAGTCAGACATGGAGGGCCCTAACTCCAGAACACTCAATCGTGGCATCTTGACTCTAAGGGCCACTAAGCCAAAGCACCCGAGACACCCCAAACCTTAAAACCCCTAAACCCTAAACCCATAAGCCCCTAAACCATTAATACAACACTGAAACCCTAAACCCCTAAACTCTAGAGACTTGGCCATGCAGCCTTCATAGAAAGGCAATGCCCGAGACAAGCTGCAAACTGAACCTCGCCCTGCCCCTTCTCCGACAGACCATATCTGAACCCTCCCTTCTTACAGAACAGTACTCATAATAACAATAATAATATTATATTACCAATATATATATATATATATATATATATATATGTACTTGATACTATTCTTAATAATACCACTCATGAGAAGGAGCCCCTAGACGGCCCTAGCCACCCCGAAACCTTGCAGCCTCCATGCCGAAACCCGAAGCAAGATTAGTTCCGGCGGGAGACATTGCCATGCCCTTGCCCAAGTCCTTTACCTCAGAGATCGTGTGCGCTGCGGGTTGAGGGTTTAGGGTTGCGGAGGCACTCGACCAGTTCGACGATGGGGGTTCAAGGGTCAGTGGATGAGGATGCGTAGGCTTTAGCTTAGGGGCTCGGGCTGGCTGGTTTGTTGTTTGGGGTTTAGGGTTTAGAGTTTAGGGTTTGCCTCCAAGGCTGATACGGCTGACGGACACACATTTCCGAAGAATCCACCAGACGGGCAAAACACCCTGAAACCAAAACTTGGGATGATGCAAGAATTTAGCCATGAGCAGTGAAATCCATTGTGCATGAGAGTGTTCTGTTCTTCGCCAACAACAAGAGGAACAGCAGCAGCAACAACAACGAGACCAACCCCCCATGCCTCAACCAAGGCAGCATGGAGAGTTCACACACTCCAATACCGTGCGTGGGTTAAGGGCTGTCATGTTTAGTGGTGTATGTTAGTTAGTGTTCGGGAAGTGTATGATCACCAGGCACCGTGGTCCTCAGGGCAACAACCACCCTCAAGCGCCAAGGCTCGAAGACCGCATCCCCAAACCAACCCTAAAAGCCCTCATGCTCTGAGGCCCTGAATGCAACTCAAGTCGCAAACCTGGGTTCGTGTTCAGGGATTACATTCAAGTTACCGTAATAAAGCATGTTGCTTACTATAAATCCCTACCATGGAAACTTAAACTAGACTCCTCAACAAGAACCCAGAAACCCTTAACCCGAAAACCTCAACTAAACAGCATCAAAACAAACAACGCCCCTTCGCAGACCTCTACTCTCTGCTTCGAGTTGCCCTTCATGGCAGCCTCCCAAACCCTAGACCCTACAATCCTAAACCCTAAAGCCCTCAAATCACCCCAAAACCCTAAAACCCTAGACCCTAAACCCTGACACCCAAAACCCAGCCTTTTTTAAAATTTGCAGGGCCATGTCACAATGCCTCAAAACCCTAAACCCTAAGATCCTAAGACTCAAAGCCCTAGACTCTGACACTCAAAACCCGGACTCCTTCCTGAAACCCTAAACCCTAAACCCTAAGATCCTAAACTCCTTCCTGCAAAATGCAAGGCCATGTTACGGACTCGGTCTTGCCCGTTCCTGCCGGCCCTGCCGGTGCTCCGCCGCGTTTCAGATGCATCGCCTGGGAGCTTCGGAGCATTCGAGGTAAAGGGTCCCTTTAAGGGTTCCTTTAAAGGGATCTACAACGTGTCCTTTAAAGGGGGATCTATAGAGTTTTATAGGGTTTAGGGTTTAGGGTCTAGGGGTTTAGGGTTTAGGGTCTAGGCACATGCAGTAGAGAAGCATCATGGCTACCCAGTTGACAGATGCAGGGAAAAAACTACTTGTGGGAGAAAAGCCCTGCATCCCGGAAACAAAGGGGTAGAGTACAGGAGGCCACGGGAGCAAGACCGGCCAGTTCGGTCAAGCACCCCGCCTCTACTACGCCGGGTTCTCCCGCACGGAGGCTAGGGGTTTTAGGGTTTAGGGTTCAGGGGGTTCAGGGGTTTAGGGTCTAGGGGCTTTACAAGGATTAGAGTATAGGGCTTCGGAGCTGCGAATTTGTGCTGCAGGACTTTAGTGGCTTAGGGTTTAGGGTTTTAGGGTCTTTAGAGTTTTTAGGGATCCAGGTATCTAAATGTACATATCTGTAAGTATATGTATGTGCACATATATATATATATATATGTATGTAGTTTACTATTGCATTATGAACACGAACTATGTACATATATACATGTACACACATGTACATACACATATATGCATATCTCTACATGTATATACCTGCCTGCCTGTCTGTATGTATGGGCCTGTCTCAGCAGCAGATCCGATGTAGTGACTTTAGGGCCAAAGCGGCCAAGGTATAATATGCGTGGGGGATTGTTCTCGACTAGGTTGTTGCTCTCCCCACCAGAGCTGTAATGAATGTAGGTGTGGCTGGCTTGCACTCTCCACAGACTGGACCCTGTCTCTCTTACACTTCCACGCGTGCAATCCTATGCAGGCAGAACCGGCGGCCGTTCCTTTTGCACTCACTGCCGGCGGCGGTTCGTCTGTGCAACGGGATAGCTCTGATTGCTCAGGATAGAAGACACTTATAGCACTTAGCTATGGGCATTGACTTGAGCCAAACGTTGCGTGGGCGGTCACATAGAAAGGTAAAGATGAGGGACGCGTAGCGTGCCCCCTTAGAGTCGAGGGACGCGTAGCGTGCCCCCTTCTCTTGCACTTTACACGGTCTTGCTCACAGCTCTTATAGTGACACCTTAGAACTTGACAAGGCATCGCAGTCCGTTCGCACCCCCCATGAGTTGCGTCTCCGACGCTGCTCACCCGGAAGATGGCACGATAGGACAACAGAAAATGTTCCGCCGCAACGTTGACATTGAAAATCAGAGCTTTGCATCCCAATTAGAAACGTTGTGACACTCATCTACGTCAGTAACGATCCCCTGAAATGGCAAACGAATCAGGCGTCACCGAAGAAAGAAGCATTCGCGATGGCATTCCATGGGCGAAGCTCAGAGGTCACGAACTGATAGGCGAGGAAGACCAAGCGTTGATTCATCTCCATCTTCGCGTGGTCGCAGGATCGCGGTCCCAGGGCCGGAGGTTTTCCTCTGGATACTGTTCCCTTTGCTTTCCTTTGTCCTTGCCTTTGTTTCGGCCTTTGCCGGCGGTGTAGTCATAGTAGGTGTTGGCGTTCCAGCCTCCATGCTGTTCACCTCCGGCTCTCTCACGCCCCTTTGAAGGTCCCTTGGCCGAAGAAGCGCTTGCACGTTCCTCCGTAGTGACAGGCGTGTCCAGGATGGAAGTACCACCTGGAGGGAGATAATCAGCAGCCGAAATGTGGTGTAGGGCTTCAGTACGCTTGGTCGTCGGGTTTTGCTGTCTCTCAGCCTTGGATCTGTTCAGTCTGTCCATGAAATGCGCAGGCATTTGCACATTGTGGTCCACCAGCAATCCGATGGTCTGAACTGAATGATCGGAATGAGTCAGCAGGATACCGACGGGGTCGATGTACAAGAAGTCCACCGGTCCAGTTGGTGTTGGTCGTAGCACCGAGAATTGTTGGTGTCCCGTCACCATCGGAATCACCTCGCACAGGACGTTCAGGCAACAAAAGTGCATAGCCTTCACATCTTCATCCCTGTCGCTCTTCAAGTAAGTAGTAGGGTTGAAGTTGTCCCTGCCAATTCCCATCATGTTGGCTCCCCGTGTAAGCAACGAAAGCATCTGGTTCGTCCGGAAGCGCTTCAAGGTGTAAGTCCCGTTGGGATCATACTGCTTGAGGTTCTCAGGCTCCTTGGCAAAGCGAATGATCTCCTCATCAGTCACATCCTTGCTCACACCCGTTTCCCTATCCACTGCCGCCAAAGATCCCCACTTTCCGAGCACATCATAGCGTTGGCCAAGTGCGAAATTCTCCTTCATCTGGAACAACGGCATAGTCGCCCACTTTGCGAACCCTGACCAAGCTTTGTAGATGGATCTGCATACCACGTATGCCATATACGAAAGAGCGGCCATGTTGGCGTCAATGCAATGGGCATTTCGCTTTCCAGAATAGTAGGATGGCTGCATGGCGGTACGTGCAAGTTGTAGCTCAGGATCGATGTTCAAAGACTGGCCGGTAATGAAGACGGGACGACGTTCCTGTGCAACTGCATCTGGTACTGCGTCATCAAAGTCCTCTCCTGGCTCTATGTCCATTTCTTCATCAGGTTCCTGTTCTGGATCGTCCTCTGCGATGACAGATGGCTCTGGGATTTCCTCAGGTTCCGCAACGGTCTCTACCTCCATGGCTTCCTGCTCCTCTTCGGGCGCCTCAGGCACTGCTGCTGCTGCGGCTTCCATTGTCTGAGCGATGAAGTCACTGGGGATCTCCGTAGGAGTCTCCCGTTGTGGAGAACCTTGGTAATATCCGCTCGAAACGAACTGTGACCAGCAAGACGTGCATCGGGAGAAACATGCTGGAACGATGTTGTAGCATGCCGGGCACACCCTCATTCTCCTTCCATCCTCGTCTCTGCGTAGGTCTTCGGGTCGCCAATTCTTGATGACAAACTTGATCCCTTTGTCCATGTAGTGATGCCGAACCGTGTTCTCCCTGTGGGACTCCAGGACAGTCGTAAGGTCTCGAATGATCTGCTCCTTGCTGGTGTCGTGGGGTCCAGGAGGCATTTCGCAAAGCAATTCCATGATCTTGCTCGGCGTTCGGTATCTCTCGAAC